GGCCAGCTGTTGTACGTCGAGTGATCGAGGAGGAAAAATTCAGGCAACATCGGCGAACGGACGTAAAACGAACGGATAAATCTAGGATCCTTCCTCTTTATTGGGTGAGCACAAAAACTGCGTCCGCTTATACCCGATACCCTGACTCGAATTGATTCCAAGACTGTGAAAGCTACCTCCACGGTTTAATGAAAGATTCCGAGGCCTTCCTGCTCCGACGGATTTGAAAAATGTTCTAGTGTATCCAATCCTCTCTCAATACCATAGAAACACGCTGTAAAATTGCGACAGTTCTTGTAGCACGGTTTCTATACAGGGTCTTTTGTATCATAAGGCAAAATTTTAATGGAAGAATGTAGAGGCCAAAATAAGACGAAAATCAAGAATACCAATTTGATGATTGAAGCTTCGTTAAAGAGTGATTAATGTTTAAAGTTCCGTCTGTAGAACGGCAATCTGCGAACAGCTGCGTGCAAGCGATAGTGGCTCTCCCTCACGAAACTGTAAGGCTGTCGATACATCAGTGAATAGAGTTTCTCTTGCTGAGTGGGAACCACTATCGCGTGCGCGCAGCTGTTCGCAGGTTGCTGTTTTACAAACGGAACTTTAAACGTTAATAACTTTTTAACTTTGTCTCAATCAACAAATTGGTATTTTTTATTTTTGTCTTATTTTGGCCTCTAGAATCTCCCATTAAAATTTTACCCTATGATGCCGAACACCCTGTATAGCATGATTTTAATTAACTTGGATTCGCGAGGATACTAACAAACGAATTTCCAAACTCGCTACAATGAGATAGATACAGTGGGGCGTTCGAAGCTGATACATTTTATAATTTTTTTTTTAATTTAAAAAGGTTTTTAATGAGGTTCGATCCAGGTTAGCGAGTGCCGACCCGTGAGATTTTAATAAAGCAAATTTTCCTAATAAAATTACTATATTTTCTTGGAATTATGTCTCACGGATGAAACTACAATTTTCTCTTAATGTGCTAGTGTTTGAAGATTGTTTTTCAACCAAAATATGGAAACATTTGGAATAGAAGAAGCTCTTATCATTTTTTAAATAAATTTCTAAAATTCTATACATTTTTAAGTATACTACGAGCATAACTGAGCTTCTATGTTAATTTTTCGTGTCACAATAACATATTAAAGTGCATCGCGTGGGCTGGTTTATGCCATTTCAAATCTCGGTCACCCAGTGCAAAAGAGCCTTGTCGCATTCGTCCCGAAATGATTAAATTTGATTCTCCTACTCGAGCGACTCGCCGTGGTAAAATCGCAAATACTCCTAAAAAGTTTTCCCTCTTATGATATTCTTTCAGTAAAGCACGCAAAGATATCGTTGCAAAATAAAAGAAATCCTAAATAGAGGGTATTGTGTAATAATTAGAGTGATCCTCCTATTCTTCCAGTAGATTAAATAAAGCATTCAGAAGCTGTAAATGCTGTCATTCGTTCATGACAATTTCCTATATAAATAGAATTGAAATTAACAGTATTATTATTGCACTTACCCAGCGATGAACCATGTTGCTGCACAATGATGTGAATGCTCTAGCTGGAAAACCATTAGGGAAATTCTGTAGGTCCATAGATGACAGTGATGGGATGTAAAAAATCTGTAATGAAACATAAACAATATGTTTTTAAACCTACAATAGTTTCAATTTTGGTGGCAAAATATAGATTCAAAACTAATGGGAACTAATGGAAAATAAAATTATTTTTTATAAACAATATTTTACAAAAGTTTCTCGTTTCTATAAAATAACTTTATAAAGTTAAAAAATATGAAACAAAAGTTGCAGTATTCTAGAGTCTATAAATTTAAATTTCAAAATTTTTTGAATTTCTAGGTTCGATGACCTCCATTGTTAACAAAATATACAATTCTATACTTACATTTCTCGCTCGTAGAGCACCGCCCAATGATAATGATGCACTGATTTTAATATCGGGTATTTAAAAATTATTCAAAAATAATTAAGAAAAATTATCAATGTAATTTGAGAAAGAGAAAAATGTTCTCATCTACGCGATGAAAAAAAAAACTAGAAGAGCGGCAATGCTTTGTGAAAGAATTTACTATGAGCAATAAAAACTGACTGTGCAAGCCTAAAATATAAACAAACTTGTACGCAACAAGCACCGACTCTAGTGACCGCATTGCGCGCGGTCATAAAACATTCTGAAAGGAAAACTGGTTAATGGGATGGGCTGCTGTATTCTCATCGAGTGTTCACGACGGAAATACTGCTTTTCCTAGCAATTACCAACAATGCATGTTCATTGTTACCTGAAACATAGCAAGACAATATCAGAACAGCGAAATATTTTCTAAGAATGTAGTAAATAACCAGTAACATCATAATCAATGGCAATGAACAACTGTGCATTTCCACGCTAAAATTGTAATACTTGTACGTCTAAACGATAAAATTCACGAATATAATAATAAAACAATAATTGTCCAATTAAAAAATGTTATATTAAAGGCCTAGAACACGTATGTAACAATTCTTATAAATATTGAAAAACTCATTGCAAGAATCAAAGTTCTTTAGCCATTCATGTTCGAACAGGTTAATATGCAACCGCACTGACTCTATGCATATTGAAAGTTCTATCGATTATTTTATACGAACACAATTCTAATATATTGAAGTATGATTCGATCCTGTACAAATAATACTGAACAATATGCAACAGCGACCGAAACCTTTGATCGTGTGAGATTAACGAGGTTAGAGATAGGTATTACGAGAGGTTAAATATTGAACGAATATTAACACGTCTTACCAGGTCAATGTCCCAAGAGGGAAAGACCGAATCCGTCACGAAACGAAATAGCAGTAGTGGGGGCATGGTGAAACAGAGTGATGACCCTCCCCAGCAAGGCTTGTATTATGTATCGAGAAAAAACAAATCGTCGACAAATATTATATGTACCTTGAACGTGACAATGTTGATCCATGTGCTCGAGCCCGAAGATAAGGTCGGGTAAAAACAAAAGCTTCAAAATAGGAAAACAAAAGCACGACATTCCATTTTTCGATGATTGATGGTTATTACAACCCACGCGTGTCACTAACTCTATGGGTTTGTCCTTTCGTATTTAAGAATAATACCCGGATGTGCGTTTTAATTCGCTAATAATTAATCGCTATAAATATCTTTATTTATGCAATAATATTAGCAATATAATATTGTAAAAATATATAATTTGTGGTCGAAATACTGGTTTCACGCGCCCAAAATTACTTCCGGTCTGCGCAGAGCATTTAGTAAAGTGCACCTCCTGGGGGCGCTGTTGCAAAGTTGCATTCTCGCGCGCAAAAAGTAACCTCACATCACGTTGGATATCGATTACTAATTGATCTTTACTCTTGTACCGTGCAACGTATGTTCGAATTTCAGTGTATATCTTTGATAATTACTTGCAATTGTTCGTATTAGTGATTGAACTGGTTGAACTTTTAATCTGTGAATTATGACAATAAAGCTTTGTGTATCGCGAAAGATTAGCTTGCGTATTGTAACCGTTGCACTGGTTCTTGTCTCCCGTGAAAATGAAAGCGTATTGCATGTAAAGGACATTGTGAACAAGAAATGTTTGAAAAAGCTTTTAAGTGCACACGATAAACCTTGTCAGCAGAGAAGTATCCGAATAACTTGTCCGGTCATCGGCGACAGAGGCTATGTAAGTAAATATGCATACTTATTGAAGGTTATATTTTGAATTCGATATACTGTATTTTACACTCTTTCGTTTCCATTATCGCTTTTGCTACGTAAATTACACTAGTAAAAAATATGTGACGAAAGTTCGTGTCTGTAAAGTTTTATGTACAAGATGTAAATAACCTATTAAAAATAAGACGCATTATTTATGAAATGTCGTGTCTCCACAATGCTCAGTATATTCATAAAGAGAATGGAAGGTACAGTTATTTTTCAAACAAAATACAGTTCTGAAAGCAATATAACTCATAAATAACGTCCAATATAAGCTCACAAATATTATGGACAATGTCAACAAATCTCGTAACGGTTATCGATTGTATTCGTATCTACTGAAAATACATGCACCTCAAAACTTTGTTGCTCGTTTTACAAACGTATCGATTCGGCTTCGTATGTTTATCTACGTCGGCGAATTAAATACGTGATTTTCAGTTCGATCGTTAACTAATCAGAAACAAATATTTTCGTTCGAACAATTTTCGTATAGATCGAATAACGGGAAGTTGAATTTTTATTGCGTCAATTTCGGGTCTGCATTAAGAGAACTTGGTTTCCAATTTTCTCTTTTAACGCACTTTAAAGAACAAATAGTTCCTTGGGCAGGTGTATTCTGCTGAATCGATCTGTGCTCGGTATGCGTTCGCTTTATCTCAGCTTTGTCCGGAAAATTGGTTCGCGTTAACGCCCTGAATTAAACTTTGAATTAAACAGCTTAGTCACGGAATAAATTTGCGTTCTACGGAGTTGCACGTCGCATTGCCAGAAACTGCTGCTACGGTACACTGTTGGAATAAAACCAAGGATGGAATTACGTATGTAGGCTACAAGATTTAAACGTTACCCTTATCAGTAACGTAGGAGCGTACCTGTGTACAGATAATACGCGAATTTAAGTCGACTAATTTGAACCAGACTTCGACCACATTTTTTCTCCTTTGTATCAAGCCCCTAGGTGGTGCAACGATCATATTTCTTTTGGAAAAGCAATTAACAGTCGTGTCGAGTATACAACGAATGTATACAAATTCTAGAATAATGGTCGCTAACGCCCGATCGTTTTTATAAAAAACGACTTTAAAAATAACTCGTATCGACCCTGTTCAGGTTTTCAACTGCAAGATATTTTTCCAGGAAACAGGGACCCGTGACATATTCAATTTATTACGTTTTTTTTTTGTCACGAATTGAACAATGAAATACAAAGGACGAATTGTTGCAGGTGGCAAGGCGAAACGTAAAACAACAGCTATGCCGGTGGGAGGACGGGTTGCTGGAAAAGTCGGGATTTACAGTTCCCATTATAATGGTAATGTAAACAGGGATATTATTCTGTTGCGTGTGTGAATGTTAATACAACACTGAATGTTCGTTGTGTATGTAGACATTTATTAGATACCATAAAATGTTATCAATATGTGCATAATTACGACAGGGAATGATGCCCATAACGACGATGATGGGAAAGGTTTTATTGTACAATTGCACATAAGTAATTGTAAAAAGAATTCATGGATTAATAGCGCGTATTTTAAAGGAAAATGTAAATTCAATGTATTAATAATTCCAGATGTCCATGTTGCTACCGATAATACAAAGATGCAGTTCGATAGTAATATTGTTTAATAAATGTTCGGAACGATGGCCATATATTAATAAAAACAACAAGCTAAGGCTTGTATGGCTCGGGCGGTGATTTATTCTAAGAGAATTCAATTTTGGTCCCAGAATCTGGTATACAGGGTGTTCGGCCAACTCTGGGAAAAATTTTAATGGGAGATTCTAGAGGCCAAAATAAAACGAAAATCAAGAATATGAATTTCTGGATTGAGGTTTCGTTAAAAAATTATTAAAAGATGAAATTACAAAATTTCAAACCATTCTGGAAAAATTATTTTCGATTGCGCGGGCCAATTACAATCCTTTTTGGAGACCAGATATACCTCCAAAGTCCTACGCACTTTCGAGAGAAAAATTCATTACCGAAAATTTCATGACTGACCATACAAACATTGACATGTTTGACTGAATTTTCATGCAAATCTTTCAAACATCATAACTTCTGAACGGATTGGAGGATTTTAATGTTTCAAAAGGCAAACAACACGTATTTCAGTGGAGAATATGTAGGAATTCCAAGAATATTTGGAAAGTTGTTCCTTGACCCCGTAAAGTGAGAAAACCCCCATAAAAATGGTTCAATTTTCAAGCAGCCATAATTCCTACAATAGTGAATATATTTCAATGAACCGTTTTTCTGAAGTAGAGCTCATGGGTACCTACAAAAAAGTATTAGACAACTTTTCTGTAGGGTGTCAAACAAAATTACTAAAAATCGACAGTGGTGCCTAAATTTTTCGGCGAAAAACAAAATTTCAAATCATTCTGGAAAAATTATTTTTGGTTGCAGGGATCAATTGCAATCATTTTTGGTAAGTAGGCATACCCCCGAAATCCTGCGCATTTTCGAGAAAAAAATTCTTTTTTATTAATTCTTTTTTAAACGTCAATAACTTTTTAACGAAGCCTTCATCTACAAATTGGTATTCTTGATTTTCGTCCTATTTTGGTCTCTAAAATTTCTCATTATAATTTTTCCCAGGGGTAGCTAAACACCCTGTGTACAGTGGACGCATACAAATGAAAATTTTAACGCTTAAATAATGTCAGCCATGTCACGAATTATAAACTGCTTTCATTTCTGTAGTAACACCTAATTATAAAACACCTAAAATCATAATTATTATACTTCAAATTTAACATGTTTAATTACGATGTTTATGTGTTATTTCAGAAATATGAATATTTTATAATTCGTGATATGAACGACATTTTTTTATTGCTAAATTTTCTATTTCGCTTGAAGATTGCGTTCTTATAAGTAACTGAATTTATCTTACTGTGCTTGTGTGCTTAAATTATTTGAGTACTTGAAATTCGAGTCGAGTAAAACAATTTTTATCTAACTTTCAACGAAAGAGAGATCGAGTTCGATTTAATGTAAACGGAACCTTCCGCGCGTAAAAATGTAAACGGGGGCGTCAAAGAACAAGCTCGAACATTTTCCAGTGTTAATTAACCGGATACGCCTACATAGCACATGCATGCGATCTATGATGTGTATGGAAAAATTTTAAAACGTGAAAATGGTGTGTCATATTGTAATAAAAGCGTGCTGATGGAAACTGTTGGAATGTTAGTGATTGAAGAAGTCCTAGAATGATAAGTACTAAGTTCCACTAACGTTGCGGTACTTGATAATCGTTTAAGATCGAACTACACTTGAAGTAACACAAATGCCTCAAAAGCTATTGAGTGTTTGAATGATGTTAACCCCTTAGCTTACAATTACGTCTCAAAGACATGATAAGTCTATCGGGCCAAACATGAATAAGACGTCTCAGAGACGTGAGAAGTCCTACCGGGCCAAATCTTGGTGCCGCTTTTAGCACGCACAGTTGGAAATTAAATCGTAAGGCAAGGGGTTAATGAACAAGATGACTGGATCTACAAGTGTGCAAGCGTTTGACTGAATCTGTGACTGCTCGAAGAGTCTGCACCATAGGATTAGGATTAATTAGACCGATAACCAGATTGAAAGGCTGACCGGATAGAACCCGACGAGTTCCAGTTTTAGCTCCATGCCCCGTCGATTGAGTCTCGGTGCAAGGTTACGATTACAAGATAAATCCAGCATGCTTTCAGGGAAAGGCTACAGTGGTATAAACGAGGAGATCATTTGGATCAGTATCGGCATGGGGATCACCATCGCTGTATTGATCACCATCGCCTTGTGCTACATCGCCCGCGAGAAGTGTCGTAAACGACACGAAGGATATTACGCCTCCTGACGCACGCTTCCGCCGCCCTCCTGGGCCTCTTGGTCCTTCTCCCCCTCGACGCCAGGCGTCTTCTTCAGCCCGACGACATCGAGAGGCAAGCCGAGGGCGTACTACATCACCGTCTAACGCTCAAGTCCGGTGACTAATGACTGCGTTTCAGCTCGAGCGACTTGACGTTTCGTGGCGAACGGAAAAATCGACCGACTCCTCCCTTTCCTTATCCCTCGTTTCCACCCCCGTGCCACCGTCCAAGAAAATATTCTCCCCGAACCAGAGACGGGCTACATTATCCGTATAAAAAAGATTTCGATCAACGAAGAGAACGCGAACAACATTTTGCCACATACAGGGCGTGTCCCTACATGAAAGGGGACTCGCTTCAATGGTCCATTAATAATCTATATTTAATCTAGCTTTTTTACTCAGTTTTGTATGTATTCCTTTTATCGAACTCGTTGGCAGTCTGAACACGACCTTCCCATCTATTAGAAAATCGCTCGTTTAAGAACTGTCCAACTATCGGGCTGAGATAGAACGGTGCACTTTCATACGTAAATCACGCGCGACGTACAACGTCTAATGAAACTTCTTTCACTAATCCAGACAAAGGAACAAGAAGTTGGTACAGTAAGTAATTTCCAAACATTATAATGTAATATTGAACCCAACAACTTTGCCAATTACTGGCTCTATGATACTACAAATTAGTGTTATTATCTGTGAACCAGCAGTTTGACAAAACTTTGGACTTAACCTCTCGCACTCTAAGCAATTAGTCTGTACTTTGATAGTTAAACCAAGTTCTTTCTCAAATTTCCGAGTCACACACTCACTGTTAGACTATGTCGTATGCAGTTTGATAAAAATAAGACTAACTCGGGAACAAGGCAAATAGAACACATGTTTTGACGTTTTCAATTGACCATTGAAGTGAGTTTGATATACTAGCATGCACCTTGTCGAACGAAGCATTTCACAATGAATAGATAAAAGTTTAATTGTCCAATCGAGCAGTGTTGGTTTTGCTCATCATCTATTATTCGAATAAAATTTTGTCCGTCTCTGCCCCCAACCCTGGGAGCGTTCCGGATGAGCTGGATTCTCGACACGGGAACAGAGTCGATTTATCGCCGTGTAAATATTTAACTTGAAACGCGAAAAACTGCGGAACTTGAAAGTAGAATAGGATAATCGAGACGGAGAGTGGTGGAAAATCATTGGAATCGTATTTATTTATCAGAACTGCGCTTTCTTTTGTGCAGAATGTATCTGCAACGAACGGCTGCACAATAATTTTCTCCTAAACAAAGCCTAATACAGGAAATATTGTAAATTTTCGATTCTAAGACTCTACACACTTTGTAATTTATTAAATGGAATGATGTTCTTTCAAGACATTTTCAAAAGAATAATTATACAGAAAATGGTGAACCGTGATGAGTTTTTTATTAAATTCATAGCATTGAAAGGAATTACTTCAACCATTTATACATTCATAATTAAAATAGAAGTGTAATAAAAGCTATTTCAAATATTTCATTTGATTCTGAAAAGACTGAAATATAATTTTGTATTGTTTTCCATTTAAATTTTCAACGAACTTTGCCCGGCTCTGACGCAATTAAAAAAAGTATTGATTTAAAAATAACACCGTTTCTATATAAACAGAAGAATCCGTATATTGCTCGATATATGGGAGGACAGGATTTCGAAGAGGCAAAGGATCATGAAATAAAAATCCGGTTAACCGAGATTCTCCACTCTGACATGAAAATGTGAATTGTATTGAATAAAGATGATACGATTCAAATGTACGAAACGCCATTTCGCTCGATCGTACAATTCTCATATATCTGTCACGTATACTGAAATAAAAACAATTTCGAGAAAGGGTTGACGTTCGATGCAAAAAACTGTACCGCTCAGCAACAGTTTTCGGTGACGCGAAAAGTCATTACAAAGCGAGCTTTTAAAACATTCGCACACTTTCATTGTACAAAATAATTTACATAAAACGATGAACCTTAGAGGAAAGGAGTAAAGTTAAAAAAAACACGAATCGTGGAGTACCGTTGATTGCACGACAGTAATTCGACGTGATTTATCGGTTACATTAACTTACTTGTGTCGAGCAAAAACAAAAATTAGATTTAATGGAAATACGTTAAAACGTTCTGCGCGTGGGAGTGGCGGCCTTTGTAACAGCTTTTACGAGGAACGTTTAAAACGACAGGCAATATTGACTACAATTCCTTGGCTGTATATTCCTTCTGTGTATTGAATTTACGTTCGTTCTAAAGCTTATTCTCTGACAACATTTTAGATACAATTAAATCGACTGAATCTTGCAAATGGCGAACGTAAAGATATTGTCTGAAACCAAGTTTATACACATTATTTTTTAATATTCAGAACAGTCGAGAATGAGAATAGTTTTTGGAACTGTAGGAACAACCGAATCTTCCAAATTCTTGACACTAGTTTCGTTATTGGCGGATACATATTTCATTTTAAAATTCATTTTTATCCAAAGATTGCGAAAACGCGATTCACAATAAATCAGAAGTTTTAGTACCCGTAGCTGGTCTCTGTCTCCAGACACAGTCGAGTAAATTTTTAAACAAACCTTTTGGCAAGCAACGCGACAGTCAGATTTACGACCAAGCTTCCCTGCCAAGCAGCAATATACTCTTTCGGCGTCGCTTTCGGAGCTTTTACTTCGAACACGCGTCTATTTCGCTCGACTGATCAATTTTATACGTTGACGGGTATGTGACGTTCGTTCGAGAACATACGGATGTCGATTTATGCGAGATTGTTAAGCTCTTTCTTTGTCTATCACGGCGAAGGGAAACTTCAAAAGCAAAAAAGAAAAAGAATTAGACTTGCTACACGCGAATCGATACTTTCTGCGCTGATGTTTCAACGGTTTGCAAATAGTTTAAACGAATTCACGATACTTTTCAATGATTTCCTATGAGCAATCGAAACGTAAGCGACGTGCGATCTTAATAGCCAATTATCGAGTAATCGGGTGAAGAATGAAAGAAAAACTGGACGCACAATTAGCTCTCACTTGTTCCTCGAGGTCACATCTAAAACAAAAGACATTAATAGATGTAAGTTACATGAAAGTACTAATTCGATACGGAAGAGAATTCCAGAGAGCAAAATTTTTATCCAGACGCAAATAAAAACCTAAATTGTAGCGTAAAATATTTCACAGTGAACTAAATAAAATTCCGCCCGCCTCTGGAAGAATCTTAAAACGCGAATGCTACTCGATTAATTAATTATATCGTCTTTGGAAATTGTCACGAAAACTTTTATTCGTTAATTTGGTGTATCAAGGCGACTGTAAAGAACGTCTACAATGTTTGAAAACGGAGATCGGACAGGAGGAAGACACGAATAAGAATAAGAAAAATACGGGCTCTAAGAATGGACTTTAAACACCGTTTTCTTCCTATTATTCGTTACTGAAAAGTGGTACGAATTCGTTTGCGTAATAAGAGATTTATTGTGTCTTCGACCTTCCTCAATTACATTAAAGAGAAAATAATGTATGCATGCATAAAGGACGCTCGACATTTTAGACATAGTTCGCCTGAGATCAAGATCTTAACACTACGACTACCGAATTTACTATCTGCTTCTACCGAACGGGGTCAAAGTGATTTGTTTTTGAGAATATTATGGCAGAAATGATATTTTTTAGCATAAAAGAATACTCAAACTGTACAATGAAATCAATAGCTTATCTAAATTCTGTGAGGGATCAAAATTACTCCACTTGGTACATGTGCTGTAAAGAGCTGGTAAGTTGACGAATCCCAATTTGTTATAATCTACACTCTAGAGTTCCCGTCTGTTTACTGTACGAAAAACGTAGGATGATCAATGGTGGGGACAGGTAGAGGAAATGGAAACCCTCTCTCCCCTCTCTTTCGTCCCTTAAACTTACCAGCTCTCTACAAACTGAGCATGAATTTTATACAGTAGGAAAAAGAGAATTGCAGAAAATAAATTGTAGTAAAACTGGATAGTCATTATCACAAATGACAATTTACTTTAACTCCAAGAGACTTTACATCTTGATTGTCAGCCGTTCAGCGTACAAAAGGGTCTCAATGTAACAATTAACTCGTACAACGTAAGGATTCTGACCAAACTTTAGAAATATACTTCTTGAACTGAGATTATACCAGGGTCTCGATCTGATTATTATGGTCTGTAGACTGTATAGAGCGACTGTAGAGTAACGTGTACACATTGTTAGAAAATTATACACATTGTTGAGACGTGGGTAAACTCTATTATGATAGGTAATGGACGACGTGGGTGGCGCAGTGAAATATAAGCCTCTTGGCGGATCAAATGATAATTGAACGATTCGATTTTGTACGTTCCAATAAAGGTACGTATTCTTAACGTGTTATTGTACTTACCTACACGATAATTAATAATCTGACAAGAGCTACCTATTGACCCTCTGTAACCCAATTCTTGTCTGCTTCTGTAAAAAATTACACAATAGAATAATAGTTATTACAAAGAGATTGTTAATGATCCTATTAAGGTGGTCATCTGAAAACCAGGCAGGGTTACAAAGGGTTGAAACCCCTTATCTCGTCAGTGACATATCCGATATTTTAAAGGCTTCGAATTGTTACGTAAATCAGGCACTCGGTAGAAATATTGTTACACTATTATTTGTTCGATAAAATGCACGCGACGGAAAGCATTTTAAAGCCTCTCCGAGATACGAAGATCACTTTAGAATGAATTATACATTATTGTATTTAAAGTGTGCCGAGAGTATTCATATTTTTTCTACTTAAAACGCCGTAAAATTAATCAGGGATTGTACAGTTGAGCTTTAATTGCTTCAAACTTAGAAGAACTTTACAAGAGGCTTATACGACGAAACTAAGTTCTGATGTTCCTCGCGCGCGCGATCGTGCATCGCGAAAATTAAAGTGTTTTTCTACGAAAGATCGAGGATCTCGTCGCGAACGCGACAGATTTTAGTGATTTAATTGGATGTTATGTAAAGTGCTCGCGAGTATGGGCCGCTTAGTGGATAACTCGTGTTTCTATTGAAAGTAGCTGCTGTTTTATCTATGATAAGAGATTTATCAAATCCGAGGCGCGGTTCGATATTACAACATCTATTGCAATGACCAACTTAATAGATTGCTCTATGTATTACGATATATTATTTCTTCTAGTGAATTTGTAACGAATAAACCATTAAAGAATGTCTTGGAAGAACCCCTTCCTTTCTTTATCCGTTGCAAGATGCTAAAAATGGGATACGCTGTGTTAAATAATCGTTTCTTAAAATTCGAAATCAATCTGTATAATGTCAAACACGATACGCATACGGATGATTTTTCTTAAATTAATATTCGTTCAAATGATGTAAATAGTAAAGAGGAGTTACAGTAAAAGATGTAGTAAAAATATTATATAAACTTATTAATACAATTCGAAACGGAAATAAACATGTCGATCGATCAACGGTAACAATATAATATAACTTGTTAAATTAACAATATTGTATGTAAAACGATGAGTAACATAGTTTATAATAACGTTGTGACGTTGTAGATTTTACACATAGAAAATATGTACATAATTTCTTAATTAATTGTAACGTTTACTGAGTTTCTTATAAAGAGAAGACTTCTTTCGTTGTACTTTAAAAAAATGTACAATTTTAATCTGTACATCAACAAGGAGTTTAATTATTCCTATTCGTACTAATTATCTGCAACTTACAACTTATAATTATCCGAGATGAACTGTCGTGCGCGAGATGACTCAATCGACTGCAAATTTGATACTGGATGATTAATTTCGTTACATAATTGCAAATTTTATAAATAAAAGTGGTTTAAATCTTGCACAAATATGGAGACACTGATTTATGGAAATTCATGATACTTTTGATTATACATATAGCGAAAAGAATATATTATATACCAATATTGGTATGACACGCGAAATAAAATCATTTTATAAATTTTGTAAAAAATTGTTGCAGCAACTAAATGGAAGTTTCATGATGTTTTAAACTATGGATCTATAGTTCAAAAATACTGATTATATCGTCATACAGGATATGGTACCGTAACCGAAGAATGGAAATACAGGTGAGAGTTCTCATACTTTTATTCGCCGAATGAATCCATTTTCGTGAATTATATTATTGTCGAGATTATAAAATCAACTTACATCGCTTACAAAATAATATTTCTAACGAAGTTGCGGCACCTACGATCGTAAACAATAGAGAAAAATGAATCGTAATAATAATAGTAAGGTAACTGCACCTGTAGTTGACGTCTTGAGGATTTTTTTATTCTTTGGTCAATAACTTCCCGCAATCACGAGACCTTTAATATCTAAATACAACACCTTAGACAAAAACAACTGAAATGATTGAAATTCTATGTATTCGACAATGGATATATCTTCGTTGCTAAAAAAGAACATTTATTTGGTTTGTTGGAACCTCCGTGTTTTCGCCATTCGTCTTCTCTGCCATTATTTTTGCTACCTACAGTCAAAAAGACTTTTCTTTCTCCGACAAGTTACGAATTGAATAATTCATAAGGACAATACGCCCGAATCCTCGAACAGCTGCTTTACCCACTTAAGGCACTCGACTTCTCCTCTAGCAAACTATTCTCCGTCAACGAATTGTCTTACCTTTCTCGAATCTCCAATTTTCTTTTCTCCTAACAAATTAGCTAAACAATTAGTCTGAGACGAATGTAAAAACAATTTGAAGTAGCTAACACTTCAGGCACCCAAGTCTAACAAACATATCACATTATCACCATTGCTGAAATCACAAGAATAAAACTTTAAAGCAGACATTTCTATCATCTGTTAAAATATAACGGTGCTTTGGAACCTAAAGATGACCTCAAATCACGTAACACGATATTTTACAAATCCAGTTCTGATTATTAAATTGAGATATAATTTAGCTAGCAAAATTCAAAGACGTTCTTCTCATTGAACGAAACAAAATGAAGTTCTGTCTTTAGGTGCCATATCATTCATAGATGCTGTTACCTTAATTGCATATACTATAGATCTGTATATTTATCTTTTTGTATGTCATCATTTCAGAATTATAGGCGTAGTAATAATAATAATAATAATAATAATAATAATAATAATAATAATAACAATAGGTATCGATGATATGATTATACCGAAATTACAATTGGGAATTTCCTATCTAATATTATACAGCATTTTAATAATTTATCGAAATGAATAACGGGATCCGTAACAATTCGTAACGCATGTTTAGATAGCGCAGGAACTCTCAACGCGATTGTAAAAGGATAACGAGTTGCTGTTCGATATCCTTTAATTCCATCGCATTACCCTCGTACACTCGCGATCCAACAAGCCGCAATGTAGAAGCAAAACTGTTAAACAATTCTTTCGTTTCTTACTTGCGCGTCGTCAACATGAATACTTAGATACTAAGCATCAAAAAATGTGCGATCAACGATACGATTATCCATCGTTCAACGCCGTATTTACCCACGAGCTTCAACGAAAATCCTAAATCACATAGAACGTATTTTCCAGTCAAGATGTCCGACCAAAAGCGTTTGCAGCTAACCCTGTGTAATGATATTCCAATGGAACGCAAATGTTTCGTTTTAAAGTTAAGGAAGACTATGAATTACAAATAGAATTCGTGCGAAACAACGTGATTCAGAGTGAACAAATCGGATGGAAAGAAAGTTCGTTAAGCGAACCTTGAGGCTAAGTTATATCAAAGAAACCTTCAGCGAGATAGGTCGGATAATTGGCGAATACGACGAATGGGAAGACTAAAAAATTACTTCGTAAACATCATTTCTTTTACAAGCTCACACGCGTTACTTCCTAGTATCCTTGTTATGGACATATATGCACGCAAGCATACACAACAATAAAACATACACGCATACGCGCACGGACTCACGCACACACGTAAAAATATCGTTCTGCTGCAAAGGGAAAATTATATATCTGTGATGTTTCGATGAGATAACAATTTAAATGGAGGCAAGAACATATCCATAAGTATTATACAAACGTTGCGTGGAAAGGAATCCAATTTATGCGAAGGCATAGTCGAACGCATCGAAATAAATTTAACATCATGCGCTTTTATATTAATAAGTAAAAGTTGACTCATTCAATTTTCTGTATATACATATATAGCTTAATATAGAACAGACTCTCTTTCTTCCGAGAGTCGTAGATTTTATTTGTGTTTGGAAAAACTGGATCTCGATTCGAATAATACTCCAAGTAAGTACACCGTACGAGTCGTGAACTTAGGAAATTACTCGCGGTTGCAAACAATCGATTTCCCCATGAAGTTTAGTCGTTTATATCGAGAGGAATGAATATATTATTAAGACGATCATAGAAATTTCTAAGAAAAAAAAAAAATATAACGACATTATTCCCAACGAAGAACAAGCAGTCTTGCACCATTTGTTTGTTCTAGCTCTTTGTACGCGCACGTCGATCATCGACGTTTTCCAAATCCTTCCGAAGTGAGAAACCGAGTAAACGTTTAATATACATTGCATTTGTCCAGTAACGTGTGCTTTGTGACGTCGAGCAGACCTTCTTGGGTACCTCGAGGTCGACACCTTCTTCGCCGATCGCAATAAAGGAAAACTGATAAAATGCACGACGTTTCGAAGTTTTAGGATCGCGACCTCGACTCGCAACACGTACTTAAAGATCGTCGAGGCACGGTTGCGTCGAACGTGGAAGTTTTAAATTTCGAATCACTTCATCCGTTACACTTCTTGCAAGACTTGTCGCGACATCACGAAGCGTACATTCTGTTAATTTCGTGCTGATATCTCTCTTGCACCGCTTTCCTCTTCAGTTTGAACGCGGCTGTTACCAGACCCATATCCGGCGACCATTGTTCCGCGCACAATTTAACAGCGCCAGGTATTTCGAATCTTTGGAGTTTGCCTACACAGAAAAAAAAATATTATACCTCGTGTACCCATTACGAAACGAATCATCAGACATTTACATTTTTTGGCTTGTTCGACCAGCTCTTGGAGTACTGCTTTCTCGACTTGCGGATCGTCGCACAGTTCTTCGAACGACTTCTTAACAATACCGAGATTCTTGGCGATTTCGTCAAGATAGTACTGATTGGGCACCACCAATGCCACCGTGTAAGCCCTGTGCCCATCTCCGTACACGCAAATGTTCTCCACGACCGGACACGTCTTTAATTCCGCCTCCACTTTTCCCAGAGACACGTATTCACCCAACTGCAACTTCACTAGATCCTTCTTTCGATCTGCAATAATCGCATCAACCGAATTTAAGAAACAATTCTGAAATTGTTTTGTTTTGTTTCCTTAAGAACAAAGTCAGTACCGATAATCTTTATGCAACCATCTTCGTGGCACTCCCCGATGTCGCCCGTTCTGAACCATTGCCTTCCATCCATGTAAAAGAAGTCTTCTTTCGTTTTCTCTGGCAATTTGTAGTAACCGATCGAAACGTTTTCTCCACCGACAAGAATTTCCCCCCTGGGAAACGGTGTGTCCGTCACTCTGTAGCCAGCCTCCTCCCAATTTTCCAGTCGAATGTCGCAAACTGTCGTCGGTGCTCCTACTCTTCCAGTACTTCTATCGTGTACTGAAACGAAAACATACGATTCGATACTACTGGGGAAAAAGAGTAGCTTTAAAGACCTTGTACAAAGTACTTTTGCAAATACTTTAACAGAAAATTCGTACCATCCATAACGGTAGCACACGAAGTTGTCTCCGTAAGACCGTATCCCTGCGTTACGGTAACACAAAGGCAAATTTTGACCTGAGTGTGCGTGTCCGGAGACAATGGTGCACCTCCACATAGTACAAGCCTGACTCTGCCACCGAGGACTTGCTTGGCAGCTCCAAAGATGAGTTTGTCGAAGAATGGTGTATCGTAACCGCGCTTCGTCCATTTCAGTTTGTACTCGTAGGCAAACTTGAAGATCGCTTGCCTGAAGGCGCACGATTTCTTCACCTTCTCGTTTATGCCTTTGGAGATACGGTCGAGTATGAGCTGAAGACACGAGGAAGCATACGTGTAGAAGATTCGAATAGAACTTGATATTTTTGTACATCGATCGGAAGACTCACCGGTACCGAAGTTAAACACGTTGGATGTAAAACGGACGCGTCACCCTTGGATCCCCTCTGGATCTTGCTGCTGGAATCGATCATAGTGAGCGGTGAACTGTAGCCAATGGGTACACCGGTTAGAAGGCACACGCTCTCGGCGAGAAGTTCAAAAACGTGAGCCAAAGGTAAAAATCCGAGGAAGACGTCGTTCGATTTTATTTCTACAGCGTCACAGAATGCTTTCAATGTGTAAATTATGTTCGAGTGAGACAAGAGTACGCCTTTTGGGACTCCCGTGGAACCAGACGTGTACATGATTATCGCTGTGTCGTCAGCACGTGGCGGTGACATTGGTGCATCCGATTCGTTGCCCTTCTTAATCACATCTGAATATGGTATGAGCCTCACGCCATTCTACAACATGAAAAATATACCTGCATCGGAGAAATTGATTTTTAAAATTTATTCAGAGTTCCATAAAAAATTAGGGATTCCGAGAAATCGAGTCGACAAACCTGTTGTCGATTAATGAATATTTATATAACGATTATAAATTAAGAGTGGTGTGATGCAACTGACTGTAAACAACAAAAAGTGAACTGTAATCTTATCGATGTACTCGTAATAAGACGATCTCAACGTCTCATTAATTTGTTCCGATACGCGACGGCAAATTAACATTACAAACGAACCGAACTGACTCAACACATTGACGTCGACGGATTACCTTGAAATCAGTCGTGTCGGTGGGTTTGAGCTGGTCCTCCATATAAATCACCGTCTTAATCATCGGTAGTTTCTCCAGAAGCCGTTTGAATTTCGATAGTAGATCGTGACTGGTTATTACGGTGTCCACTTCCGTTTCGTTGATGCCATGCGCGATAGCATCATCGCCCAAAGTTGCGTAGATCGTGACCACGGTCAGGTTCTGCCTGAAGCAACCGTAAGCTGCGATCATCCATTCTGCTCTGGTCTCCGCAAAAATCACGATATTCTTGCGCGTGGTCAGTCCCAGTTCCCTCAAACCTCGACTAAACGAGATCGTAAGCTTGTTCACGTCCACGTACGACTTCCATTTGTACTCCCCCATTTTATACTGGGTGAGAAAAATAATTATCAAAATTACAATGCTTTCGTTGCAAAGCGAAAGATACCCAAACGGTTCTAATCTATTTGGTCGAACTCTCTATGACCTTTAATAAATTTGTAGAAGTCCGAGAGAAGATTCTCGAGTACCTTTTTAAAAATTCTACCATTAGGCTGGAGTTCGTCCTCCTCCGCCAGGATCTGCCTGGTGCCGAGGCATTTTTTGTCGCCGTGCAATTTCGCGACCCAACAGAACATTTTTTCGAGCGTGTCGATTTTCTCGCGCTCGAGGGTAACGTGCATCAGCCCCGGAGGATCGACGCTCCTGTATGTGAGGCTGTGCTCGTCCTTGGCGACAACCCGAGCCTTGACTCTCCTCGAAGCCTTCCTCTTCTCCCAGGGTCGTTGCAGAATCAGGTAGACTGGAAACGTCAGCAGGTCGTACACGTACGAGAGCGCCTTGATCGCGTGGATCACGCCGCTAATCCAGAAGCCTTCCATTTCCCTACAAAGGAGGAACGAGGTTAGAAAAATCTTGTTTTCCTCTAATCTTTGTGTCCTTGAGTCTTTCACCGTCCGAGCTCTCGCCGTTAATGCCTCTCGAGGCTTCCGTGTGTCCTTTTGGAAAAGGTTTCCCGCGTTTCGACGCCGTTAATACGATACAGGGCCATTCATACAACCTGGCCAGACTGAGCATCTCTTTTAAACAAACCAATGACGATTATTAAATAAAATAAATTCGCGTCTCTGGCAATTTCGAACGAATTTCCAATAAACGACGAAGCGAGCGTTTTGCACAGCGACAATTTTCCCCGTTGATTCGACGACTCACGGTTCCGTAACAAATTAAGTGTATATTCAAGCTATTTATTCCATGAGGATTAAATTGATCCCATCGTACAAGTTATGTAACAAGTGTCTTTCTCTGCAGCAGTTGTGGGGCCAGCAGAGCCAACGCGAATTGTAAACAGAGCGACTACGACGTTTCTATTTGATGATTTTCGATGACTCTTGCGTACCTTTAAAGCGATTCGAAACTTTCGAGACTGGAAATTCTCGAATGCCTTTGCAAATCTTGGTAGACAAATCTTGGGATTTCGAAGTCTTGAACTTGAATCAACAATTTAAATATTACCGAAACACACGCATCTGGCGTGCAAGAAGAAATCGAAAAGTGTTTTATATTATTTTGCAATCTGGAACCGCGTTGTCGATATACAAGCAATTAAAGTTTCAACGCGAGAGAAGGTCACGGACACGTGTTTCCTGCATGTGTCCGCGCCACCGTGAGATCAGCTGACTGGGATATAAATGGCGCGCGGAGTAACATTAATAAACTTCGACTGCTTGCATCTCGAAAACAGCGCCTCGGATTACGAAATGATCACTTTTCAATTTTCTTTCGCGCAAGGTATTTGCGTCATTCGACTTATTTTATTTTAAAGTCTGTTGAAATACTTCAATCAATAAACAAACTTCCAAAGATGTGATGTCATCTTTTCAGGTTTATATAATACTTAATTTTGCTATCTGAGGGACTTACAAATTCAAATAACACAATTAGAACAACCCCGTTCCTAGTTTAGGACCGTTTAAGACTTCCAAACCGAGGAAGACCTACCAAGACCTATTAAGACACTCGAAATCAAGCAGTCCTCGAAGCGATTCGAGTCTGATAGCACAGATTCGAGGCGATTCGATCGGTCTGGAGCGCATCGTTAATCGCGTCTCCGACCAGAAAGACCAAGGATTCTCGCTCGTTATAGCAAATTCACCGTTTCTCCATAACGAACCCGTTTCTGTCATCCGTCATAAGCTAGCATGCTGACCTCTTTCCCGATATTCTTGCAACGACTGGAAACGCGAACAAAAGCATGCGCCGTGCAAAAATAATACACATCGACGGTTTTACGATCGGACGATTTCGATAGCGCCGAACGATTACGCGTTTCAGCGTGTTAATCTTCCGACAGTAGGCGTTTCGTTGGTCACAAGCTGAACCACATGCTGTCGACAAGGATCCAACGTGCAGGCGTGCAAAGGAAAAAGCGTGAAATGATAAAAAAAGGGACATTCAAAGAGAACGCGTCTTCTTACGAACATTTAATTATGGAATACATTTTTGCGGCAATACATGTCAAGAAATCGTACATTTCGCATCTGTTTAACAGAACATGCTACAAGGAAATATTACAATATAATAAGAGGCCAGAAACTTTTAATATATAATTATCTTCCCAGATATAAGTTATTTTATTAGTGAAGTACACGTAGTCATTAATTGTAAGGGCAAATAATTAGTTACCCGTGTTAGAAATACATCTAAAATTTGGTAAAATAGGCATTCTCAATGGGGGTTAAAATTACCTTATCAAGGCAAAACATTAAGTTTTCTCCGCTAAGAAGGCTCCAAGTTGAACGCGATCGAAAATACCTGAAAGCTTCTAAAACACAAAATCTTCGATGAAACCAAAACGAAACAGATGTTGCGGAAGCAATGATTTTTGCACCGTAGCGAAGGATCGAAAGTTTAGAAATGCATTCAAAGTACGAGAAGAAGAATTCAAGCAAGTTCCATTCAAACTTTAATGGAGCTCGTTGGCGTTGTTATCTAGAAACACTTTTGCCAGCTATTGTGTACCTTTTTTCACGTTTTGTTGCCGATGTTCCGTGCAATGCACGATATTACGGAAGAACGCTTTCCGTGTGAGCATTCCAAGGGTACTTCGTAATCTTGAAAAGTTTAATTTGCGAGGTTAAGTATCACTTGTGCAAATAAAGAGATATGTCTCCTTTAATGCAGTAATTGCACGAGGCACTCGAAGGCCGATTTTCAATGAAACCATGATTCGTTCTGATAACAGTTGCACGTTTGCTTCCAAGATTCCTCCATTCCATCGAAGCGTGCAGGTAATTGATCAAGCATTCCACGGGCTCGAGCATTGCATAAATAATACAATAAAAAGTTACTTAGCTCGCTTGCAAGGCATCTTTCACTTTTGTCCTCAACAATAGACGATAAACAAATCTGTAACGTTCAATCGAAACAATTGGAACCGAGGATTCATTTCGTATTCCTCTCGTGTTTATCCCACTCTGGCTGTCCGTTTTTTATCTTTGTACTACTCAAACGAATTCAAAGGCAATAATCTCTATACGAATAAATACAAAATTGACGAATTATTGGAGAACGTGGACGCACCAATTCTTTGTTTCGTGACTTGGGCCACTTTCGTAATAACCGCCTCATTTATCTCTTCGTGTGATAATGTCTCCCGAGCAAGACTCGATAACGATCGTTCTTAATTACACGCACAGGGGAACGGGAGCTGATCAGTTAAAAAACGGTCCAATCGACAAATTAAGAAAATACAGAATCCCATCGGAGGAAGAGGACTACGCGAAGACACGTAACGATTCCAATTTCGTTCCTTAGCGTTTTCTTGCATACCCAATCGTTTCGACAAATACAATCGGACAAAGTTCAATAGGAGACTCCGTATGTGATGCACCGTGGCGATTGGTACGCACTCGTCCGAAAGCATGGCAGCAGACGTGTGACAAACGCTCGAGATTCGAATATCGCTGCGGACTTTGGACGCTATTAGACCGACGCGACGATCATGGTTGAAGACGTGCTGACCAGGGTCCATATCGCACACATAGTCTTTTCGCCCTCTGTGCCTGTGAACGAAGGGCATTCTCTCTGGATACCCAGACTCTTTTGCTCTTTGGAGTCGCTTCTAAGTGCAAAACACTTTTTTCGATACTCCCATATTATTCTTTGATACTTCCAGATGTTCACCATGTAGCCAGACTTAGGCACATTTGAATCAAACAACGAATTGTTTCAAATACATTCCACCCTCGAAAGTCTTGAAGGATTCAGTTCCTTTCCATTTAAAATTATTGACAATCTATTTAGTTCAAGTCAATCGTTATCATGACTACGTCTATGTCTATAATGTTATTATTACTTTTAACCGATATAAATGAATACTGACCATTGTTTCTTACTCTGTATTTTATTTTTTAGCTCAGATTAATAATATCATTGAGTAAATACTATTATATACATTCTATAAAGACCTATCATTAGTATCATTAGTAATCTTTCTTTTCACATGGATACAGTAACACGTATATGTAAAAATAATTTGCACAATGGCGAGGTACTAGCCAGAGAAACCTAACCTTAAAGTTGTTCTATGTGTATCATACATGGAAGAGATATAACGAACTTGCGAAAAGAATGAGTCACGAAGATAGCAATGCACTTTGAATGTCACGAGTCAAGAACCTGCCAGTCATGAATACTGCACAACTTTAGAACAGCATACCCCGCGTTGGGAATCCTGTTTTTAGACAATCGTCTTTCTATTTGAAAAATGAAAAGTTATATTCGCAGATTCGCACGAAAAACCAAGAAGACAAGCACAGTAAAATAATGAATGACTAGAAATACAATTAACGAGCTTGCATGACAGAGGATATAACTCTAGATATCGCTTGATTAAGTATCAAGTTCACGATATCTCTTCCGGTCATACGCGACGAGAACCGAGACACGTGGATAAATGGTAATAATTGTGGACGTATCTAACGTTATTCAAAATCTCTTTCGTCTCGTCTTGCAAATTAATTAACTCTTACCATAACGAGGAGGTTTACATGACTTTTGATGCTATTCCATAGCTGTAATAATTTTGTAATATAACAGAGTAGAATTTTTAAGAAAAATCGACAGATGCCTAAATTTGTGAAAAAAAAATTTCAAATCGTCCTGGAAAAATTATATTCGGTTGCAGGGGTCAATTACAATCATTTTTGGTCAAAATCCTACACACTTTCGAGAAAAAAATTCGAGTAGGTGCTGAAATTTTTCGGCTAAAAAAAAAAATTCGAATCATTCTGGAAAAATTATTTTCGGTTGTACAGGTCAATTACAATTATTTTTTATGAATATACATGCCCCCGAAATTCTACGCAGTTTCGAGAAAAAAATTCCTTTCCGAAAATGTAATGTGTGTAATATAATGTAATGTTGCAAGTGACACGAAAATGGTAATAGGTTAAATAAAATATATAAAATGGGCCGAAAAATTACATTGGATGAAAGGTCTAGTCGTATACTTCGTCTATGATTATATTTTTCGTTTTTATCACTTCATATGTACATAAGTATAATCGGAATTTTACTGTAAGTAAGTACAATATTGCATATAAATTACAGTCTAAGGATCAATGTCGATATGAAGCCTCTTGTTTTAAAAAGTGTGATAACCGCCAATCTCATTAATTTCTCGGTTCACTTACAGATATAAACTATGATAGTCATTCTCGATCTTTCAACGTTCTGCACTCGACCTTTTGTGTCTTCTTAGAAACAAAACTATATTTTATATTTAAGCTATTATCTTGACCAGCACAATGTGCAAGAAACAAATTTCAATGTTCTATCATAAAATTGTGCCGGGCAATGAAAACAGGCGGGATTAGAAAAGCAAACAACATGGCATGTGCATTATAAGTCAAATAATTCAGCAACTACACAATCTTATTTTTACATATTTCAACGAAACTAGTTTTCAATATCGAAGAATATATTTCGTACCTAAACACATGCATCTGCAAAATTGCCAGCATTGGAAACTAGAAAAATATTAGAAATTGTAAAGGTTTCTCATTCGAGTATTTCAAATAACAAGTAAGATATATTGAAAAAGATATCATTTAATAACAGTAATGGGTTCAGTATCTTATTATAATAATTCTGATTATTATTATCAAGTATATAAGAATATCAAAAAGTTGCAGTAAAATATTGTCTGCGCAGATACTATTAAAAGAGTATTTCACGAGGGAATGAAAATGTCCCAAAATATATCTTGTCTATTATTTGAAGAAATGCATTAGGTAGCTACTGTCTGGTAAAGCTACTATTTACATTAATGTAAGCCTACACAAGATGTGTTCATGCACATGCATAGTGGGCGTACATGCGAACGAAATCTATTTACGACAGTAGAGCGTAGAAAAGTTAGTCTATATGAATGGTAGCTACGACTCACTGTTTATCCTCCACGATCATGGTGGCAAATTCCGGTCACCCCTTAATTCCAAGAGATATGTACCACCGGTACTACAATGGGAGTCTTGTTTCGATGTGGTTTAACGACACTGCAAGAAAAATCGTTCCCATAGTCGAAATGATTAATACGTTTCGATAGCGCTCGTCTACTCTTTATCGTCGCTCTCTACGACGACAACGTCATCGTTTTCGACGTAAATGTCAATTCTTTTCGATTAGGATCGCGAAAAGAATTCTGTTGCGGCCTTGACACGTTAAACGAAACGCGATGTTAACTTATAAAATAAAGTGATCGCACGTCAAACATTTAAGAACAACAAACGTTGAGAGCACTTGATATGATATCAGCTGTGCAACATGATACTCATATTTTTCCAAAAATATGGTAATTGAATTTGTAATCAAACCACTCGAGACACACATGGTTTACGAGCATTACATAAACACGATATAAAATAATGTTTAAAATACGTGGAGCGAGTTCTCGTTTTTTCGAATATTTTGAATTCCATTTCATTTATTACAAACAATCTTCTGATTTACCAGCTACGTTTCGACGTTCTAACGCAATTTACACACGGACGTGTAGTGCACGCTTCTTCCTGTCGTCTGTGGCATCAACCCTTGCCTTGCTATTTAATTGGCAATTTCTGTGCCAGGCACTGAATTTCTTGCACGATCGAGCAAACGTACAACGTGCCTTTCCGGCCGACTGGATAACAAATTTATGGCAAGACAGTTTCAAACATTTAAAAAACTATATTAAGTATTATACTCTATTACATTCTAGCAATAGCTCTAACAAATCTCTCGATGCCTCGAAGTCTCTATCACGTTTGGTAGCGAGAAATCACTACCGGAAGTGCTACCAAGACGTAGTTGAAATTCAAAATTCTCTGTCAATTTCTTCAGGAAACGAGATTTTCGAACATCAGAGATTTCTACAAAACAGGAAGTTTAATTTGACGTGATAGCGGAATAGATATTTATCTATAGTCAGTCTATAGTGTGATATATATATAGATTCCTCGCTCTAAAGGCGGATGTGCTCGTGTCTAATTGTAAATCCAGAAGCTAGCGCCACAGAGGGGGCCTCTACAAGCATGAACGAATCTTATATCCTCCGCCTTCACCTTCACCTTCGCCTTCGCCTTCGCCTTCCTTTTCCCATACAAACTTTCCCGCCTCTAGCTTACCAAATGCCAGATGCTATATCGTAGTACAGCACGCTGTAAAAGATACTCTCTAGCTTTGTAAAATTTTCAACGACGTTTGGAATACGAAAAAAAAAAACGATGAAATTATTTAAAATATCTGAAACACCTATGATGACGAAGCATCTAGATATTTATCGCGCTGAATAATTAAGATAAAACAAATATTTTTCATTGATAATTAAAAGATAAAAGACAACAGATGAGAGCTTACAGTGTACTTTCGTATCGGATAATCGCCAATTGTTCAATTTCAAAGTTCAGAGCGAATTAAGATCAGTGTTTCGAGTTTCGAAAAGTAGATCGACAACTACGGCTACATCAATAGCGAATAAAAAACAACGAACAAGTTCGAAGGGCCACTCGTGGAGGACTGTCCTCTTTGAAAATAGACAACGGGGTCACTGAGCGACGGATCTACGATCTACGGAGCCTTCTATATGTATATCGGGTGTTCAAGCCATTGTCCAAGAATCTCCTCAGAAATCAATGAAGCGAGAGAAGAGAGAAGAATAATTGAAATATCGTTGGCTTATTTGGTTTCTTTTACGTAAAATGCTATATTCTTTTACATTGTACGAACACGACTGATAAGACGAGCTGTGCTATTCATTGGTCACAGCAATATTCAAGATAACACGAAGCCAGAAATAAAAGACGTAATATAAACATCTAGCACATAATGGAAATAGGGTCAAGGAACGGGAGAAGCTCGGATCTGCTTTCAAACATCCATGGACGCCCTGTATATACATATCATAGTTTATACATATATAGCTAGTTGGACATACACAACCTACATATAGATAAGAGCAACGTCTAAGGTCCAAGGAACTGCAGAGCAAATACCATAGACACCCTCTATGCACACATGTGTAGTACATTCGAGTGACCCAATCACAACCTTGAACGAGACTAGAAAGACACCAAGAATAGACTCCATCTTTCTACTGCTAACGAGTTAGGGCATTTTAAGTCACGTATAATATTAAGCATATTCTAAAAAATGTTATCCGCTCTGATTATAAACAAAGGTGCATGAGACACGATTTCAGCATTATGCTGCATCATACAATATACCAATAAATATGATATCGATATTTCTAAAGGTTACGTTATATTCCGGGAGAGCCTTGAATGATTTCATCCAAGATATCAAGCGGTTTGTCTAGTCATCGTTCTCAATGAAAAAAAAATTGAACCATAGAATCATGAGTTCTAAGAAGTTCATCTTTGTACCTGACGGAGTCCGAATTCTAGACAACATCGGTTTGTTTCGTCTAAAGTGAACGTAAGAAATATTTCTTGAAAGATCATTCTATGTTTTATTCATGGAAGTAAAATTCATTTCAATCGGGTCTATAGTACAGTAGGACAAAATTCGTGAGTATGGTCTATTTTTACTTCGTCAAGATGGCATAATCCCGCTATTACAAACAAGATAAGTCAGTAAAAACTGTCTTGTAAGATAAGTTATCTGTTAGAAAAACAATAGTTCAATCGGCTACTCTACACGTACACTTCACACGCGATAAGAACAGTTTTAAAATAAACTTGAATTATGGTTTAATCTTAAACTTATATATTTAAGGTTATGCTTGTTTGAAACAAAAGTTTAGAAAAAAAAGCTATTGGAGCAACCAATCTATCCCCATATAAAATTAAATTATATAATTGAGCAACAGTCTGAACTTATAGAATTATAATAAAATTATCTTATCAACTCTTCTTCAAACTCGTGGCAGGTGGTATCTCCTTTCGTATCATCTGACCCGATGATACAGCAAACCTTACATCTCCACGTTTCGAATAAAACGATCTTGTTATCGGACTTCCAAAAGGTTTAGAATCGTTTTATCGATGATAAGACGGCATTAATTTCGACACGGCTGAAACAACATTCCTTATTATTTTTTACATTCTACAAAAAGCAACATCGCGAACGTAGTATTTTTCTACAAAAACGTACTGCATGTATTATTCTAATCTATCCTGTTATAAAAAGTGTTTTAACGAGACTAATATTTATGGGCAATTTTACATCGTTGTAAAACATAGTCGTGAATCATAATTAGCAATATTTCGTGCATAAATCTGATTAAAGTAACTAGAACGAATGGGATTTGTTTTTGCCTAGTTTTGGATTAGGTGTAAAGTTTTTATCTTAAATATGATTTCATATAATCACCTTGCAAGTTCATCCATATGCATTCGATGCACCGATGATTACTATCATGAATCGGTGAAGCTCCTGCTTTCCTAGTTTCTGTGATGTTGACTGGCTTCTGAGCCGTTTACGTCAAGGCTATGGTCTGACCATTGAAGGACGCTACTACGTATCAGGTCACAACCTCATTTACTGTACACGGGTCAGAAAATATTGACTACTCAAAGCCACTGAGCGATTATCCCCGCCTTATCGTTTCGCTATCCTCTTTGAACCGTATCCGACAATACTTCGCTCTCGAACACGCGATTCGATCCCAAATCGACTCGATTCGACTCCATTTTTCTGTTCACAAAAACTCCCTTACAAAAAGTACCATCGACACGATTGTCAACCATTTTCCCTATCTAGAGATATCCTCGACATTTCTTCAAATTATAATAGGAATAATCAGTGGTGGTTGTTGTTGAAAACATATTTAATCTCGATCAGATCTCAAGATTTTAAGAAATGCATGAAGCAAACCGGAAGTCGTCCTTAAATCGTCTAAACCATCGGACTTACAAGGAACCATCGCGAACGGTCCGGCTTCGATTTTGATGAAACTTTGTACACTTATAAAGCAGCCAAAAATAATCGACACGTATTTTTTTTTAGCTGCGGTAACTCGAGTTTAAGGGGTGAAACCACCCCTTGAAGTTTTGACTCGAAACGGCTATCTCGAAAACAGAAAGACATACAAAAAAATTGTTAATGGGCGAGATTGATGGTTTCTTATGTACAATAACATGGTGTTAAAAAATTAAAAAAAATACAATTTGTTTATAACAAAAAAAATTTATTAACTTAATTTTTCATTTTATTGAAATTTTCATAATGACAAAAAATGACGAGCATTTTATTCCAAATCCATTGGTATGCGATTTTTTAAAATTGCCTCCTACAGTTTTGCAGATTTTGATGATTTACATCTTGCGCGCACATCCATTATGGTAGTAGCCGTTCTAACTTTGATTTTAATGAAGCACTGTAGGCTTGCACTACTTCTAGAGGACAAAATCGGGAAAAATACAAGAATACCAATTTGTTGATGGAGGCTTCGTTAAGAAATTATTAACGTTTAAAGTTCCGCCCGTACTGAATTTTTTTCTCCGAAATGCCCAAGATTTCGGGGGAATGTGTAATGACCAAAAATGATTGTAATCGACCCCTGCAACCGAAAATAATTTTTTCAGAATGGTTTGAAATTTTTTAATTTTGTTGAAAAATTTCACACATTCTCGAATTTTTTTCTCAAAAGTGCGTAGGATTTCGGGGGTATATATATTGACCAAAAATGATTGAAATTGACTCCCGCAACTGAAAATAATTTTTTTAGAACGATTTGATATTTTTTTTTTCGCTGAAAAATTTAGGCACCTTACGCCCTGTCGATTTTTCTTAAAAATTCGTTTTTCATTTTTAATAATTTTTGTTTGACGCCCTACAAAAAAGTTGGCCAATATTTTTTTGTAGGTGCCTATGAGCTCTACTTCAAAAAAAAGTTTCATTGAAATATATTCACTATTGTAGGAATTATGGCTGTTTGAAGATTGGACCATTTTTATGGGGTTTTTCTCATTTTGCAGGGTCAAGGATCAACTTATTGCATATTTTTGCGATTTCTACGTATTCTTGATTAAAATACGCGTCGTTTGCATTTTTGAAAATTAAAATCCTTCAATCCGTTCAGAAGTTATGACATTTTAAAGATCCGCATGAAATTTTCGGACAACATTTCTGGCCATAAATTACATTTTCGATTAGGAATTTTTTTCTCGAAAGTGCGTAGGATTTCGTGGGTATATGTATTGACCAAAAATGATTGTAATTGGCCCCCGCAACCGAAAATAATTTTTTCCTGGAGGATTTGAAATTTTTTAATTTAATTTTTTAATAATTTCTTAACGAAGCCTCCATCAACAAATTGGTATTCTTGTATTTTTCCCGATTTTGTCCTCTAGAAGTAGTGCAAGCCTACAGTGCTTCATTAAAATCAAAGTTAGAACGGCTACTACCATAATGGATGTGCGCGCAAGATGTAAATCATCAAAATCTGCAAAACTGTAGGAGGCAATTTTAAAAAATCGCATACCAATGGATTTGGAATGAAATGCTCGTCATTTTTTGTCGTAATGAAAATTTCAATAAAATGAAAAATTAAGTTAATAAATTTTTTTTTGTTATAAACAAATTGTATTTTTTTAAATTTTTTAACACCATGTTATTGTACATAAGAAACCATCAACCTCGCCCATTAACAATTTTTTTGTATGTCTTTCCGTTTTCGAGATAGCCGTTTCGAGCCAAAACTTCAAGGGGTGGTTTCACCCCTTAAACTCGAGTTACCGCAGCTAAAAAAAAATACGTGTCGATTATTTTTGGCTGCTTTATAAGTGTACAAAGTTTCATCAAAATCGAAGCCGGACCGTTCGCGATGGTTCCTTGTTAGTACGACATCGTTTAGTAAAGTTCGACTAATAGGAAGTGGCGATACATTTCCAGCTTGACAAGTAAATTTACGAGCCATGCGTAGAACCGGCAGTAGAAAATTTATTGGCCACACACGGCCATTACTTTTACTTTCCACCGGAAGCGTGTGCTGCATAAGGGTAGGTTCACACTGGTAACGGAACAACAAAGAAACGTTCCTTCAACAAATAACAATTTTAGTCGAGCGACCGTTCGATCTAACAAACATCGCGAATAGAACAGATCGTGTGCGTTATTTTTATTCGTTATCTATTATTCTATTTTAATTTTGCCCATCGCTGACGCGCGGAAATATTGGGGCTATAGTCCAAACAAAATTGAGGTTAAGTTTTGACGGGGTTAGGGTTTTAAACATTTCTAACTACGCCCCTCGTTTGTTTACGTGCTTTAGGTATTATTTTATTTTTATGCCCGCACAGATGCACTATAAATTTTAGAAACGTTTTAAAATCTAAGTTTGGCTAGCCTGTTTCAGTGGTCTGGTTCATTAAATGTAACAGAAGTCCTAAAACTAGATTAACATTCACACAAATTATCCATTGGTCGATTTTTTCTTCTTCTTTCGTAACTACAGGTTACAGAACAGAATGTCGTTACAAGTGTGAGCCCACATTAACGAGTTCCTGTAATAGACAACGAGAGAAGGAAATAAGGACACGACATCGACCCAATTATATCTTGCAACATCGAATTATCATAGATATGGGCTACTTGACTGCACCGTTGCATTTCGTAAAATGAACTGAAGCTATGCTCGGAATCAATTACTCAGCACTGCAAACACGAGTGCTCGACTACTGTGAAATCGTTCGACTTTTGCTTCGAGAATTCCTCCTATACATTTTAAACAGGATCAAAGAATGAAATATTTCGTTCCCTACCCTATACAAACGTAGCTGACCAAACACTCGAACGTTTCTAAAGTTCAAACCGATAACAAGTTTCCATTCTAGGATAAGGGATGCAATTTCATCCCTCTTATGCCAGAAATATCCATTCTTTGACCATTGACATTTTGTTATACGTAACAAGTGTTTCCTCCAAGTGTTTGATATTAAGTCGAAACTCTATTTTACAATCATTTTCACAATATCCAACCACTTCGTTCGGAGCACCACGGATGGAAAATTAATTTCTATCGATAGAAATAAAAAGAGTCGTCCAAGAATACTTGGTACACGGTTGAAAGTTTTACACTGTGCTCCGCAACACTGGATTTAAATTCCATAGAAAATTTATGGAACGAACCGAACCCGTAAAATCAGAATTACACCTGTAAATTTCGAGGAAGAACTCGAAACGAGATTGAAGGAAGGTACGAGTCCCGGATTGCTTGAATAAATAATACTCGGTACGATCGAACACCCGAACACATATTTTAAACCTATTCGCGTCCGTTAAATTATAGTTCGCAACCCCTGTGATAAATTGCTGGGTCCGTCATCGGTAGACACGATAAACTGACAAGCGGAAACGCGGGTCAACGCGATACGAGTATAACAAAGCCCAAGTCTGTAAAAGCTCACCTGTACGAGTATACAAAGTCACTAGTTCATGCAAATGACAGAACTGAACGGGGAACGTATCGCGAATGGTATTTGTTCCGTCACCCCACTCGCTTTGAACACAGTTATCGGATATTTGGCAGAAAAAAATAAACTTTTCGCGAGCAGATTTTTACGAATCGATGGATATCGGATGTAACAAAGAAATAAAAAGAAATTGCAAAGCGCTCGAACGGATCAACAGAGCCCGGAGATAACGAGTTTCATGACATTGAACATCGGACCCTGCATAACTCGAGTTACGCTTAAGTTGTGCCAAGGTGAACACGGACTCTACGGTACGACTAGAATATACGTACCGCCACTACGGGTCCACGCTGTGTTTACAATACGTTATCGAAGCAAATGGTAATGTAACGTTACAGTTTATCACGCTTGTTGACCGTGTTCTGAGGTGATTACATTGTCACGTAAATGCTGTATGCACTTGCACCGTGTAATTAAACTAACGATGATTCAGTCAAAACGGTAAGCAAATCCAACACCTGTGATTAAGACAAATACGCGATTGTTCCGTATTTCTTTATACGTTACATTATACCACTGTCATACGATACGTGTAATATACGCTTCGTGTAAATGTAATGCAGTATACATATAGCAACGCAAGTATGATATCTCTTCCTGCTATAATAAATATCGTAATTATTAAAGTTCGTGAATGCATTCGAATGAAAAATATTTATCGAGCCCCCAATAATTTAAGACCAAAGACTATCGTTTTCTTTGAAAACATGAAAGTCACTTTCGCGTTGGATCAGAGAAAAAGTGAATCAGAATTACTTAATTCCGATAGGCAGGCCAAAGAATCCGAAGGATTGGTATGTTAAATTCCCAGTCGCTAATGTTAAGGTTGACAGCGATAAAAATTGAGCGAACTACGTTTCCAGACGCGTGAACGTGTGGGCGGAATATTATAAACGAAAGGGCACGACCGTCGAAAGGGAGCATCGATCCAACATGAGGGAAGATTTCGTGCAACGTTCTCATTACTAAATAATAGACCACGCGAGCCAGCATGGAACCAACGTGTGCTATCGCACCGGTTGTTTTCATCCGCTCTACTGTCACTGGCTGGAATTACTATTGTCCCCGTCCAACAACGTATTGGACGCTACTGGACATCGCCATTCGCGGCGTGGAAGTCGCGATGGTGGTCCATCTCGGAACAACAATAACCTACAGAAATTCTGTTATCCCCACGCAAGACTTTAACACGCAGCGCCAACGGAGCGATCCCAAAAACCCGATGCTCGACAGGAAAAATCACGAGACATATCTGTATCCAACGCACGCGTTTTGATACAAACCGTGACGAATGATCGCGCACTTTACTCTCGCGTATCATTATAAATCTTCTCCGATAAAGCAGTTCGTTTATATTCTAATCTAACATTTATACACGATATTAGAAAAACTAATAAACTAATCGCCTTTAAATCTAATGTACAGATAAAGCAGAGATGTTATTTACGCTCTACTTCGATAGATTAATATCTTTTCGATTCGATCCACTGGAAGTAAAATCATATCAAGGAGGAGGAGGGCTCTTTTTATTCAGCGGTTACATAAGAAATATCGTTAAAAGTATTGTATGGAAAAAATGTACAAAATACTTAGAAGAAACATTATCGTTTAAGAATGAACTTGCAACGGGATAAAAAGAAAAACAATTCGCCTGTATCCTTTATATTTAGTTGGATATACGAGATGTTGCTAGGATTAAACCTTGCTCGATGTAGAAAGGTTTCAAATATGTGAAACTAGACGCATACGCGCATAGGTAATATAACCGCTTGCATAATCTGTTCATTCATCGATAACAGCGCTGATCAGCGACCGCGCACGATTTGACCGTGAATTCAATATCCGGCGGAGGGATCGATGACTTCTTTGCGGAGAACCACAACCAGAGCAAAAATATTCATACGTCTGAATAAAAGAAGAACGACACCGACCAGCATCCTATCTGTGCATCGCGAACAATAGCGTCCTGGAAATTTGAATTGGAAGCGATTCAAAGTGACTTCGATCGAGCCTCTTTACAAATCAGCTGCACGTACGTGCCAAATGTCATTTTAAAAACGCGAATTATTTACGTTCGATTCGTGTACAACGCGAACGCACAGAAACAGACTTCGAAACGGAAGGGAAGTTTCAGCGCGTGGTGGATTTCGAATATTTTCGATCGAATTAGACTTATATAAAAAATAAAGCAAAACCGTTGCTTACCTTCCGTATTATCACCAAGTATCCTGGCCTTTTTCGTGCCCGCCTCCTAACAAGTTCGACGATTTCTGTCGACTAACAAGTCGGATTTCCCACCGCGACCAGAAGAGGAAATTATCACTATACGCGATCCAAGAATCAAGAACGGTGAGTGTGTAAGTACCTTACATTAGTACCTCTACACGCACCGTTTATGTACGCAAAAGAACGAGGGAAGAGAAAAGGACACGAGGGACAGCCGATCGCGACGTAACGTGCACCGTAACGGACGACGAACAACTGAATTTATATCGTGGCCTGTATCCCCGGCTAGGCGACTTAGAATATTCCTGATAATCTTCGATCTTTGATCTTTCTTTCACGCCTCCCATACCAATTCTCGTGGCTGAAATTGCCCAGTGTCCGCGGAAGGTAAACGCGACCAGATGTACGACCGTCAGACAGCTGTACGGCCAATCGCCTACGCGTGTCTCGTATTATTAATACATCGAGAACGAGATCGGTTGATCGACGAGAAAATGTGACAGATAAAGAAGCCGGGTGCTCGATTCAAACGTGCAACGCCAGAGCGTTCTTGTTATTCTTACATTCTTTATGATTATCGATCGCAAAGATCGAACCTCTTTGAATCGTCCCCCGGCAAGGAACAATGTAATCCAACGTCTCGTTGCCACTTGATAAGATAAACGAAAATAATGTTTAACACCACGTGCTTCTGTATCATGAACTCAAATGATCCCACCAATTCTACACTTACGGCGATATCACGTAACGCGCACTTGAACGGTGTGGCTCAGTATTCGCGTGAATAACTTGCAAACGATATCGTTCCTTCCTCGCACAGAGCACTTTTTTCTCCGCACATGTCAAACTTTTAACCTATCAAACGTCCGTCTATACCGCGGATACCGAGTATAATTCAGCGAGACCGTGCGTACCGTACTCTGACACGTACTAACGCCAGCGCGAAACACCGACTACTCTATACATACTCGATCCAGAAGCGGCCATCTTGCTATCGGGGGTTTAAAACTGAAGAAATCGATGAGGGAACTATAGCGAAATCTGCCGGAATAAATGCACAAAATACTGTTGCACGGTCTTAGGAAACATTATCGATTATATTTATTAACAACGACTGATTTTATTCCCGGTGCAACGTCGGGAAAGCATCGTTTTAAACTCGGCCTCAATTTTAATTTGAAATCTCCCGCCAATTCTTCGGTATGTTGACAAAATGTGTTTCAACGTTTTACGCGTTATAACCTCGTGTTTCTGGTTCACGTGACTTAACAAACGTTGATACTACTATAAATTGATCAAATACGTATAAACAACGTATAAAAATTTAGCGTAAAGTAATCTGATGCGCATGTAAGGACTCGAGGATTTGACCTGCAAAACCGCTACGGTCATGCTTCTCGCTATAGATAGGTGGCCTACACGTGAACCAATCAGAAGCCGAGTTCCAATGGGCGGGGATGTGGCGTGATCCGTGGTGACGTCACTATACTCCGCAATCGATAACTACACGACATTTAGTATACCCCTCCTGACCTGTTATTGTAGTATTACATACGATCAATGTTCAGTTTTACTGCGTCATGCATCTCCTATGGTATAATCGCATATTGTCGATTTTTAAATCTGCTATATCTCAACAAAATCGCGAATATGCTCCTCTAATCAGATTTTAGTATAATTGGTTTTTATTTTTTTATGAGATCACCCTATAGAACAATCCGACTTGTTACCATGTGGGTTAGTTTTTATCGACCATGTCGATGACTGCTGTCTCTAATACCAACAGTAAACTTCAGTAAACAACGCGACGAAAGGGGAATTATTTGTTAATAAACGCGAATATGAAAATACATTATAAAACAATTATGCAGCAATACCGAATAATATTAAAATTTCACGTAATAATACGAGTTTCCTTTTGAAGAGATCAACAATCGTTTGCATAGAAGTCTTAGATTCTTAATAGTTTAATAACTAAACCCGTACGTTTTAGCCGAGACATCGAGTTCTATCGCCTCAAAGAATAATGGTGTCTTAAGGTAAATAAGTATGTGTTTTACAGGGAAAAAATGCATGTACCTAATTAACATTTAAACTTTATTAAAACCAACAACATTAACAAGAACAACAAGAACAAACCATTCCTCCCCAAACAGTCCATAGAAATTCGACTTTAAACAAATTCAATTGTCCTGCCGCATGTCGCTCAACAACGTCGTGTATCGGTTAGTTTATGCACTCGTATAGAATGGTTTCACGTCATGAATGATCAAGTGCCAGGATACCTACGACATTCGTAACATAATTCAAAATAATAATAGCCTCTCAAAATAGTGTAACACCGCTTTGTATCAAACCTAATCACAAAATGCGTTAAGGCACTGTCGTTAATGAGCCGGTCATGATGCTGCTACGATCGCTAGAAGCAGTGCAAGGAAACAAGCCAGCAAAACCATAAAATATGTAGTTATCGTAACAGTTATGAGGTTAGTGACATACGAAACACGCATTCCAGACGTACGAACGATGTTGATGTCGTGCAGTCCACAAATATTTTTGCATTCTATGCTCTCACCTTCGCAATTTGGGTCATGTTCATCAGTCTGCAACTTAACATCAGTCGATACTACAGTCTCCTCTTTGTCGCAATCTATTTCTTTTCTTTCGCTTTCTAACGCTGGCTTATTTTCAGAGGCCAACAAATAATCTTTCTCTGCGATCGTAACGTTAGAAGTACAAGGAACGTTATCGCTCGCGTCCTTCTTTAGCCATGCCTCTAATTCTTCGATCTCTTTCTCGTGTTTGCAAAAACTAGCCGCGGCTAATTGTAAATCGTGAACAGCTTTGGTCAAATCGAGTTCTGGGTCGACGTTCGAATTATCCGTTGCCTCTTCCGGTTTAACTTTCTCGCGGTTCTCCTCTGTATTTATCGTTGCATCTTCTTCCGGTGCTACCTGCAATATATCAATGGGCTTCGACGAGCCACACGGGTCGTCGTTTGCGTCGTCCGAACTGCATGTGACGGAGCTACGCGTGCTGGTGTTGGGCACCGTACTATCGGTGTCTATTTCAGAACACCGCGACGTCAGCGAATTCTTTCGGCTTGAACGTTCATCACGTAAGCAGCCATCCGCCAAGCTGCTCAACGCGTCCGCAATTACTTTGATACTATCAACCGCGACACGCAGAGAGAAGTCATACGCATTCTCGTCCAAGTTCTTAACATCTTCGTTCTTGGGATTAGAAATGGATTCTGTCAGTCTTTCAATGTCCCCGTTGTTCGTGATTTCTTTACGATTCTCCTCGTTATGTTCCGAGTAATGGCTTCCCAAAGACTGAATACGCAAAACCGAGGAGTTATCGACTTTGGTATCCTCATCCAGAATATCTGTTCTCGGAGATTGCTCTAAATCAACATCAGTCGTTCCTTTGATCGGCTCGGCGTCCACGTTGTCCTGTCCTTCGATTAAATTAACTAAATCTTGGCACAAACGACTATATGCGGTGAAATCTGACTCGGTATCCGTATTGGACGACTTATTGGATTTTGACTGCAAACTATCTTGCCAGAATTCATTGTTCATTGCTTTCGACAGTATGTCATTGGACGGCACAGTGTTCCGTGCTCCCGCGTTTTCCTCGTTCTTCGTACTTTGCACTTTGGTAGATTCCGAAACGTAAACGCGGAGTTTCTTTCGGTCCACGTTCGGGAACGAATGATTTCCATTTATATCGGTTTTGCTGTTTTTCAACGAGCCCTCTGTGCGCCATCGAGTGTCATAATCGGAGAGCTCACCGTCGCTGACAACGCGTCTGAAAGAATCTGGTCGCACAGGCAACGATTTGATATCGACCACCGCGTCGCTGATCTCGTCCTTGATCTCCTGGAGGCTCGGTTCTCTACGAAGATGAATTCGATCGTGATTTATCAAACCGTACAGATTAGCGGACAGAGACCTAACGGCTCGTTTTTTCTTCGTCCCGAATGCAATTTCCTGATCGTTCGCGAGGCTGCTTTTACTTTCGACGGTATTCTTCGTCGTGTTGGCATCTTTCCGAAGGTTTCGATAGGCCAAGTCGTCTGTAACGATGTCAGGCTCGCACTGCGGTATGTACGACGAACGAGGATAATCTAGTTTGGTCGGCGTTGTATGCAGATAGTCGCTTTCCGTGGCGGTGGTTACAGGCCCCAAAGGTATTCCGAACGGTGGCTGCGGGTCTGCCACTTTTAACGTTTTGTTAGCATAATTAATGCTCCGATAAACGACATCGTCGCGTGTCACATCCGGTACGTCTTTGCGCACCGGATAATCCACAACCGATGAATACGGATAATCGGCGGTTACGTCTTTACGTGACAAAACTGGCGAGGCCATCAAGTAGCTGATATTTGAGAGCGCCGATTGACCGATTACCTCCGACAAGGATGCAGGTCGTTCTTTCGGATGCATTCTTCTGTAAGCCATATCGTCTTTCGTTCTATCCGGAGAATCTGCTGAAATTAACGCAACCGTATCGTCAGTTTTCGCTCTGCGTAAACTGAACTCCTCCATGCTACGTCGTTCAGCTCGATCGAGAAGATCTTCGTCTCCTAGACGTAAACTGTTATATATCGCTTCTAGCTCGGACAGTGCTTCCTCCAGGTTTTTCGAACTTCTTTTCCTATCCAACGCATCTTGCTCGCTCGTTTCTGCCAGTTCCGTCTCCTCCTCTTTTACTGTTTTTGTATTTGTCCCCAAAGCACTGTTATACACATTCTGTTTAGAAGGTGATTTTGCAGAAGGAGATTCTAAAGTTCTATTATAAGTAAATGGCATGGAGTTGTTGTATATATTTTGGGCACTGGGCGTTGATGTTTTCTTTTCGCGTATCTTAACGTTGTAATCGTTAAACCTTGAATTAAGTTGATCGTTCCGGACGTTCCTTCTCTGGCACTTCATTGCTTCCGTTTCGTGAACGATGGTTTCGTCTATGTGTCTACCGGTCGAGTTATGTCTATTATTTGTACATTCTGATAAATTACACGATTGCGTTGGAGTTACCGTTAGAGACAATGGACGTCGTGGACATTGCTTGGTCGAACCACACCACCTGATTTCGTTATTCGATTCGTACGATCTCAAGCCCTTTAAATGGTCTCTCGACGCTTCGAGAATATTATTCACCTTTGAGCCCGTATTATCGTCATATTTTGATAGTCGATATTTTCCATTCAATGGAAAGGAATTACAACCGTATGTAAAAACTTTAGAGCGTAGATCTCTTGGCGGTGGTTCTGGTGGGGAGGAACTTCGATAGTGATTGTTTCTTGAATAATTATAAGGTCTCGCATAATCGCTGTTAGTTATAGGCGAACTTGAAAAATAATTACTATTGTCGCGATTTGCGTAATTTCTACCATCTTGCGAAATATTTGCTTTTGCGTACGTGTTATTTTGATTTAAATCCGTAATGTATCGATTTGTAGATTGTTTTGTGAGATCAGTGGACGATTTTGTCTGTAAACTAGACGCTGTTGATTGACGTAAATTTTCAACGGATCTTTGCACTGGGAAAGTATAACTGTTAGATTGGGAAACTGAACGCTGTGGTTGCAGCAGAGGCTGAAATAATTCACTAGCATCCGTATCAAAAGATTGATTTCCATCCATAAAGTCTAGGCTGCTGCGTTTGTTAGTTACACTGTTCAAGTTTTCTGGTAATTTATGACCCTCCTCTCTCGATAAACGTTTTATGTACCGTTCCGTACGCGCGGTACGACTTTTTTTATTAGAGGAACTATTTTTCAACACATTTTGCGCAGGGGTCTCGTTCTGAAATCTCGGCAACGAATTACACGATTTCCGTGACTCTTCGTCAGAACTGCTATCTGCACAAATGCGATCTCTTTTTGCTTCTATTCGAGCTTTTAATTTACTTTTACGCGTTTTTTTGCTCAGACCATCCAACGATCCATCACTGCTACGGGAGTGTGCAAAGTCCCTTTGTAAACTTGGCGTATCTACTGAGTTTGTAGCTGTGGTATTAGTGGAACTATTCTTATCTAAATGCTGATGCAAATTGTTTTTGACTGGACGAAGAATAACATTATGTGATTTTCGATTAAACACTGTACGAGGTCTTGGTTGCCTCGTACAATACACCATTTCTTCTTCATTGGAGGAACTATCGTAATCCCTGATTGCAGATATTCGTTTAAAAATACCACCAATAGACCATTTTTTCTCTTTTTTCTTATCGGATGAGGTCACTGCATCGCAGACAGGCAAGCGTCTTGTTGGTGGTAAAAGACCATCCATTCTTAGGATATCTTTTCCAGTGATACTTCTTTTCTGCATCGAGAATAACTTTTCTAATTTAATTCTAAAATACCTGTAAATGTCCATTATATACTACAATGCAATATAATAATTTTTCATATGTACATGAATATATAAGCAGTTTGGAGATGTACTTACAAATATGCATGTGTATAAATGCAAAAAGTATATATACATATGAATGTAAAAACTTTGGAACAACCATTGAATAGATTACATTTTGTTTACCGATATGTTTATATCCTAAACACCTTCAAAAAATACTTCGATTACAAACAATTATATACTATTACGTGTATGTATATAAATAGAATAATATTGCTGCTAACCTCTATACAGACGTTCAGCTCAACGATTCCGATATGTATTTAGCGAAGGGCGAATTCTTTGTACATTTGCCAAAATTTTATGTGACTCACAAGTGTCAACCACGATCATTCATATTGTTCGACCGAACGAAAAATGCGTGTCTATAAACTGAGGTCAGTATATCGAATGCGGTGCTGATAATAACGATAAGATCTCCGCACCTCTTTCAAACAGACTTTTGCAATACGTATGTATGTCTCACTTGTTATCTTGACAGATGAAATGTAAGAGCATATGTATATGAACTTCACTTTCATGAATCACACTGTTCTTCGCGTTATTTTCGTCGATACGGACGGAAATTGAACATATTTAGAAGTTACGACGAAGTTCGGTCGATCCCGGAACGTCTTCGTTCCGCAACTAATATATATATTTTGTGATTATTTAGCGCTGGTAATTACATGAACATCAATGAACGCATATCATGCGTCAAGCGCAAGGATACTGTTGAACTACACGAAACTGACTCGAATCAGCTCGAATCAGATATGAGAAGAGAAGGGATTCACCGTCCAGACCCCACCCATTACCAGATTCCCCCTTAACCGTCGCGCAGAATCACACACAGTGAGTCCCCACACTCGTGTACCAAGCGATACATATATTTTAGTTACATTAGAGGGAACTGTTAACGAGTTAGGTTGCTTACAAGACATTCCGTCTTTATACGTAAGTGCACGACGATGCACTGTTCAAAAGAGTCTCCGACAAAGCTCTGCTTCCAAAAGGATCCCGCCATTTTGTCAACTAACATTGGAAGTTGCGAATTTGAGGAAGCAGGCTTTTCAAACTTTTCGATGTTACCACATTTTATTTTAACACTTTGACTGTCACGTCACCCATATATGGGTAACAGGATTTACCATTGTGATACTAGAAAAATTAGATCTCAAGTTGAGACGTTAAGAAAAATAAATTTGTATAGAATTAGTGAATTTTAACAAGGTTATGAAAATAAGTACTGAAACAAATTTTAGATTATGTAGCTTAGAATAGTCTAAAATCAAAATTTTACTTGTGCAGAATATTATACGGGTTTGATCTGGCAGTAAACGCGTTAAGAGAAGCATTAAAGGTCCAACGAAGAGATCGCGATATTCTTTCGAAATTAGGTAGTCATGCAGCATCGTTCCAGTTCGAAAGCCATATACGGATGACCAAAGACACACAGTATGATGTATACATCTATATCTCGCGAAGAAGCAAGGAGAAAGCTGACTTTCGACATTAATTCAGGACGTACCTTCTACTGTATATGGCAAAAACTCGATAGGCAAAAATCGGCGAATGTCAATCGGTGCTTGAGACATGATTATACATAAAGTGTACTAAAAGGCTACCGCGAGTAAAGAAATATTTAAAATTTATACAGGGTGTACGGCCACCCCTGGACAAAATTGTAATGGGAGATTTTGGAGGCCAAAATAGGACGAAAATCAAGAATACCAATTTGTTGATGGAAGCTTCGTTAAAAAGTTATTAACATTTAAAGTTCCGCCCGTACTGAACGTTTTTTTCGAAAATGCGCAGAATTTAAGGGGATGTCTATTCACCAAAAATGATTGTAATTGTCCCCTGCAACCGAAAATAATTTTTCCAGAACGATTTGAAATTTTTCAATTTCGCCGAAAAGATACCTACCCTACACCCTGTCGATTTTTCTTAAAAATTCGTATATAATTTTTAATAATTTTGTTTGACGCCCTACAAAAAAGTTGTCTAATACTTTTTGTAGGTACTCATTAGCTCTACTTTCGAAAAAAGTTTCATTGAAATATGTCCACTACTGTAGGAGTTATGGCTGTTTGAAAATTGCACCATTTTTATGGGGTTTTGCTAACATTACGGGGTCAAGGAACAACTTTTCGAATATTGTTAGAATTTTTACATATTCCTCACCGGAATTCGCATTGTTTGCATTTTGAAACTTTAGAATCCTTCAATCAGTTCAGAAGTTATGACGTTCTAAAGATATGCAAGAAAATTTCTGGCCTCACATTAGATTTTCGGTAAAGAATTTTTTTCTCGAAAATGCGTAGGATTTCGAGGGTATGTATAATGATCAAAAATGATTGTAATCGACACCTGCGATGGGAAATAATTTTTTTAGAATGATTTGCAAAATTTTTTTTTCGTCGAAAAATTTCAGCACCTAGCCGAATTTTTTTCTCGAAAGTGGGTAGGATTTCGGGGATATGTGTATCCACCAAAAATGATTGTAATTGACCCCGCAATCAAAAATAATTTTTTCAGCTTGATTTGAAATTTTTTAATTTAATTTTTTAATAACTTTTTAACGAAGCCTCAATCAAGAAATTCATATTCTTGATTTTCGTTTTATTTTGGCCTCTAGAATCTCCCATTCAAATTTTTCCTAGGGGTGGCCAAACACCCTGTATACGCAAGTTTGTGTACTGTCAGAAGTCCATCTTGAAGTCCGTGGACCATAAGTTAAGAATTACTGTTCTAAACAATGAGTACAATGCGTACAATGGATGTTGTGTTTGACGTAATTTAAGTTCAGAGAAGTAACCTTGGCTAGTCAGTTGATCTTTAGCGTGACCACAGCATCAGTATTGTACACTTGGTGACATGGATTCGTGCCACTGGAGGGGAAATCGTTAACTTCCGCTTCTCCTACTATGTACTTCACACTACGTTTCTAGTGTCGCGTAGCTGAAACTCTAGATGACGGTATTTAAACATTTTCATAGGTCATCGGTGCAATGAACAAATTACTGTTCACGAAACACGTATCGTTTCACGTTAATACATGTGCGTATATTTCGTTTAAATAAGATATGCAGAATATTGGTTACGTGGACTGGTAATCCATAATTTTATTACAAAGTTAAAATATCAGGAAGCTGCAGCTGTTATAGCACTCGGCGTATCTAGATCACACGTGTCGGAATTCATGTTTGAAACGCGATGATATATAATTAATGAATACTAGTTTAATGCTTTGATGGATTGCTCTGGGTACCTTCGTCCTACTTTCTTATTTAGTATTGTAATACAAATCCTATTAGAAGAGTATCTAATACTGGAAATTATTTAAGTTTCTTTTTTCTTGCCCTAGTTTTCTCTTTTGAAAAATGTTGTTCTTGTGGCCTCAATAGCAAAATGTAATACCTTTATTATTAAGAAGATAACGCTCAGATTAATTTTAGATCATAAACTGACGATTGCAAGTAATATATTATGCATAAAGAAAAACAGAATTTATTTACAATGCCGATAAACAGAAATTATTCCATTATAAACTTGGACGTTTTACCGCCGAGGGCGCTAGCTACAAGCGTGGGCGTTTTGCCACCAAGGGCGCTGGTTACAAAAACCTTGAACGTTTTCCCGCCGAGGGCGTTAACTGTATATTTTAGAATTGATCTATATTTAAAATGTTAAATTATGTATATTTAAAATGCTATTCAAAGTCTATAATAGGTTATCAATCGAAGTATTTCTGTAGGCGTAACAAATATTTTACATATTTTATTTAAATGATATATACACAAACATGTATTAAAATGAAACGATACGTAGTAAATAAATAATAATCATTATATTGATATCCTATCATAAGACTAAAATAATGTCACTTAACTTTTCGAACGCGTGAAACTAAAAGCGAACCGTGAAGGAGAAGGGGAAGCAGAACTGGGAGACTTTCCCCTCACTCGGCACGGAATCCATGTTACCAAGTGTACCGTATCATTGCATCATCACCACGAAATTATTTGAAAAACGCCTGTAAAACTGTCGAATTGTAAAACACCTTTTTCAAAATAAGCTAGCTTAAACGCGGAAATTCCAAATATTTAATATTCTTATTCGCAAAAACTCGGGTCACGAAATTCTTGATTAATAATCCGTAATAATAGGGTCAAGTGATGACAAGGACAACAACCGTATGAGTGTTAAGCTTTTTCGTTTATTGAAAATATCTCTGTAAAACGTGTGTATATTGTGGCCGGGCGAGGTAAGCCGACAAAACCGAATCTTTCGACAACGAAACGAAATCGGGTAGCAAACGAAGGAATACGGTGAAGACATTGAAAACAATATAGAGTCGATCGTATTTAGTATCTACATAAGTAAAGGACGAATCAACGATGCATTCGCTTACTTTTTCTTTTTTTTTTTAATCTTAGTATATTAATTATATTATGTATAACAAAGCGGTAACAACTTGTTAATTGTAACTATTACGGTAATAATCGTTTACTTTATATAATTACAATAATGTAATGTAAGGATGATCGTTAACTAATCGATAACAAACGAATCGTTTCCTCCTCCATCCTTCCTTCGTCTTGATCATCATATCCTCGTCACTTCCTTACTTTGTTTCTCTTCTGTTATTTATTTTTTATCGAATCCGATATCGGTCTTCAGTTAAATCGTTTTTTGTATTATTTTTCGCTCATCCCCTTTTTCGTATTAATTATTTAACAACAGTTTTTTTATCCCTTTTATTATTTGCTCTTTAATTTAATAATCGTAGTAAACATAGTAATTATTTATAATATTGTGCAAATAATCCATATTTTATTTTGTTTAATAATAATGAATGTCATTCAACGGAGGAGCTCTTCTACGATCTCCCTCTCATTCGCGCGCTCTCCCTCACTCCCTCTCGCTCTCTCATTCTCTCACACGCACGCTATCTCGGTGTCTCTCTCTTTGCTTGCTCGCGCGCGTTCGCTGTTCGTGTCTGCGCGTGCGCAGTTCGACGACTCGCGGCCACGCATGCGCGGACGCGCGCGAGCACGCACGGAGCACGCATTTAAATGGACGAACCTCCGCGCTTAATGTTTTTTCGACAGCTAGCTCGTTAAAATTGGATTTTTTTCTTAGCACATTTCGTCTACCTAGCTTGTTGACCCATGGCAGTTGCTTGTTCATTATACTGGCCGACAGGCTCCGCAGCTTGACACTTTGCTTGAGTATTCTTTTTTTTTTGTTTTTTTTTCGTTTTTTGTTTTTTGTTAGCCCAGCCCTAGGATCTTTGTTTCGTTATTATTTTTTTTTTTTTGCTTTTGTGTACTCATCGTTTATTTATTATCTGACGACGTTAGGTTAATGAGTTTCGAGAATTTCGAGACACTACTAAGCCCTTTGTTTGTTCGCTATCCGTTTAAGAAAATTTCGTGCATTTACGATTAGTTAACTTAGTTTTCATTTCTCTTTATACAATGCGTAACGGCAGTATCGTCCACGGAGAAAGTACGTTTAAACCTCGTCTTACCTCGCTTAACGAAGGAAAGCCCTATATGTATGTATATATATATATATATTTTTTTTTTTCTTTAATATCTTACAGCCGTCGTCGCGCAAAAACTGGTATTTTAATGTACGTTTTGGTAAAACAAACGAAAATCAATGAAGCACACCACGCATACTCTTCCACCCCCCTCACCCTCGTTTCTTCTCGTTACCGTAGCAATTTGGCCGATCGAACGAACGTTTTTCCTGCGTTCTCGAGTTTCCGTCCCGAGCGTTACGTCCAAACGAATTTCCAGGCAAACTCTACGAGACGCGTGTTCCCGACTTCCGTACCGTTTTTCCTTTCGTTCCGTCCACCGATTCAAACCGGATCGAATGTCGACGCTTACCATACGATCGGTAAACGTAAATTGAAAACCCGGGGAAGTTTGCGATTCAATCCAACATTCGGTCCCGACGAATCGATCGGTTGCGCGTCAAGATAAAAACGAGAGGCTAAAGTAAAAAGAGAATAGTAGAAGAAGAATAAACGATCTTCATTTTGGCGCGCCTCTCGGGGAAGAACGATTTCTACGCGATCAAGGTCCGTATCGTTAAAGAGGCCAGTGTGTGTGTTCGGAACACATTTCTGCGCGCGCAACAAATTCCACCTCGTTTCGCTCGTCACGCCCCGTTTACGCCATTCTTTTCTTTTTTTCCTTTACGCTCGTCGTGTGTCTCGAGATTTTTTTATTGCTTCTGGGAGTTCGCGGTTGCCCATTCGACAAAGTAGTATCGAAAATATATATGTATATTATATGCGTACAAACCATTTGATTATTATCGAATTATTTGCACATATTACAGCACGGTAGGGTAGTTGAAACTCAAAAAAGGGGCGAGAGGGGGTATCGGAGTAATTAGACAGTGAGCCGGACGGACCATCAGATACGTCGTACATCGATAGAAGATGGATCGACGAGTTGGGGTGGATCGTCGATCGATCTCGTGCCTCGATTCATTTCGTTTCGTCGTCGTCGTCGTCCGTCGTGCTCCGTGTGTACGGGGATTGCGCGCGTTCATGCTGTCTGGTAATATCGTCGCGATCGTTCTGACCGGCGATGGAAACGCGTGCGTCTAGAAAAAATTCGATGAGGTTATTCGCGCGCGCGCGCGAACAGCAACGGCAACATTTTTTAGGCGTAACCTTTCTCCGCTTCCGTTGCAAATGGATCTCCCCCCTCCCCTCCCCGATCGATGCGACGCCATCTACCGATCGTCGATCGACGTACGCATCGGGCATCGGGTGCGTCCCTGTATTCGCTTCGGTAGATCTCGGAGCATAAGAAAGCCGAATCTCGAAAGAAACGAAGAACGACGACCTCTTCCGAACGAACGAGTCGCGAGGACGCAGCCACGCGAATTGCGTATACGTTGAAGCGTGCTCACGAAAGGATCATCGAATGGCCCGCGACGAGAATCGTGAAATGCAATTATAATATACGTAGAAAAGGTACGAGGACATTAATATCGGACAGGCTTCTCTAAAATACTTTGATAAAGCGGACTCGACACCGATAGTGTGTGAATTATTTTGTACGAGTAATTTACAATGATCCTCACCCTCTTGAGCCTTCGTAGCTTAAAATAATGAACATTTTTTTTCTTTTCTAGTTAGTTTGTTTGGTTTTGCTTTGCTTCCTGCATTGTCGTTACGTCTCCCACCGCGTACCTCGACCGTCGTTTACCAACCCTTCGACCGTTTCTGATCACCGTAACGTTCGTAACCGTCGTTCCTGCCACGTTTTGGATATAGATTTACAGATTCTTTAAAGCGAGCTGCGAGCTTCTTTTCCACGTTACGTCCGTTTTCGACCAGCGAGAACGATCTTTCACGCTTCCGCCGTCGTCTCGCTTCGGATGACGCGCGAACATTACCGATCCTCGTTCCTTTTCCTTCGACCTCCCATTTTCTTTCCACCCTTCCGGATCGCGGATGTAAACGTAGAAAAATAACGATCGCGCGGTCCGCGTTAACATACGCGCGCGCGTACACACACACTCACGCATACACGCATACTTCTTTTTTTTTTCTTTTTTGTCCTATGTCTCTCGTCTTCGACGCGCATGTTGCGCGCGATCTCGAGATAACGTTCATTCGTGCGAGTACCTACGCGTACAATATACGTTGATCTGCATTATACAGAGGCACGTAAGTCACGTTTTATTGCAAAGTAAACCGTGCAACGTATTACCAATTGTCAGAATTAAAAGTTTTACCAGTATTCTATACGAGCTTCGTGTATATTTCGAACAGATTCGAAGAAAGTATTTCTGAAAAATGCATGGTTTGCTATTCGTAAAATAATATTGCTCTTTTACCGAACGTGTGACGTTACTCGATTTACTTTGCGCGACCTACAATGGCGGCCACGTACTTACGTGGACGCAACTTATAAATTTATGTTTTCATAGACTCTTAACCTTTACACGGAACAATCGAATATGTTTCTCTCGTAAACTCGTAATCTGTTTCAAACAGAAGAAAACAATCGTTTGATTATTATAATCGAGACGTTCTTGGCACTTAATGTTTCAAGTACTCGCGCGTTTTCTACGTGATAAAAAAACTGGAGCCAACCTCTAAACGCTTCGTCGACCGCAGCTACACGCCATCCGGTGATCGCGAGTAAATTTTTCTAATTAAAGTGCATCTTTACGCGTAGGTACATGGTCGCCACAGTATGCGTACGTACTTACGTTGCGCGATGCGATTTAGGTTAATTCGCGTAGAACCGCGTGTTAAAGTTATGTTTCGTTCTTTCGATCGGCGATGCGATCCTGTTGTCCGCGATGGCGGGCCAGGAATGCATCAGGCACGCGATTCTCCGCGATGTTAAGCACGTAAACCCGTTCGAAATCGACCCGGTGGTTCCCCTTTCCTCGACTGCCTCGAAACGCGTCGTTCGAACGATCGTGCAGCCATTCGATACGCACGCGACGATCGTACGACGTTTCGACTTTATCACTTTTCGCGGCTGGCGAACCGAGAAACGCGAAACGCCTGACGATTAATAACGGAAACTATACAGTAAATATTTGAAGCAACGAACATCAAAGTAGTTATACGCTTTAAAATCTTAACAAACAATCCTCATTGAAAACTTAACGTTTCGTTTTTGGCATCCGCGATTAAGCTAAAGGAGCACGATGACACAACTGTCTCGTTCGGAGAATGGACCGTTTAATAAATGGAACGTTATTTGGAAAGATTAAAAAATAAAATAACGTTTGAGTCCAATTCGAAAGGTTGTCAAAGATATATTGATCCTTTGGTGGGGGGCGGGTGTGGTCACCAAACGTCAGATTTTGGTAACCGCGTGTCTAAAACTTATAGTCGGTGGCAGAAATATAGCGAGATCGTAAAAACAATACCGAAGACGACAGCACATTTAAATGTTGGGAGATCCCCAGGGACGATTTTTGTACACTTTTTGGACACCGTTCACACCACGTTGCGAGCTTAAATATATCGATGAGTGTGACGCACACTTATTAGCGTTCCACGAGTACCTCGCTATATTTTTTCCACCGAGTATACTTATTTCTTTTTCCGTCTACCGTTAAACTTCAAGCGAATCACCAATAAACAATAAGCTGAATGTATTGTTTATCGGCAATGTTTCTCATTTATTCCACTTACTCTTTTTTTTTTGTTTTTTTTTCGTTTTGGTAAAATTAACTTCGTTTTATCGTGATCAGATGTTTCACAGTACTCGTCGAGAGCGAAATTTCTCTTAGAAATGCCAATACGATGGAGACACGGTAGAGATAGTTGTGTCGATCTCCTAGAATCGATCGTCGATCGAAATTCTCTCGTCGAATGAAACGTTCAGCGTATAAATTCACTTCACATTAGGCGACACACTACGCACTTAACTGCGAGACGGGTTTACAGGCGTACGGTTTGTCGATTACAATTACTCGAAATAACGTTACACTATTGTGTATATTCATTTATGCCAAAGCGCATTACTACGTCGTGTAAGACTGTGTCTGTGTAAGTTTTGCAAATGTGTAATTATCTAGCTGATGATGATTGCAAGATTCGTAGTCGCTACTCCCCTCTCCGTCCCTTTTGGCAAGAACCGTGTTGCGTGTTCACGGCACAACGTCTACGATGGTTTCGTTCTTTAGACGAAACTCCCAAACAAGGGGATATCTATCAGCTAAAACGAGTAGATAGACGGATGAATAAACGGAAAAGAAAGATAAAACGAAGCGAAAATATAAAAGAATTTAGGGAGATATTTCTCCTCGAGTCTAAGTTGAAAAAATTGCTATCATTCGATACTGAAAGTTCCAAACAACACGAAAGCTATAACGCAAAGGCACGAGGGCGAGTCCCAGTTTTGAAGATCGTAAGGGAAGAAGGAATCGATCGGTCAGTGTACACCGAACCAGGATTCGAACCCGGAATCATTCGTTTATTGGACTATTAATTTTGAGCTATCCAGGCCATCGACGGATTCCTTCCTCCGGAGTTTAATATTAGAAAAATGGCTACCGTCTACGGCTCGGGCCAGTCTGACCAGGCACGGGAACAGAAATCTCGAAAGAAACTAAACGTAAAGGCACGAGGGCGAATCCCATTTCTGAAAAATTCTAACGTGAAGAAGAATTTCCGGCCGATCGGAAGGACGATGGAATCTCTCGCTGATTGGACAACTTGGGCTATCTAACGCTCTTTCTCCTCTCTGAGGTTAAACATTGAGATTCTTCGAACAGTTCGCGGACGATATGATTGTAAAAAATTGCCGGATCGCTGAAAAACGTGAGAACGTGAATACGTGAAACGACGATTATATAATATATAGGGTCGTCGATGAATGCGCGCTCGAGGCTCGACTTTAGAGTCAGGAACAGAGAGGGAGGGAGCCGGATAAAACAAAGCCGCGCGCGACCAGACGTTCGCGCCCCGTGTTTTTACGCAGATAATTTTTTTTCAAGCCGAGCGAATTGTAGTAATCTACGCGTACATTTCACGAGTGAGTCTCTTTGTAACATTCTTGTTCACCGTCCTCTCGTGATAATCGTCTATAATCGTCGTCTAAATCATCCTATGATCATCCTCACTATCATCGTCGGTTATGATCAAGCGTGTCCTCGTCAATGTCTTCGTTTTTCTCCGTTGTTCCGTCGTTTTCTCGTCAAAATCATTTATCTTCCAGTTTAGTTCTGAACTGCGATATACATGCCACCGATCAAAATAACCAAACGTCACCCGCGAACTTCGACCGCGTGCAACATACATATTTTTTTTTTTTCTCTATTTCATCCAGCGTGTGTTGGCGGGGCCGCTGTAAAACCATGTAAAAAATCCAATATCGCGGATAGAATTTACGGGAAACCGGCCTACTTGTGTGTTTAGGGATGAAACTGATCGCTGATATTGTATAAATGCGGCAATATTACTCTAGCTCACCGTTAAAACGTGTAGGTCTTCGTTTCATTGTCGTCGTCTCGTGAATATGATTTCGTTTCATCGTGTTTCGTATCGTTATTGAAATGCATGCAGCTAACGCAGCCAGCGCGGATCGTCGTCGTAAAATTCTCCTAACGTTAAGGGGCGGTTTACGAAGTCCATCGAAGGCAGGGGACTCCTCTGAGGCGGGGGCGGCGTCAGCCTTCGAGCCTTGATTTGGGGAAGTTGACTCGAAGGCTGAGTCGTCTATGGTTTTCTATCTCGTTCTTGTCCTTCGATTCCTCTTCGTGCGCCCTTAACACCTGTTCCTGCTACCGCGGACAATGCGCAGTCTTCTTTAATGTTCTCTCTTCTGAACAGCTCTCCCAAAACGATTAAGTCGTCCTCGCTCGTTCGACTGACGACGCGTCTCCCAACGATCGTGGCGTTTAGAGTCGATTGAAGGCAACTCGTTGGAGGAATGTATTTTGTTATTAATTTGTTTTTTTTTTTCTTTAAATCTTTTATACAACTATAAGGCTGTCGATGGAGAGCGCGCGCGCGAGGTCCGTGAGGCCGCTGCTCCCCGAGAGCAGTATCAACGGCTGCGTATCGGTGCAGGATCGACGCTTTGTCCTGGTCTCGTCGTCGGCGATGCTGCAATTGGAGCGTTCGTCTTACGGACGGGCACCGGGTGGCTACGGCGACGCTAGCTACGACGGTGGCGGTGCTGGAGACGTCGACGTCGGCGATCAGACGTCCGCGGTTCTCGAAGTGACGCTGGGCGAACGGCTGTGTATCACGACCTTGTGACCGTTCTTCGTCACGAAGCCGTCGCTCTCGACCAGGACCGCGGTCTGCCTGACGCGCGGATCCGTGTCCGCGTCGTCGCTTTCCTCGCTCGGGCCGCCGAGACGCTGCTGTTTGTGCTTACGCCACGCGTTCTGTATCAAACGGGCGCAGTACTCCTCGCGCTGGCGCCAAAGGGTGGAAGAAACTGGCTCGTAACCGACCACGTCCGCGCGACCCTGGACGTCGATGTCGCCCGTCTCCTCGATGGGCTTGCCCTTACGCGCGAAGAAGTCCTTCGTCAGAGCGTCGAGTATGTCCACGCAGAACATCAGGTCCCCTTTGCATATGGGAATGTCCATCGATACGATCTTGTACTTGTTCGGCTTGTGTATCTGCAACGGTGGCTCCAACACGTCCAAGAAGTCGGACAGCTGATCGTATCTGATGTACTGCGTCCCGTCCGGATCGAACTGCTGCCAGATCTCGTAGTACATGTCGTAATCGTCGTCCGTGAGACCCTCCTGCACGTCCTCGGTCGCCTGCGAGTAGTTCTCCAGGATCACCGCGATGTACATGTTTATGACGATCAGAAAGCTGATCACCAGGTACGAGAGAAGATAAGCGATCCCGATCGTCGAGGAACCACAGTTACCCGGATATCCTATCTCGTTGTTTGGCTCCTGGCAGTCCTCCTCGTTTATTATGCCGTCGAGCACACCGTCCCAACCCGCGGACGTGGACATCTTAAACAATTTAACAATTTATACCTATTCGATCTAAAGAATTTATGGGGAGTTTCCCTAAAACCGGACAGCAGTAACATCTTTAAAGCGTAAACCGTTATGCGATCGTTCTTTCACATAAACAATAGTAGGGATAGAATAAACAATGATCGAGTTTCGCCATGTTCTAATCGGCTAAAAAAATCAGTTGATTGTTCCATCTAATTAGAAGCTAGAGTAGAGCTACTTTTGTAATTACCTTTGTATTTTGTATATACAGGGTGTTCGGCCATCTACCCCGGGGAAAAATTTTAATGGGGGATTCTAGAGGCCAAAATAAGACGAAAATTGAGAATACCAGTTTGTTGATTGAGACTTGGTTATCAAGTTTTAGAAATATTTCTGGCCATACAGTATATTTTCGGTAAAGAATTTTTTTTTCGAAAGTACGTAGGATTTCAGGGGTATGTGTATTCGTCATAAATGATTGTAATTGACCTCTGCAACTGAAAATAATTTTTCCAAAACGATTAGAATTTTTTTGTTCGGCGAAGAATTTTAGCACCTACCCCCTGTCGATTTATCTTAAAAATTCGTTTTTCATTTTTAATAAATTTGTTTGACGTTCTACGGAAATGTTGTCTAATACTTTTTTGTAGGTAACCATGAGCTCTACCACCAGACTAAATTTCATTGAAATATATTCACTATTGTACGAGTTATGGTCATTTGAAATTTCGACCAACTTTCATGTGGTTTCTCTCAGTTTACGGGGTCAAGGAATAACTTTTTCAATATTGTTAGAATTTCTACATATTCTTGACCAAAATACGCGTCGTTTGCCTTTTTAAACATTAAAATCCTCCAATCCGTTCAGAAGTTATGATGTTTTACATATACGCATGAAATTTCAGTGAAACATATCAATGTATGGTCAGACATTGTATTTTCGGTAATGAATTTTTTTCTTGAAACTGTGTAGGAATTCAAGGGTATGTCTATTCACTAAAAATGATTGCAGTTGACTCCCGCAATTAAAAATAATTTTTTCAGAATGATTTGCAATTTTTTATTTTAATTTTTTAATTACTTTTTAACGGACCCTCAATCAAGAAATTGATATTCTTGATTTTAGTCTTATTTTGGCCTCTAGAATCCCCCATTAAAATTTTTCCCAGGGGTGGCCGAACACTCTGTATAGTGCACTGGTTTTTATGAAACAAACTTTATTTTATGGCTTTGTTGTCTCGGACACTACAAATCTAAATTTTGCTTATTCATATTCGTATTAATGGCTTCAAATATACTGGAATTTATCCTCTGGGTAGGAATATATTCTCAGACATTGATTATGCAGGTTATGAAATGACAAATATTCCACATGAAGAAATAAGGAATCAGCAAGATTTCACTTCAACGATGGGATCTGAAGATCCTAGAAAAGAAGATGAGAAGACATTAGTTTTGCAGACAATATTTACAAAATAATTCTGGAAGTATTTCCATTACCAATGGTTAACTAAAGTTTCAGTTAACTATTATAATAATATTATTTGTTTTGTTGCTTTATATTGATTTCTAATATTGTTAAATTATAAATAGAACAGTATAGAAGGTATGAAATATTAAATTTGTTTAATGATTTAGAAGAAACCTTAAGTGTCCGGTACTTGGGGAACTCTCCCTATCGTCTATGCGTTCAAGCTTTACCTGGAATAGCAATATCATCGACTGGCCAAACGTTTTAAAATTGTACACATCGTCCAGTCCGCTCTTGTCTTTGACGTGCATGAAGAAAGACATTCCAAAGATCGCGAAGATAAACATCACCAAAAACAGTAATAGGCAAATATTGAAGAGGGCTGGTAACGACATCGCCAAGGCGAAGAGAAGAGTTCGAATGCCCTTGGCACCTTTCACGAGTCGAAGCACACGACCGACTTTTGCCACCCTTACTACACGAAGCAACGTCGGTGACACGAAGTATTTTTCGATAATGTCACTGAGAACCAGACCTGAGAAGAACAAGCGCAACGTTAGCATGAAACGATCATAATAATTAAATACAGTGATATCGAGGAAGGATAAGAATTGTGCTATTCGTCTCAAGGTGCACTCTATGTTAATGGATGTTCTTCTAATTCTCATGCAGCTCTGTTCATAGGAATTCTTGCAGGGATTGTTTAGGTTTACGGATATTCTAGTACCCGGATTCATTCACTAGAATTCAAAAAAGGTGTTGGAGTTCTTTGGTTTGTAAGCGAGATTGTATTCGTCTAAATTTTGCTGTGACTAACGATAAAGAGGGAACTTGATCGATCAAATTCCAAGGCAAGTTCTTTGTTCACTACTCTCGTCGGTGCCTCTAGTTTTTGTGTTGTTTATGCAACTATAGAAAAAAATAAACATGCATCGTTCTAAGAATTATCTATTCGGTGAATCTAACTCTGTTTCCGTGAATCTTTTAAGATCGAAAGAAACATGCATCGAAATTGCTCGATAGTTCGTAAGTTGTTCAAAAGCTCGATCACTCGTTAAACGACACGGTGCTGTATAAGAGAGATGTTGCAAAATTTGGTGTTAGGCATTCTGATGTTTAAATATGAATTAACTACAAGTAAGATCCGTTCTCTCTAGTGAAATACTACTTTTGAATAAGAAGTAGTTAAAAATCAACGTAATACAGACCCGTTCTTACCCGGATGCTTTGACTAATGATCGTCTTTACATCGATTAACATATGCGAATCCGGTCGAATACAACATTAAGTAATTTTATATTTATATTGAACAAATATTTTTATACTTTGATTTTTAGTAAATAAAGAATCATTGATCGCAATCAATTGTTAAAATAATGTTGTATCGACGATTCAGCGGTCTATCGAATTTTTGGATGAGGGGGGATCGTAGAGGTTGGATGGAAGATCACAAAGACAACATCAATGTAAGGCTACGTAACGTAATGACGCTGATCAGTCGTTGCGGCGCACGTGAAACAACGAACCTGTCCGCCTTTTGTTTCGATGATAACTAGTATTGCGTGCATAAGAGATAGCCATAAGGTAGATGTTGCGTGACATGCCCATTATCAATTGTTACGAACACTAAGTCGCTAATCAAAGATTCGTGGAAAAGATCGTGTGATAGAAAAGCTGACAGGATTCTTTTTTCGTCAACTTGTATCGATTTCACGTGTGCCATACGACTGAACTAATCATTACATTACATTACCTAATATTGACAATATAACAACAACAAAATCAAAGAGGTTCCACGGCTCCTTGAAATAGTGGTAACGCAGAGCGAAGATCTTCATGAGACACTCGCTGGTGAATATCACAATGAATATCATGTTCAGATAGTCTAGAACGTCGCTGAAAGTTTGGGTCTGTTGATAATGGTCCAACGTCATCGTTAACATGTTCAGTCCGATAAACAACATGATTATCATATCGAACTTTTTGTCCGTCACTATTTCAAACACTATCGCTTGCGGTCTCCACTGTAAAAGAAAATTTAAACAACGTTGACGATAGCGAAAATCTACGGTACGAATATTTATTTAATGTTTCTTACTCTTGGACGAGGAATAGCCTTCAGTGGCTTCTTGCTACCCATTTTCTTCATAGCGTTATAATATTTCTTCTGATCTTCCGTCATGAACATTTCTAGGGAACCTCCCGCCTTCTTCTTCTGCTCGTTGAAGTTGTCAATGATCACTCCAATGAATAGATTAAGGGTAAAAAACGATCCGAATATAATGAAGAATACAAAATAGAAGTACATGTAGATGTTCGTTTCGCGAATCGGTTGCTTGTTCAGCTGCGAGGGGAAAAGGTTCGATTTAGCGATGAACACCCTAGTTTATAGTTTAAATCGTTACTCACCTCCCTGGAATCGATAGCATCGTTCATGATTTGAATCCATCCCTTAAACGTCGCCACTTGAAACAAGCATAGATACGCTTTTCCTACGTGGTCGAAATTCATTGGCGAATTCTCCCAAGTGTAGTTCTCGGCTATACAGGCGTTTCGATCGGGAATTATCTCGAAGCTCAACGTTGTTTTGTTTGCGTCTACGCACTGCAAAAAAAACAATAAAGAATTCGACTTTGCATACAGTTGAAGGTTATTTGATTAAGATATTTGAAAAGTTTGGTATCCGATGAATTTTTAATGGTTTTTAACACTATTCCTACCGATACTTCACGTATACCTATTTCTACCGCGACCGGTCAAATGACCGGTTTTCAGCACAACTTATATTTTTTAATATAGAATGAAGATAATAGCCAATTTTACAGTATAAAAATATAGTTTCTTTTATTCAGATAAAATAAGAGTAGAATAATGATAGAATAAAAATATAAAATAATAAATGACTGCCGAATATGCTCCGGGCAACTTTCACGTTTTGATGCTCTCTATTCGAATCACAAGACTTTACTGATTTAAATTCGTGAGAAGTCGTCTAGGCATCCCCTTTGGTTATGATTTTATTTATTTTACAGTTATAATAGATAAGATGGTGTAAGAAAATCCGAGGTTTTGGACCACTTCAGATACCAGTCTGGCAAATAAACACCATAAGGCCGATAGGCAAGTGAGAATTATAAACACTTGGAAGTGCCTAAAGCAGTTTCTGGAAGGCACTTTTCAGCTAAAATCATGCCACAACTGCATTATCTTTCGTTTCTAACGACATTATAGTTTCAGAATTGAGTCTTCGAGATAATACTGTTACATAAAGATATAAATCGTTCGACCGGTAAATTGACTGGTCGTGGTAAGTAAAACAGACTACAAATTTTTCTCAGAAAATAAACAATTAAAAAAGAAGTGAATATTGAAAAAAGTATTATACGTATATTTTAGGAAAAGTCGTGAAGTTTAAAGACGATGTAATTACGTTGTATATAGGAAATTCTAAACGAAATTTAAAAAACGGTCATTTGACCGATCGTGGTAGGAATAGTGTTAAAGCGATAGATTTACCTTGTAATATTTGCCAGCGAAAAGTTGCACGCCCATGATGGCGAAGATCAGCCAGAAAATAAGACACACCAGTAACACGTTGAAAATGGATGGAATGGCTTGAACCAAAGCGTTGACGACTACCTGCGGGACAAAGTTCACCGTTGTAGTACAGGCAGGCGGTTTCGATCGTGTGAATTCTGTTTCTCTATGCGTCTAAGTATGCGTTTATATGCGGCTATATGCGTCTCTATGTGACTACGCTATGTGTACGCATTATCGTATGTGCAATTTAATTTTCAACTCATCTCGCGTTAAAATAAAAGCAATGAGAACGCCGACGCGGAACGACTAATTTTAGGATAAACTCTATGGAAGCTTCGTTAGCTATCGTTAAATCGACTTACAATAATTACGCAAGTTAAAGAGACAGCCGATAAAAATTTTTCACTCGCTCGTAAACGTAAACGTTGAATCTCGCATACTTACTTCTTCGAACGACTAATATCCGACATTTTAAGTATTCGAAACAATAAGCATTTCAACAAATTAAAAAAGAAAAATATTCTCCTTTTTTTTTGCGTTCTCTGCGAATACGTTCGCAAACGAACGGAAACGAAATGAAAAAAGATACGAGGTATAGAAATTTGCCTGATCATTGATCGATGTGACGTGGTACAATAACGTTGCTTCGCGGAACACGATACATATAAGAATATACGTAGAAAAAGTAAAGAAAAAGCAGCACATCCGGCGTAAGCGTACATCGAAACACAGATCTCATATATGCAAAGGTGGCGGGTAGATCGTGGCCATGGCAGCTCCAACACAACGGGCGGCAATCTCATGCAGAAATGAAAATAAAAATATAAACTAAAACTAAAATCAAATAAACAAGTAAAAAACACATCGATATATGCTGATAATAGTAGCTTCGGACTACTACGATAGAGGATAAGATAGTGTCAGGGTGTGGGCATGACAGTGACTCTACGCCCAGTATCTCAGCGACCTTGTATTACGGTTATGTAGAATCATTTACGTCTGTAATGAGATATATAAACTGTTAATTAACCCTCCGAAGGACTGTAACCGATGACGAGTTATTAACATGTATGTAGGTACGTGTGTTTGATGCTAGCGTTTATAATATGTATCTAGCAGTATCTAGAGTAGAAGGCACGTTGTCAAAAGAACAGATCGAGGTAATATCTAAATACAGTACCGTCCATGAGTTTGGGGTCATCTTATTATAATAGTAACTAAAACCATTGACAGAAAACAAGCTGCTAATTACACGAGTTGCAAGCATCTCTCGAGAAACTTTCGAACGATTTTATTCTTCCTTGTACTGTGTTTGATTATGTTTGACGAAACGACGTTTGGCTAGATTCATCCTAATCGCACGAGGTAACTATTGTAATAGGTGTAGGAGTTTCATCCAATCGGTACGAGTTTAACGAGTGTTTGGTAATTCCAAATGAATAAATAAAAAATTGTCTTCGAATGTTTGGTGAAATTATACCCAGGAGGAGGATCGTAGGACGTTGTTTGAAATGTTCGCGTGTGAAATGAAAGTAAGGTAGTGACCTCGAACTTATGGACAGCAGTGTATGTACGTGTATCCTCTAAAGTGCATATTTCGCAAAAGTTGTTCGCGAGGAACAAATCTACGTGCCGTTTAAACATTCGCAATGTTAAGCTCAAGTGCATTCGCGATTGCCCTACGCATGTTCACGTGCAAAAGGAGAATTCTGTCGAGCCTCGGACACCGCGAGGCCGAGGATTTATCAATCTTCTAAAATCCTACGTAGCGACTATGTCAAAGATCGAAGGTTATGATCATTGCATTGCAACAAATTGAAAAAAATAGTGAAAAACGTACATATGTCATTTGCAACAGTTACGTAAAGTGAAAATACACAATGGTGACCATAGTTTTCATGTTACACGTAATTCCTATCGGCCTCTTTGTCGAGTCTCGCGACGGAAAAAAAACAGAAACGGTGCCGCCGTTTAAATATATTTCTTTTGTATAATGTATACTTGGAAAGACAGTGAAACGCTCCGATGAGTTTGTCTCCGAAAAATTTCGTTATTTCCAAAAAGAAAAATAACTTGTAGGCAAAGTAAAATTGTTAACAAGGTATAATAACATTTATTATCACATCGATAAGACAGTTCGACGGCACCGAGAAAGACTATATTGAAGATATGAACGAACCGAACAGAGTTGGACGTTGCTCGACAAATACTTATTATTTATTATTTTCCATTGTTTTAGACGATTCGGAATACTTTGTTTCGCGTTAAATACTTTGGTAATTTCGCGTGTTTGCTCGTTGGCCAGCGAATGAAAAATAACAAATAATAACTACGGTTATTTAGAGTACACGATCAATCCTTTGCAATTTACTATGCCCAACTCTGGGTGTCGATTCGTCCAAATGGACGACTTGAATTCTAAAAGAATAACTGATTCGACGGGATAAATAGAGTAATTGGCAAGGTCTGCTGAGACTGTGGGCTACATACCCGCATTCCCTGCATTCTAGACATCGCCCTGAGTGGCCTTAGGGCTCTTAGGGTCCTCATTGTTTTGAAGGCTTGGATCCCGCCAGCGCCACAGAGCGACGCTACGAAGTTAATGAGTGACACCTGCGAGCGAGAAACGAGAGCGAATCACAGCAACAGGTAGACAGGCTACACGTATGAAACGATTTCATCGTTTCCAAACTGGAAGTAGCAAATAGGGGGGATAGATAGAAAGAAGAGAAATAGAGAGAAATAGAGAAAGAGTAGAAAAGGGGAAGGGAGCAGAGGTTGACCGTCGATGTGTTCGTTTGAAGATTTTCGTCGATGGATCGAGGGTCTCATATCGAAGCAGATATCACACACAGGCGGCCGTCCCATCTGTGGAGAGCTTAGATTTCCATTTATATAGTGTATATACACGTTTTTAAATACGATACAACAAATATCCAGAGCAGGGGGGTTGAAGACATAGATAGAAACCAGGTATGGCACACGTAGCAGTTAACAGTGAACAGAAATATACATAACTTTGATGCGCGTTTCCGTACGATCACGCTGTTTTAGAGACGCGTGTGTGAATATTTATAAAGTGTATGATATAAACGCGAACGATCGTACGCATACGCGCATGTACAGTCGACAAGGCAGAGAGCAATGTACGGCTCGACAAGAATCATTATCAATTACGAGCATGATTATTGGCTTCGTCCTGAAACAGATGAAAATGTTCGTCATACTTGCGATCACAATGCAGGATTCGGCCATTAAAATAATTTATCGATGAAAATCCATTCCCTCGTTGTTTGCATTAGTTATTGTATGCTGCTCGAAATAATTAAGGGATCTTATTCTCAAATGCTCGAATATTTAATTTATACTGCATTCAATCGAAGTCCATGATTGATTACTTTTGATTTTTTTTAATTACTTTTGACTAAAGTGGATGTTACCTTTTATACATAAAGGTTTCGTATAATTGTATGTGTTCCCTTATATTTGTTTTTATTAACTTTTCTACGAACTTCAATGCAGTGTTCTCAATTTTACAGGAGAATTTAACCCTCCCAGTCCCATATCGAGCTGGACAGTCTTCTCATAATTATTTTAATACGATTAAGACAAGTCTAGGTAGATTTGCGTTTATATTACACTGTTAGTTCGAGCAAAAGCAGTCCCCATTTGATCAGCAACAAGTTAAGTATGTTTATATGCAAGGAACAGGAAGAGAAATGTATTTTATATTATCCTTTCTGTGAGCTTCAATGCAGTATGAGTTCTCAGTCTTACAATAGCATTTAACTCTTTGCGGTCACGTGTCGAGCTGGACTTCCCATTATTATTTTAATACGATTAAGACAAGACTAGGTAGATTTGCATTAATATTACACTGTTAGCTCAAGCAAAAACAGTAATTAAATTACGTTAATAGTAAAAATTAAAAACAAGATGTTCGGCCATCCCTGGGAAAAATATTAATGGGCGATTCTAGAGGCCAAAATAAGACAAAAATCAAGAATACTAATTTGTTGATGGAGGCTTCGTTAAAAAGTTATTAACGTTTAAAGTTCCGCCCGTACTAAATTTTTTTCTAGAAAGTGAGTAGGATTTCGACGGCATATTTATTCACAAAAAATGCTTGTAGTTGACCCCCGCAACCGAAAATAATTTTTTCAGAATGATTTAAAAATTTTTTTTTCGCCGAAAAATTTCAGCACCTTGTCGCTTTTTCTTAAAAATTTGTTATTCATTTTTACTAATTTTATTTGACGCCCTATAGAAAAGTTGTGTAATACTTTTTTGTAAGTACCCATGGGCTCTGCTTCAGAAAAAAGTTTCATTGAAATATATTCACTATTGTAAGAGTTATGGCTGTTTGAAAATTGAACCAGTTTTAGGGGGTTTTTCTCACTTTATGGTGTCAAAGAATAACTTTTTCAATATTATTAGAATTTCTACATATTCTCCACTAATATACGCGTTGTTTGCATTTTGAAAAATTAAAATCCTCCAATCCGTTCAGGAGTTATGACATTTTAAAGATTTGCATGCGGGGAAGCATTTCTGGCCTCAAATTAGATTTTTTTTTTTTCGAAAATACATAGGATTTCGGGATATGTCTATTCACCAAAAATACTTGTAATTGACCCCTGTATCTAAATATAATTTTTTTAGTATGATCTGAAATATTTTAATTTCGTTTAAAAATTTCAGTACCTACTCGAATTCTTTCCTCGAAAATGGGTAGGATTTCAGGGGTATGTGTATTTACAAAAAATGATTGTAATTGAGCTCCATAACCAAAAATAGTTTTTTCAAAATGATTTGAAATTTTTTAATTTAAGTTTTTATTAACTCTTTAATGAAGCCTCAGTCAAGAAATTGATATTCTTGATTTTCGTCTTATTTTGGCCTCTAAAATCTCCCATTAAAATTTTTCCCAGAGGTGGCCGAACACCCTGTATATTACTGTGAATCAAGTTGTCACTACTGCAAATAGTCTTGGGTACAAAGGGTTGAAGCAGACAAAATTTCTGTTTTTAAATTTGTATACAGAGTTTTTGCATTAAAAGATCCACTTTAGACTGTTAGATAGTTTGTTTGGTTTCCCTTGATAATTTCGAGAGACGCGTGCAAGAATAGGGCACGTGACCGTGCGTTGCGATACGAACAACCAAGAACCTGGTAAAACATATTACAATATACTATACGCGTAGACGCACGTATTACACACAAGGAAGATCGTACATTACACACAAAGCATTTTATGTATATATATATATATGTATATACAGTATATAGATACACTGTACGTTGCACAACGATCACTGTGCCAAAAAGACTGTTAGGAAAGGCGTACATAGACAATAGCTAGTACGACAAAAACTCCAAGATATCAGTGCAGACACCAAGTAGAGACGCCGGTGTACCTCCGCACACTGGAAAGCACACCGTAGCACAGGCTACGATCATTGTAGCGATTTATCTGTTCCGCCAACGTGTTCCCCTCGGTTCGCACGATCCCTTTCCACGCTTTGTACTCAGTTTTTTCCCTTTTTCAGATCGACCGTTTCGAATATAGCCTTCGTAGCAAATGTGACGGATCGACGTGCACTTAAAAAAGGTTTTCTAGTTACGAAGATCAGTTCCGTCAGATTTGCACGATCCGACAAAGGTCGTCACATCACCGGGATCAGGCTGATTTTCTTTTCTTTATAATTTTTTTTAAACTTTTTTTTTTGGTATTTTTGATTCACGTCGACCGATGACTTACTCTCATGCCCTCCCATCGTGAAACAGCTCCTAAAGGCCTCAAAGCCCTCAGTGTTCTCATGGAACGGAAGGCCGGGATGTCGGCAGCGCCGGCCATGATTGCGCCGATGTTGATCAGTGACAGCTATTATCATCAAATATTCATCAGATGGACACACGTGTTTCGTGATTGTCGTCGTTATCGCGCAGACGATTGAATAAGAGAAATCCGCTGGAAGATTCCACGCTGCGGTCCCGCTTTGCAGGCAGACATTGTGGGGCGATATTGGGGTCGAAGGAAAACGGGGGAGACAAAGACGGAGGAGATTGTTGCGTCAAAGAGTTCTCAAATGGGACAGTTTTCTCAAAAGATACTCAAACAAGCTTACGACGAATTTTACGAGCCAAATTCGAATGTTTGAACACGCTTCTTCGACAGCGAGCTTTGCAGAAGAATTTATACGACGGTGTCGCGTCGTAAGCTTGCTTTATCAGGAAACAAAACGTAGTTCGGCTGCAGTATAAATCATGAAATAATATTAGAAACATTCATAAATATTCTTATGAATATCCTGGGGATTCTTTATGCGTGTAATCGTCTTTCTCGTGGAAATATCTCTGGCAATCGTTCGAGAATGTGTAGTATTTATCGAAACAGATTACGCACATTTAGAATGCACAACTAAAAGGTTGTAACATAGGTTTTGTTGATTCGACAGAACTTACCATGACAATGATAAAATCAAGCCAGCACCATGCGTTCGTGAAGTACTTTTTGAAACCGAGAGCCAACCATTTGATTAACATTTCGAGGAAGAAAATCACAGTGAATATTCGGTCCATGTAATACAAGATATCTTGCAGAATGGGTCGTGCAGAAAGGTGCACGTCTTCCAAGGCCTGGAGCAATTATCAAATTAATTTCGTGAATATTAACAACGCTCTCGCGCTTTGAGCCTGACGATAACACTATCACTTTCTATTTTTTATTTTAAATTTTCTATGGTAAAATCGCCAGGCTCTCAGCGTTGAAGGGGATTAAATATTGCTCATACTCACGAGTGCCAGACTACTCGTAAGAATCATCAAAATGACGGCAGTCTCAAAATACTTGTTCTCGATTAGTTGGAAGGTCTTCAGTCTCAAGTTGGCCCAACCTTGCCAAAACGGTGCGTCGTCGTCGCCGGCCAGAAACGGGAATTTCTTGTAACAATTTTCCGGACAACAATCAGCCGGATAATCGGATTCGATGGGGTCCTCGTCTGCTTGGATAATGGCGTCCCCTAGCTCGCCCTTTTCTTCGTCCACGTCGTCCTCGAAATCTTGAAACGTACGTTTCAATCAGAAACACGCGATAAATATTTAATTGCAATAAAAAATTCATTTTTACTAACAAGTGCCATCGTCTTGTTCCAAGTCCTCCTTGCTCGCGTCCTTCTTTTCTTCACCGTCCAGAGAATCCATATTACCTTTATGACTTTCGTCTTTGAACACCCTGTTTTTATGGCTGCCATAAGATTTGTTACTGCCAGAGAAATATACAAAAAAATCAATGTGATCAACACGATTCAATATTAATAATTATTTTCTAATGGTACAGCAATAGTTTCGACCAACCTGATCGTGTCATCCTCATTCTGATTAATGTAATTGTAGTCCGGCCTGTAGTCATGATGGTTTATCGAATTTCCTATAATTTTGCTGACATTATTCTTCAGATCTCCTTCGAAAAATAAAAATCGTTCTCATCTAATTATTGGTGGAACTTTAAATTTATCGATTTAATAGTGAAATTTGATTCGTATACATTTCTTTAATACGGAAAAATGATTGTACGATTCGATGAATACCAAAAATATTCCATCGTTCTCAAGGAACGATTCGTAACAAGATTACAGTTTACTGATATTCGTGAATTTTTACTCCAAGTTAAGTTAAAGAATAATGTTGCGCGTTAGGAATGACTTTATTCGCATTTCTTCCATACCATGAATAGTAAATTCCATTCCGTCTCCGATAGTAATTTCAAGTTGATTCGTGTCCTTTGCATTCTTTTCCAACTTGCCATCAGCGCGATCTTGGTTCCCGTCGCGATCAGTTCTACCTGCACAGTCACCCAAAATCTCTAACCCGCCCTTATCAAAATAATCTCATCAAAAACATATCCGAGTACAAGAAAGTAACCGATCAGTTACTTGTCTGTTTATAGTCTTCCACTCTTCGAAGATATTAAAAGAAATTTAAAGCCGTAAATTTTTTTTTCATTGCGTATAAACTTCTCATCTATTTCTCATGCAATTGTCCCGGTCGCGGTCTAACTCGATTGTTAATAAATATAACTAACTTCTCGCGCGGTACACAATGGATCGCGTTTTGTTCCAATCGTTACTCCAATTTTTAATTAAATTCATAAGACCAGTATTATAATCGTATTATACGAGTATTAAACGATTCATAATCATAGTGCACGAAAGAAAGCACAACGCTATATATTACGTAAATAATAAAAGGTATGCAATAGTGAAAATAGTAAATTGAGACGAGTTTATATTCCCATGTCCCTTTCAAATGTTATAAAGAAACTTTAATTTTTATCTCATTAGCACTAAACCTACCGCGACCGGTCAAATGACCGTTTTTAAATTTTCGTTTAGAATTTCTAACACACAATATTATTTTAGCGCCATTTAACTTCACAACTTTTCTTATAGTACACGTACAATTAATTTTACAATATTCACTTCTATTCTTACTGTTTGTTTTCTGAGAAAAATATGTAGCCTGCCTTGTCTACCACGACCGGTCATCTGACCGGTTGAATGCTTTATATTTGAACTGGCCAAAATTTGGTATCAAATTCTGATTAGCTTCCGATGTAAATAGGAAATGTATGTATAGCAACGACGGAAGGAGAGAATTTTCAGTTTCCACTGTCTTAGAACAGTCTTACAACGCGTATTGAAATAGTTAAACTTTAGAAACGTGCAGTTCCGAAGCTGCTAGTGTTTTCTCCATAAACGAAGTATCGTTAGAAGTGGCAAAGCCTCCCCTTTAAAATGGCTTTTGAATTTTGTCGATCAGACTTTCCGTTTTTGAGATATCGTAATTTATGTAAAAGGTAATTTTTCTTAATTCGAATATCTCTGTCTCCGTCTGACGCGTCGCGCCGGATCTCTCTTTCTCGTACGTGATTCGTGACCGAGTAGCCTGCTACTACGAGTCACGTATCGGTCAACGACCTTGACAAGGCCGTAGTAAGAATGTAAACAAACGCTTCGGACCCTTATATCTCCGAAACTAGCCACCGCATCGACTTAAAACTAAAATCATCATATCTCCGGAACTAATAACGCTATCGACTCGTACAAACTCTCCTTTTAAAGAACATTTCATCCTCTATCTAATGATCATATCACCTATTATAATTTATGCTGTCTTTCCTGTTTATTTTGAAGATTACTTTGACGCTACATACCCAAAGAAATTTCAGCAATTCCTACTGATCGTACGACTAGTGTTCGATAAAACTGGATCATAAATTGTTTATTTAATTGAAAATTAATTTAAATTTAAATACAGGATGTTTGCGCAATCACTAGCCAGTACTTTTTCTTAAATAATTGTTTTCTCTAGAACTAACTATCGACTTAGAACAAAATTCGTTTTCGAGGGCGTTTTACTTCTATCCGATGAAAATTAAACAATTTTTTGACATAAGAGAGAAGGATATCTTACGAATAAACATCAAAACACAACTTTCTATACATATAATGCAAAAATTAGAAGCACATTGCCTCGTAAAAGAGAAAAAGAAAGACTGATCGTTTGACCGGTTTTGGTAGGAGTGGGTATACATGAAGTGCCGGTAGGTTTAGTGTTAACGCAAATCCAGAGATGTACCGCGTGAGGATCCACGATCTACTCTCAGAGTAATCCAACAATATCGAAGCGGTTTGTTCGTTTCCCTATAGACGAAACGATTGTTTTCTTCAACGATAAAATAATAAATAAAGCAACGTATAACTGCCAGGCTAATCAGCGAAGCAAAAATTAATTTTCACATTATCAACTCCTTCTTTTGACCCCCATTTGATCATAGACTTTTATTCACAGAACGAAGAGAAATAGCAAACCGATTAAAAAATTTGCATAAAAAATCGAACATGCCAGTCAACGTGTTATTCTGTCGAAAAAAAAAATATGCAAACGTTAAACAAAATAAAAATAATTGGTTCAACAGTACGAAAGATTGATTTTGCTAATCGTTACGCGCTGTTTATCTTTTTTTTTTATATATATATATATTTTGTTTTAAGAGAGGCAATCGTGTTTGGAAAATGATTTCGATCGTCGACTGGCACCGAAACGAAAAGAAAGTCTGAAAAAAGTGAAAAGCAGAACTGAAAACAGTGCCACGAACTACACAGCGCACACAGCAAGCGATCTGATTGGATATAAACCTTCTTTCCAACTGTTGGACGGTCCCTCACCTGGCGCCTGATCGGATATCTGATTGGTGAATTTGGCTCGCATCAATTTAGCAAGATAAAGGACATTTCGCTTGACCCACTTAACGAAACGTGCTATTCGATCGATCGCCTCCGTGATCTTGTTCGTATCGTTGTCTGCTGTCGGCGCCGAAAGATTCGACGAACCGAAGTTGCTCAGCAACAAGGCCAAGAAGAGATTCAGCACCTATTCGTTACAGACACGACGTCAAGTTTTTAACCATTTGCATACAACTTGTTCTCCTCAACTGGTCGAGTGAAATACAGGAAGTAATTTAAAAACGCTTCAAAGCTGCTGACATCTTTCTCGACTATCAATCGAACGATCAATTTTTTAGACCGCACTGTTTGCTGTATCTCACTCTTTTGTTTTCTTTTCCCCTCGAGAATTTGCACATTTAATAGAATTTATCGTGGACATCATGGATGTCGTTTCTTCGCAGGAAGACTGCTATAGTCAGCCTCGATAGAATCAGTCACTCAAGGTCACCGAGTCCCACTCCACACTTCTTCGCTTCGCTCCAGCTGTGTCTGGGAAATAAAAAGCTCACACTTACAGTCCCTTGTGAAATTATACAGCTTTTTCGACCCCAGGGTCTTTGGATTCTAGCTAAGTAATATGATTAACTATTGCACTAATGACGATGAAATAATAAATTATTAATATTGGTTAAACTTAGACTTATCAACTAATTGATTGTACGTTGAATTTATCAAGAATCCAACTAGTTTACAAACTATTTTAAAAATATTTTAACCAGTTCACCCTACCAGTCGAGAGTTAAGGTTGAGAAACGTTTGATGACAGATCGAATATACCATTTCGTTCCTCGCTAACTATACTTACAACCAGATTACCAATGACAACCGTGGCCAAGAAGAATGGTATGCACGAGACGTCGCCAACGAGCATACAGTCCCACATAGACTCGATCCATTCTCCGCACAGCACTCGAAAGACGATCATGAACGAATGCATGAAATCGGTGAAGTTCCATCTTGGTAGATCGCCGTCGGGAAACCGATCGACGTTGTCCGTGTAGTTCTTGCCGAACAGCTGCATACCCATCACGGCGAAGATGAAGATGATGATGCACAACACGAACGTCAAGTTACCCAACGCGCCCACCGTTCTGCCCATGATGGAAATCAGCAGATTCAATGTGGGCCACGATTTTGCCAATTTGAACACTCTCAGCTGCAAACGAAAGCATTATTTTGATCCTCCATTTTAAATAAATAATCATTTTGGGGTATCTCGTAGTTGAAACATACCAATCTGAACGATCGTAACACGGAGAGACCTTGCACACCTTCCAAGCCTAATTCCAGAAGCGAGAGGGCGACGATGATGAAGTCGAAAATGTTCCATCCTTCTTGAAAGTAATACTTGGGGCTCATTGCTACTAATTTCATCCCTGCTTCGATACCGAATGTCGCCGTGAAGAACTAAAATTTATGCACGTATATTAATATAATATTGCCTTGGAGAAAAGGTAAACATGCGTTTAATGGTTACCAATAGCTATGGTTCTGCCACTAGTGTACTTAACCCTCTCGGTTAAATTCTTTACGAAAAGGGTTTTATTAATTTTTTTAATAACTCTGATATTTTCCAACTGAATCCAAGTTTTAATTTTTTATTTATTAAAATCGAGCCTTCGTGGACGGAGATACGCCGAGAGAGTTAACAAACAAAAAAAGAAAGCAAAGTTAAATCAATTTGCGTAACGTGCGATCGTCTCCAAGCGCCTAAAATTTTTCTGGCACTGTTTTGCTTACATAATTTCCCGTCTTGAGCACCTTTTCCATATCCTTGTCCATGTCGTGGTGATCCAATGCCATGAAGAGCGTGTTGACGACGATACAAAGGGTGATGAAAAGTTCTACGAACGGATCGAACACCACAAGAGACACATATTTTTTAATTTCTAGCCATAACCAGCAGCAATCCCACACGCAGAAGATATCGATGCAGCGCAACATGGCTGCCAGCGCTTTTTCCTTGAACCTGGGCCCTTCTTCATCGTCGTCTGTCGGAAAGTAATAGGTCGAAACTGTAACGCGTGTTAGTAATTTTGTCTGGCACCACTCTTTTTGGGGAAAGAGGTTTTCTCATTCGTCAAGCTTGTTCTTTGTATTTTTTTTTTCGGACCACAGATTATATACGAACAGGCAGGCGTGTACTGTTACAGCGAACCAAAGAAAATAACCAAAATTTTGGGAGGGTTAGACTCTATCTACAGAGCAAAAGCAGTCCAATGAGACACGTACAAAGACTCAGGGATCTGATCTTACACGAAACTTATTAATTGGTTCCAATGTGGCTGATGTAAGTCGAGGTAACCATAATCCAAGATTCTTTCAACAGTACTCGTAGTTTGTTTAAACAAATCTCTGAGTCGCTGTAAATACGAACGGCGGGGATTTAAACGCGGTTGCCCCAGAGGCTACGTCCAAATACAAAGGGAGCTAAATTAGCAAACAGAGTGATGCAAATGTTATGCAAATTCATGGTGATTATGTGTGCAGTGTAGTTTTACTCCAAAAGGGTGCGTGTCGGAGGAAAATCAAGAGCAAATTGTGGTAAAATCAATCGAAACGGATGCTCGATACATGATCAATCCCCAACTGGTAGGGTGAAACGGTAGTCGCTTAATTCGTTGAGGGCATCTAGCGGATGTTTATGATATGGGCATGGTTTATGATATATGGGTCATTTAAAAGTTACTATCAGACTAATCACGACTAAATTTAAGAACTGGTGATTCCACAAGCTCAGCTAAGTTTGATACCATTCGACCAGTTGAGGGTTAACGTTGCTCCGAACAAGTGAGTCGTCACATGGCACAACATACCAACTACAACCAGAAGATAAAAAATGAGTATGGTTAGGACGAGCGAAGGAAAGTACGAATGGCGGATCTGTCCTTCGAACGTCGCGATATTTGGTGCAGCAACAAGCATGTTCAAAGCGATCGAAGTGCGACTATGCGTGCGTAATTGCCTAGTGTCGACGGTAAACTTTATTTGGAAAGCTCTAATCGCGATGGTTAGAGCGTCGAATTTAGACTTAACGTTGGCGGAACACGGTCAGTGAAGCGTTTTAAAACCTACGATCCGATTGTGCAGTTGAGGCGTACGCGGCGGTGCCTTCAATAAAATTCTGGCAAAATGAAAAAATGATAACTTCGCTGCAGTTTATATCGTAGGTAAAGTAAAAGCAATAATCCAGGCACGAAGCGACCAAGATGTCGTGCAGCTGCAGCGAGGATATTAATCTGTGTCGTATCGTCAGGAAACCAAACACTGTTTCCCCAAAAGAAAATTACTACAGACTGTTAAAATCCATTCAACGAGGTCTTACGCGTATCGTTTACAATTCCCGTATAAAATCGTCGCACATTTTACGAATCACGACTTTTTACACCAATGATACTTCGATCGAGCAATGCCATCTTCTTTGCTGCGACAGTAGGAATGAAAATAATATATGTCCTTTACAAGACGTATCGGGACGAACAAAGAACCGTACCATGCACTGTTGTACATCGTGTCACCGATATCCAATAAAATTATGTCGTCATCTCACAACGTTTAATACAATTATAAATTGAAATTAAATAATAAAAAAACAAAAACAGAAGTAGTAGTGAAAAAGAAAGGATTCAGTCTACTATGTACAAGGCGCTCAGACAAAAATCTTCAGCACTGAATGTCAATCGAAGAAAAGAAATACAAGAGTCTCAACAACGGTGTACATCAAATTATAGGATGCTCATCACACAAGAGATACACATCTGTGATAAGGGTGATAAACTGAAAAAAATGACGTAAGATGGACGGATTCTCGACATTACCTCCTTGCTCCGGTGTTCTGCTCTGACGACCAGCTGCTTGTTCTATTATATCGTTCAGTACCATCACGTCTGAAAATATATATTCAATCAGTATTTTCTGTTCGTGTAAAACATATTATCAGAATCGTACCTTTCATATCAACGACAGCGTGTTGTTGAGAAGGCTCTATAAACGGATTGTCTTGTTGCTTTGCCTTGCCCATTGGATCGTCCAGGTCACCCTCCTAGGAGATAAATCGTATCATTTATACTTCGATCTCTATTCCTTTCGAACGAACAGATCGATCCCAGCAACTATTCCCATGTTAATATCTCCAAGTGTTTGAAAGGAGCCTTATGGCAAGTTGGAGGAGCCCACCACGTCCCCTCCTCCCTCACACTTTGTAACTAACTTTAACAAAATTGTAACAAAATACCCGGTTGGAAAAACTCATGTTCCATTCTGAAAAATGGCGAGTGATCGCAGCCTACCAAGAAACCCTCATACTCGGAGACATTAACGTGACAATCAGTGTATCTCTCCGACCTCCTATACTCACGTAATGATATTTCTGATTAGAATCCGTGAAATGTCCATTGACGGAAGGTGGCCTGACCGATCTGATCCTCAACTGACTCTCCTTCGTCATCGGTTTCCCAGCGTTGGCGATGCCACCGATAAGATCGCCGTGGGACGTGTACGAAAACCGCGAAGCGTGGGACGTGTACGAGGAGTGCCTAGAGCCAAGATTGGCATAGTAACCGGAGACCACGATAGTACCATTTTCCTCGGACATCGGCGTGACCGCGTTCGAATCGTCGGCGTACGGAAGGTGTTCTTGGGCGTCGAGGTACGTGGAGAGCACCAACGGCTTCCTGTCGCCCCCAGGAGGCGCGACGAAACGACCACGACCGTTTCTTATCGTGAACTGATGGCTACCACGACTGCTCCGACGAAGATTAAACGGTGAGCCAGGTAGACTAAGGCTCGCCTGAAATTACAACAAAGCGGACCACCGCTTTTCTCTCTCACCGTTCTCGTGCTTCTCTGGAGGACGCGGATGAAGGGCCAGGATCGGGGGTACGCGTCAGAGGAACCAGGGTTTCTTGTACCTCCTCGAGCAACGATTATGAACATTCCACGATCTTTCGTTAACGTATGAATCGTAGGCGCTATCAAAGCTGACAATGTCTGGTGAATGCCTCCCCGCAACGTGAAGTAAAGAGTTTCGATCCCAAGATAAACAGAGGATATCATGAAGTCGATGGATGTACTCTAATGACTTGATACGTCTGATACGAATGAGATCGGTAACGTGTTTCTTGGATCGTACGTTTCAACTTAGAGGAAGCATCGCTAGCGAAAAGATTTTTGGAATTTTTTTAGCTATCTTCGCTTGATATAGTAACTCGTTTTCCGTACGAACACATTGATCTTTTAAATTCTGCCTTGCATTATTTCGGTTAAAAGAAAACGAGAGACATGCATCCATAAACAAGGGTACACGTAAATGATCAACAGGTCGGAGACAAATTCAATTGGCTGTTCAAGGTCGGTACCCCCACTCTTGAATCACTTTAAGGGGCGGAGCGTTCTCGACGACCTTGAACGGCCAAGTCGATTGCATTCTGACTCGGTGGATCGAACGACGGAGATCACAGCATCACAGATGGATCAGAAACAGTAACAATAGGGAAACAGAACACACCGAAAGCGACTTTGTATCAATATTGACGTAAAAACATCGTCTGGGGGGAACGCATAGCTGTATTTTCAGTGTCTCTACGATTTAAAGAAACGCGAATTCGAGAACAAAAATTGTATTCGTACTTGAAACGATTCGCTACATCATTTTTATCAATCGCTAATCGTCCTCCGTGATAACGACTAAGTTGAGTCATGATATTTTTTTATTTTATCACACCATTCCGACACGTCAGACTTGGGACGCGTTGACATGATTCGGATCGTGGATCCTGTACAGCTATTTAGTACGTACGGTCGGTGCTGACAGATACGTCGTGACACACATACCTTCCGCAGGCTTTCCTGGTAGGCATAAGTAAACTGGCCATTAGCGGCGCGAGAGACCTTAAGAAAAAAACAAGAAAAGATATCTCCTACCAAACGGCTCGTAACGTGGTCTAAAGTGTACACCAAGGAGGCACTCGATACGGATATATTTATAATAAATACTAGCAAAGCGTACATACACAGAAGAGCAAGATGTTTACGCGCGGAGATGATACACAACTCGTCGCAACAAATATCGAGGGAAAGTTACTCAAACTCTTATTTAAGGAATAGAAGAATGGGAGACACGAAGATCGGTGAGATCCATCCTCTGCAGCCATCTTTCACGGGTATTTGCGGTTTGAGCGCTCAAGGACTTGTCATTTTGCCAGCTAGCTCCATCAGGAGTCTGCGGATGTACTGTTTATTTATCTTACTGGTTCATCTTTCAGCAAATCCTCAGACATTCGATGTCGCTAGCTGTACCACACCGAATAAACACATAAATTTACGTCGACATCTCGTTTACCTTCTTGACAATGTCTTCCGCTACGACGAAGTTTCGCTAGCAAGAAAATATCTAATATAAATTCAATTTTCTGTTTGTAAAACCTTGCCCATTATCTTTCACGATCCGACAGTTCGTATCTCCTTTCTCTACTAAAAACACATGCGTTTGCATGCAAGACAGCACAATGAGTTCAAACAGTACGCGATGCCAGACCCGATTTACTCTTCCACGACCGGAAGTCGAGACTTGAACCGATCGTACCGCGCGAGAGACTGAATTAGCGAGCAAATCAACGTAAAACAAGGAGTTCAAAAGCATCCTAACGAAGTACCAAAAGTATTTGTACGACAAGCATGCTACAGAGCGACAGATTTTTGGTGGTAGGGCTCGACTCGTCGAGGTAGGCAAAACACGCTCCAATAGGCCAGCGTTCGTAAACAATCGCGCGAAAACCGTTCGACTCTGCCACCCTTGCGAAGCTCGCCTCCAAGCATCCTTTCACACCCCTAAGCTGCGATCGCCACGATCCACACACCTCTATAAACGATCCTTCGTCCTCCTAACCTTTACTCCCGATACTTATCGCGCGACACGATTGCAAATCGTCCTTGCATCCATCCAGACTAACTCTCTGCCTGCTCCGAGGACTCTAAATAGTTAAACTGTGCTCAGTTTGTCGACGAGTCGAGTCAACATCGAACAGCCTCGCGTGATCTGCTCTCGTGGAAGCGAGGTCAGGGGACAAGTTCGAAGGAACAAAATACGTTACGTTACAGGAGGAGATAATCGACGATGCATACACCGGTCGGATACTTACGGCGCTCACTTTTCGCACTTTAGTGGTGGTGGTGTGGTTGTTGATCTGTTTCACCCTTTGCTCGCTGACTGACTCGATCGAACGTATGCTCATCCTTTCCTTGTTGTTGTCGTCGTTCCCTCTTTCCTGGCCGACGAACAGCTCGTAACTGTGACACGAAAAATCCGAGGGCGACTTGACGATCTGGTCCACCGCGTTTGCGGCGGCCACCGCCGCTGCCTCCCGCGCTGCTGCCTCCCTTGCGGCCAATTGCTTGTTCTCTTTCGCCAGGGCAGCTTTCTCCGCTTCCTGGTGCGTTCCAAACATGAAACACAATCTCTCGTATTAGATATAGTTCAAACTGGTCCACAATAGAACTGGAGGTTTCAAGAGGGTGGTGAACCTTACCGATCTTTAACCCTTTGCACTCCGAATTATATTTCAATTTTGTTACCAGCAGCTCGTGCTTTTAAGTGTTTTATTTGAAATTTACAATAACAAACAAAAATTAAATATCTGTTTTATTTATACTATTAAAATCAACTGAAGTTGAAATGTGAGGATCTTGGATGAAAAGATTACGTATGTGTCGACAACCGCCAAATGAGCTCCTAAGATAAAGACTGATGTTGACATAGAGGTGCAAAGGGTTAAGTATTGTTAAGGATGCCACTTTGAGTTAATTTTTGAAACAGATATTCTCTATAACGTGTATCAATCTTATTGAGATTGGTGAAGCACTCATCAGAGTTAGGCAAATAAGTAAATTAACTAGACTAACGAGTGTCTGCATTCTAGTTTACACTGCTTTAGATCACACTGACAGTAGAGGAACAAGTAGACTGTAAAAAGTGGGGATGCCAGTGCTCGTTAGCCCCCATAAGGATGTAATTTTTCCAAGTTTCTTGGATAAGTTCGAAAGAAGACGTACCCTGATGGCTTCCTCTTCGGCAGCTTCCTCCTCCTCGGCCTTCTTTTGCAATTCGTCGTAGGACATCGCGACGATGGCGAGAATCAAGTTGACGAGATAAAACGAACCGAGGAAGATGATGACTATGAAGAACAACATGTGCCACGGACCGGCGGATCTTAGTACCAACTGATAGAGATTCTCCCAGTAATCTTGAGTCATCAGACGAAACGCGGAGAGTAAGGCCCAACCGAAGGTGTCGAAACTCGTGTAACCGTAATTCGGATTATCGCCGTATCCTTGTAAACACGTGTAGCCAGGAAGGCACTGCCTGCGCTCAAGAAAATTCTGTTAGAATCGAAACGTTGGGCGACCAAAGCGCGTTAGAAGATGCAAATTACCCTGCTCCAGATGAATTTCCACACAGGGGCATGTTTTTCGCCTCGTCCACGTACCAATTAGCTGAGCCAAACAAATAAATTGCTTAGAAAACGTTCGGGGCCCTCTAATGGCCGCTCAAACTCGGGCTACGACTACATAATTAATTTATTGCTCAACGACCCAAGATTCTCACAGCCGATACTTTGAGGAAAGCGGTTGGATATCTCGAAATCCTTGCAAAAGCTAGCCTACGTATCGACCTAGCTCGAAGGACGTTATGGGAATGAGATTCTAGACGTGAAAGCATAGGAATAGCAAATAAAAATGATGAAAGGTACTTTAAGCAATTTTATAATAGCTGCAATCAATTTAAAAATTTTCCAAGTAGTCCTAGCCCTAGTTGGAACAGCGAAGGTTTTCATCGCAAGTTTCCAATCGTCTACACCGATAAAAAATTTACAAAAGTTATTTGGTCAATTTTTTATCAGTGCACACGATTGGAGACTGTCAAGGTTCGTGAATCGAGCCAGTGAGATAGAACTTCTCTCGATAGGAAACTCCACGGACGCCATTTTGGTTGCGTACGTACTTTCGTTACTAACGAATCGCTCCCAGTTTTCATCGGTGAGATTGCCCCAGGAGCCGTCGTTGGGAAAGTTTTTTATACACTTTTGCGTGAGAACCCCCATGTAAATCTGGAGGCCCATCAGCGCAAAGACGGAAAGAGAGAACATCGTCAGGATTATCACATCGCGCAGGTTCTTCACGGATTCTATCACAGCGCCGACAATGGTTTTCAGACCTAGACAACGAGAGAAAAGGACAGCGGACTCAGTTAGAAATCCTGCGTATCGGGTTCGGGTGGACGTTAACAGACCGCTTGTTCGTTTCAGCGTGTGGAAAGAGATGACGGGGCTGGGAATAATGGATCGAGATGGACGATGGATGAGGGGGTGGGGATGACGATTAAGAGAAGGCGGAATAGGCGAGCAGAAGAAACGGCGGTGACGGTAGCCGATGACCAAGTGTAAGAACATTGATCGATACAGTTCGATGATTATTGAGATCGATGGATGAGCGTGAAAGATACAGAGGGTGGCTGATGGAACAAAAATTTGACGCCGGAATAAAGAAATGATATAAATGTTTTTTGATGTGTCGAAGATAGAACAGGCGTTACTCGGTGATGATTGCGAAAAGAATGTGTACAGCGACCGCGACAAGTGTCTATGACCTCTATATCTGCGTCTACGACCAATTTCTATTTCTCTAAGCATACCTGGTACAATAGCGACAGTCTTCAAGGCTCGGAGGACTCGAAATGTCCTGAGAGCGGCAAGGTTGCCTAGATCTATGCCCATCGTCACATAACTGCAATACACCCGAACATCACACACATTACAGTGATACAAACAAAAAAACAAAACGTTAGAAAAGAGTTGAGGATAATAAATTACTCAAAGGGTTACTCGCTACTGTTCCTATGGCCTACCAAAAGTCTGCTTGAAACTGCGTGTATTATAAGATAGCTATTACTGCATGCACGATGTATATAATATTTAATTTGTCACGGTATCACGGGAATTAATGCCTCGTTATGTTTTTTTTTCGAACAATATCACTCGAGTCTTTCTCGTGGAAGGAGTAGAGAACGAAAGCTACTATATTCTCGTGATTCCGAGTCGTTATCGAGTACATGTTACGTCGAATAAATACACGTATTGACCATCTATCAACAATTACGTAATATATGTTATATATAGAAGATATATAATATAGACAGGATCCGTCGTACGATGGGAATCGATTCTAACTCTCGTGCCGTCGACGATGGGACAAATATGGTGGAGAAAAGAAGTACTTTCTTTTAATGCACAGTTGAATGACGTTTTGGAAGATTTTTATACTTTGCAGGAGTATTTTCCGCTTACAGAGCCCGTTCGACTTCCTCCTCCGTTAATTTGATCCATCATCGACGAAACGGATTCAGCTCCAATCGCACCACGCATCGTGTACAAGTACTAAACTACAAACAATTAATAAGTGATTCATCGAATCGACTGTTTATACTATGCTAATCAACATTACGATGATAATAAAGATACTCTTCGTCTGTGGTTGCTAGACATAATAAATTCTCTATCCCTATCTAGGTGGACTAATTCGTATACCTGTTCGTATTCGTGTGACTATACGTGTGTACATGTAGATGTTTATTGTACGTATACTGGCAAATAGTGTGTAAACATGAGAAGAGAGACTGAAGTACTTGATAAACTCGGTGCTACAGAAATTTTTTATAGCGTAATCAAAGGTATCTAGCGTGGTCTACTGTCATAACCTGAACATCTAACTTGATACTAATTTAGCGTTCTCGTTGGGGAACGCTTCTCTGCGCCAACTGGTCGTACGGAGGTCGACGTGATCGTTTCAAAATCAGTCCTGTCGACGCGGTTACGGCTAGGATCATCATCGTGATTACGAATCTACCCGTGGCACTAAGGAAACACAGGAAAAACAGAACGTCTGCTCAGGCTGATCGGTTCGAAGCCTGTTTTCAGATTTAAATCGATTAAAGCGTGTCGAACTCGTCGAGTCTAACGTGCCCAATGGAACCCATTGCTAATGTAGGTAGATTCGTTGATGATTCTCCAGAGAAAAGCGTGAATTTCATCTCCGTTGACGGTTTTCTCTTTTTTTTCGATCTCAAAGTCCGAATGAATTCGCGTCGAACGAGAATGTTTCCGTTCGGTGAAATTAACACGGAAAATTCGTTTGGGGAAAGATTTGAAAATTCGAACTCACGCTTTCACGAGACCCACCAGATCTTACCACCGCACGACACGTCGTTTCAAATGACTTTCTCTTCATTGAATCAACTATTGCGAGCAACACGTGTCAATTATTACCGAGACAATCTATGTATCTCAATCGTGTAACCGTATTACGTGAAATTATGGACTCATTAACCTAAGGAGAGTTATCCTATGTTGATGTATACCTTCGATCGAACATCGTTAGCTGGTTTTATTAATGGCTACAACTTTGCAAACTATGTAGGGTGGGTTTCAAGATTTTTTTTTTGTCGAGTTTAGTCGATTTTCGATATCGTCCGCCATTTTCACGCTACATGATAGAGCTATGCACCTTTCTCGATTCTATTCTCTTTCGTCACACGCTGTACTCTACCGTAATGGTCGTTTGTCATTTCTGTACCGTTCGGTATTCTTTTCTTTTTTTCTCTTTCTTTATTAAAGAATAAGTTTTTAACTACTCACGCTAAAGCTATAACTACGAAGTCGAGCCAATTCCATGCATCTCTAAGATAGGTAAAAGGCTGCAGAATGAAACCCCTCGCCATCACCTTAACGGCGGACTCAAATGTGTAGATGCCCGTAAATATCACTCTGAAAACAACAAACACACCACACAGCTTTAAATGCGATTTCTTTACGCGCGTGTACGATTCTCTACTGCCTATCTCACGTTTCGTCACACTCCACTGATGCGTCGCGTCAGCGACACCATCGCGTCACACAAAGGACATCTCAAACCAACCCATACCGAATTATTTCGATATTCCTTGTTTGCAAGTAGCAACGAGATCAACTTCTCAACAATACTTTCGCTTTCTCAAACATTTGCACCAAGCTTGCAAGCGTTTGACAAACTTCAAACAATCATATTACAAATTTCAATGACTAAACTTTCAGAGAAAGGGAAATACGACCATTCCTGTTCTAAAATAACAAGTTTGAACATGTTCGATGTGAGTTTGAACAACTCGAAAAAGCAATCTTATCATTGTTTGAGGTACCCGTATAAGAATCGAATAGATCTCAACGTTATTCGAGAGGTATTTTATCCACCCATTTGTAAAATGGAGTACGTTTGAGACAGAGGGTCAAATTGTTGCATAGACTGTCCTTCGCGAGCGAATAGCGTCGCTTCAGCTAAACTACGCGACAGTGTCCGATCGCTATCGGCGTCTAAATTATTACAGATCGCCGTAGACAGACTACGTCGAGCACGACCCGAGCGAACAATCGTTTCGTTGTTAAACATACGAAACAGATGTTTCATCGTAACGATTTCTCTATGTTATCGCGAGTTCTCTGTCGTCGTTATTATTAATATTATTCGCACAGATCGCTCACGTCTACGCTACCTCTAGAGAGACTAGGACAAAACTTACCAACGGAATACAATTTATCACAGTCTCTACTCATATATTAGAGCTATAACACGTAGAACATTGCTTGAAAATATCTATTTTTTACAACGTGTACTCGCCGTAAGCTTTCGATGGCTTTCTCCCAAAATTGCAAAGCGACACAGAATCGCCTGTAACGGAGAAATCTATCAACGGTTTAAAATATATTCTCGCAACACATCTCCGGCTTAGGCTCGTAAGCACGCTAGGCTACGTTGATTCACAGTCACTGCAGAGCAAGCGAAAATATATATTGTCTGAGAGAATAAAGAAACTCGTTGGAAAATGTATCCACGTATTGACTCGATTCTTTCGAAAGGGTCCGCGGCCACGCAAAAAGTTTTGCTTTTCCACAGCGTCGATCGCAACAGTCTCGGTTCGTCTCGGATAATATCGGTTCGATCGAAGCGCAAAACACCTGTTCGTATACTTTCTTTTAGTTTGCTTATTCGCTTCCATCCATCCAAGAATCATATGCAAGTCTCTTTTTATTCTGAATCCTTCTTTCTCACGTCGCACGAGTATCGGTCTTTTGCCTCGGGATTAATCGGTACGAGGAAAATAGTGAGTCCGCCGTTTCGTTGCACGGGATCGATACTCGTACGCGTGTAAATAAAAATTACAGGAAAAAGAAAAAAAAAGTTTAAAAAGAATCCGAGGAACGACGGAACGTAGGCAAAGAGTTAATCGAATTCCTTCGTCTCGCTAATTAACGAGGCGAGGTGGACGAACGATACTCACTCCGTAGACTCGATGGTGGGCGTAGTGGGCATGATCATGAGTATGCAGTTAACCAATATTGTAGTGATAATGAAGAGGGAGAACAGTGGGTGAACCAATATGTAAATGGCCACGCGTCGTATTGGGTTGAAGGGGTCGAGGATCCACATCGCGTCTGTCGCTGAGAACCTGAATATGTCCTTTCCCTTGCTGACGACGACGAAGGTCTAAAAACACACGGTCCCGTTAAGAAACACACCGACGAACAAAACGTGCAATTATAAAATTACGCTCGGGGATTCCAATTAACGTTACCACACCCTCAATCGATATTTAAGTTAACCCATTTTATCAAAACAACCCGCGGCTGCTCCTACAACCTTTACGTAACGATCGTCGAAGCTACGAAAATATTATTTTTTATTATTGAAACAAACTTTGAAACGTATGGTTTCTTCAAGAGTAATAAAATGGTTGTGCAAATAGCGATCGAAGGTGGTTGTTTGAAACGGTGTAAGTTCAAATGGATACCCTTTGGTTATGATAGAAAGTATCGATATCCTCGAGAGGTGTGGAGGCCAACTCGGGTGGAAATTCGTTGTGCAGTCGGACCGGGATCGGTGCTCCTTGCTCGAACATCGGATCCGGCTGAGGACCCTCGTCCACGTCCTCGTCGTCATACCGAACCTGCGAACGAAGATACTTCTAATTACCCTGATCCCTAGCGGGCGACAGCGATTAAGATCGAGCTCTTCATACGTTGCATTAAATCATCGTTACCGTACAGACGTGCTAGAATTCTCTGTACAATAATTATCACGCGCTACATCCTCGTTCACGTGCGCACCGTGGCCCCGTGGCTCACCAAAAAAACTGATCGAGCGATCAAGGGTGAAACAAATATTTCCAACACGTGCGTATAGAATATTTCGGTGTCCTCAGAAAAAGAAAATCGAGACGCTCGTATAGCGTAGACTGAGAGAGTGAGAAAAAACAACGTTGCACAAAATATATGTACGCCATGTTTTTTATTTGTATGCGTGAGTGACCAGCGCTTGGAAATATTCATTTGTATCGTCGTTTCTATGTGTGCATCGATTATTCATAACCCGCTTCTAGATGAGCTTCTATGCGTCGTATCGGTTTCAGAGCGGTATTGTGCATCGCAAGACAACGGTCCCGAGCTTCAAGGCAGGCACCACCTCGACTCCAACCGAAGATAACGGGTTTACCAATCGCATTCTTCGCTCGACGAGGAGGCGTCACCTTTGTCCGTCGAATTGATCGCGAGCACAATTACTAATTCCCAATAATAACACGGGGTCTCGTGCTGGTTTTGATTCCAACAATTAACATGCTTATTAGTCCCAAACCGTCCCCAGGTGTACAAATTTTATTGACAAAATTATTTTGCCGCCAATTTTCAAAGAGGGTGCAGCGACGCCATTTTGAAACCTGCAGTTGACTCGAACTTTTTCTATTAAAGTCTCTACCGGATAGTTTTAACTATTATTTTGTTGAAAATTATCTTTGACAAAGTCCCCAAGCCTCGAGTGTCACCGTTCGTATTAATTGAAAGTAAAGGCGCAGAAATTCTGTTGGCCAGGGGTCGATTTAATATTAAAACGTGCGATTAAAACGTGTTTGTGGCTGCTCGCGAGCAACGTTAGAGAAACAGCAACGCCCCCGTTCGAGCACGTACGTGCACTTTACCGACGGTACAACGTTGGCCCACATTTTTTCCTTTCCTACTTTGGAAGCATCGGGAACATCTATTTCCGCGTCTAGTCTGAAAAGCAGCTATGGCGGGCTAGTTCGTATAGAAGGCGGTCTATATATATATGTGTGTACAGTACGAAATTGGTGCTAAAAGCGGGTCGTGAACATACGAACCTGGTGAAGGTCCACGTGATCTCCTCGTTTTCTGCTCCCCTCTCACCGAATTTCTCCCGTGAGTCATTATTAGAAATTCGAAGTATGCCCACCTGCTTTTGGTACTCGTGAGCTACCCTCGCGCTTGGACGAGCGCCCGACCGACCGTAATATCGCGATAATATCGTTTCGTAAAGAACAAAAAAAAAATATACAGTGCGACCACGCGAAAAACATTCGCGTTTTTACGCGTCGATGATCGAGGTATATTGATGTATCAGTGTCATGGCTGAGATCGTGTACCGATCGACGACGTTGATCAACGACCGGTTAAATATGATTTTTTTTTGCTAGAAATTGTACACGACTCCCGGACAAATCGATTCAGACAAGCGAGACTCGAAGTAACTTTCGATCACTGTAATAATTACCTAAGCTACCCAAGACCATCTATAGAAGCGTTTTTAAAGGTCTAAAAAAAAAAAATGAAGAATTCTCCTCTTAATTAGATGCACATACACGAACCTCCTACTCCTAATAACCATCTATACTAAGGCTGTCGTACGTGTAATGTCTACCTAAGTCTAATTTACGCAAGCGAGAAGTGTCTGCCGATGAATATTCAGGCTGAACTTTGCGGCCAGAGCAGAACCTACGGGTTGCAGCACGACACGTTCATCGTCCATCACTTCGTTCGTTTGCGCAAGAAGTTGAACGAAGACGTGCGGCCAACCGCAAACGTACCGTCTCGGAATCAACGTCGACAGTTTAGTCGATGCTCTATAAACGACCAACGATCGCCATTTTTGTTCGTAAAATACGAGGTAATCTGTATAAAGCGATTGGGTTATTCGTGAAACTTGGAAAGTTACTTTCTGGCAAGCTTGGCTCAAGTTCACTCTTTCGAGTAGAACCTCCAGCTTTTTTCAAAACGATTCTCGAAAATATAAGGAACGATACAATATTTGAATGATAATAATATTTTTCCTTGTACCACATTTTACGATAAGTTAAAATGGCTAATCCTTGAAAGAACGCTCCAATCAACTTCTTGTGCAGTTCTGTTTATGCATATTATTTACACTTGCAGTTTCGTTCGTAGATATTATTTATACTGGAGCCGTGAATATCGGTCTTCGCTGAGAACTCGAATTCACAGGACATCGATAGCATTAAATTTACGAGTGGAACACTTTTTTTGTTGTCTTTTGGTTTGATTCTATAGATTTTGGTTGGCATCGATGCATTATGCGACGAGGGAAACGCTTGGAAATGAAATATTCCGGTCGATCGATGTCCTTTGACGCGAGACTTGTCGTTTCGCCGAAGACTGTATTGCGACGTGCTGACGATAGATCAATACGATCCCGGGAGAAGCTACGCCGCTGCGATCATGTGTAATTCGCGGCACCGTGCACGCTTATGTTGCTACCGAGGCGCACAATTAATGAATAGAAGTAAAAAAAAAAAAAGAAATAGGCACGTATATAGAATTTCCAACTCCAAGCGTTGCAGATACGGGCATACGATCTATAGAAGCGTTTTCAGGCGGCTGCGAGCTCTACACGAGACGTACAGTACTTGACGAAAAAGAAAACGGACGTACAGTTGTTTTCCACGTTTCTCGTATTGTTCCGACTACGACGATGACTCTGTTTAATTTTGTTCGTTGTTAACGGTACGCTCGAGTCTTTTCTGTCGAATATGGAGGTCAAAGATGGATTGCTCTACCGCGGAAAACGAACATTATGATCTCGCGATTGTTGCAAGCATTCGAGTCGAACGTGAATCGCCTTGCTTCACGAAATAAATTACTCGACGCTTTGTTGACAAAAATAACAAATTAAATTTTCCTCTGAAAATTGTTTAGACTCGATGCATCGCGTAGTTAATTACGTTAAAGCGTACCTTTCGCTCGCGTACGTTGGATCAAGGAGAAATTGACTACATCCAACAAATTATGTAACAAGAATGTACAGTTTGTACGCTACTTCAATTTGTCAGGATCCGTTGGTCATCAGTCTACACGAAACCCACTGAATAAACCATCCTATTCATATTCGATATCAGCAACAATGATACATTTATCCTTGGTGCATCTATTGATTGCGTGAATTTTGTAACGCTGTTGTATTAATCATTTCGGTCGCTCTAGTACGTCCAAATTCTTTTGTCGAGTGCTGCGCGCCGGTGCAATTAGACGGAAGCCTATTAGAACCCTCGTGTATTGCAGGAAGCACGGAAAATTAGTCCCGGGGAAAATTACGAGCCGCAAATCTTATTTGTACGAATGAAATTTAATTTTGCTCCCTACGAAAAGAAACTAATCAAAATTTGGACACAAACTATTATCAAAATTTCGCAAAATTTATATTTAAATGTCATATCGTATAATATGATTCGACTTTACGTTAACTCCGTTCCTCAAATGTCCATTGGATCGATATCGTATCGAAGCAAATATTGGTCCAAGTATATTTTTAAAACAACAATAGAATATTTATCACAATGAAAACCTTCCTTCTGGACGTTCGAACGATGTTCCTGATTCCTGGTACAGACAATCATCTCGATCGATTTGCGGATCAACAATGTCTAACCATTATGTCCTCATACTACTTGCTCGCGTTTCCCTCAAAACAGGACCGACTACTTGATTCTCTCCCTGCAGTACATCGACGTTCCTTCGATAGGTGATCGATCGATTACTGAAATCTCATCGTGATGGTGATATTTACCTGACACAGTGCGCAAAAGCGTTTGAATCGAGCGCAGCGCACAAGTTACGTGCACGCGAATACGAGACATGAGAATTTTCGCAAAGCGCACAGTCAGGGCTCGCATTTAGTTTTTCTTGTAAGACGTCAAGACACTTGCGACAGCGTGTACGCGCTCAGCCGTGCACAACAAGCGCGTTTATATTATATTTGATCATGTAGGTGAATGTGTGTCAACGTGTGACCACGATGTATCCTCGATAGAAAATTAATTTATCGATCATTTAGCCAGAAAGAAACGAACGTGGAAAGGTTCAGGTGAAATTTTATTAAATCTATCGTTTTCGTGGTGATGGAACATCCTTCGATCTTTCAGATATTAATTGGTCAGCAAATATAATTTAAGATAAAAATTATAATTCTGTGAAAAAGATACTTCATTTGCCCTTAATTCTTACACTATTACTTAATATATCCTGAGAAAATATAATTCATAATTTTGTTTGTTCAAGACAGTATACACTGACCAATTGGAATAGTTTCAAGATAATTTATGAACATCTAATCAGGATACCACGGACTAGCAGATCGTATAAAATGGCAAATATTAATTCAGTTAAGTCAACGATTTAATGAAACGAGTTTAAGTAAACTGAAATAAATTGAAGACGAATTTAGCATAGTATAAATGAGTGTTAAACGTAAACGTTTCGACCTCTTTTATAGAACTGGACTGAAGAGTACGTATAACTATGTAACGTTGAAAATGTAATATAAAATATATATAATTTGAAGTAAGAGAAAAAGGTCGTAGAATAGAAAGTTTCCTAAAAAAAAAGATATTAAAAATCCGCTCGCATAACGAGGCTCTTGACTGAAAAATTAAATTAAATAGTCCTCGTGGAACTGTATTAAGATATATAATTTAGACACTTTCGCAAGGACAATTTAATTTAATTCACCAGTCAAGAGTCTCCTTTTTTAGAATTATCTTTGCACTATGATCCTGGTCTCTTACCTAAAATTGAATATTATTAATAAAAAGTTTTTCTATAAAGATCGAGTGATGTTCCACGTTTTTGCACGACACTGTACGTAAACATAACGAATGGACGTCGATCTCGCGATAAAGCAAACCGCGTTCGATGGCGAAGTATAGTCAATACCCGGCACAATATTGAAGAAGCAAGACATACTGATAGTTAGCTGAAGGTTGTCGAAATTAATCGGCCCAAAAATAAAAGAAAAAAAAAAGAAAAATATAACGATCGTCCATACTGCAATTGACGACTTTCATTATTAGACACGTAAACAGTTGACATCGCGGCAAGTTATTGACGTATAACGATAGGAATCGATGTACACCGTGGCGCTCGTGAGAATTAGGTGTCTCGTGTGGAAGTATAGTACGTGTACATATCATCGGGCAGCGAGTGACAAGTATCCGGGCCGACTGATCGACCGAATGCAAATGAAAATCGTGACAGACTCGATACAAGAGGGTGTTCTATATGTGTGTATATATAGATCATTTTTTTTCAAATATGTGTTGTACTTTTTTTTTAAATCGTATGATATAAAGGTAGAGAAGTTGGATGATAGAGAGAGAGAGAGTGGTATTACTTAGCGTGACGTAACGTCTTACTTCTTTTTTCTTTTTCTTCCGTCCAAAACCTCCCTGAAATTGGAGAAATGGAGAAACAGTCGTTACACACAGAAACAACACAGAATAGAGGGTGGCAAAAGGGGGTACAGGGGTTGGGGTTATATAGAATTAGCGAACGTGTGAGTAACAAGGTTTCGCTAATGTGCAGTCACGGAAACAGTAAATAGGTGATACGTATGTAATACAGGGCAAAAGGGATCGATTCGAGTAAAGCTACAGAGATAGATGCTAGAAAAGATAGAGAAACAGGAGGCGTGAGGAGAGACATCATAGTACGGGTACGAAACAGAAATACCTATATATATATATACGGTCTATCTATGTATGTATATAACGTTATATATGTTTATATCTGGGTATATACGACACGGAAGATACCCAAGCGAGAGGATTGCGGGATCTGGCAAGCTGGTGAGAAAAGGAGGAATAATATCGAAGCGTATCAATTGATACCATCTCGACTCTCTCTTTCCCTCTCTAATCTAACTCTAACCGGCTCTGTATTGCGGAGACAGTGAAAAGAGATTCTGTTAATTAATATCGAACCCGAAACTCGGATGCGAAATACGATTCGAAACGTCGACGGTGATTCTTCGTTACAAAATGATAAAAAAACTAATCGTGAAACGTATACTCTGAGTTTTTGTCCTCCAGACACATTCATTGGCACCAAGAATACATGGAATATTATTTATTTATCACTAAATGGTAAAAAAACTGGTTATTACAAATATTTACTGAATTTTTATTCTTGTGGATGATTCAAAATATCTCGAAAGTAATTGTGTATCAGTTGTGGGCGAGATTATTATCGATGAAATTTAAAAAGAGCACGTCGATCGCAACCCTCACCTCTTTGTAAACTTTATTTTATCGCATTAATGTTATATAATGCCGTTGGTTTGTCCAATAATGACGTTGAATAAATAAAATAAATCGACCATTTCCATGGTACTTGTTTATCCGTAACAGTTTACCCATATTGGCGCGGATAATCGAAGCTTTGCAGTATTTTGTTACGAGAAATCACCTTACGCTTCTGTTGAACTGCGAATTCGTCGCGGGTTCTATTACTTTTACGCTAGCTAAATTGCAAAATTAACGTTTGACCCTTAATAAATTATCGTTAAATGTCTCTCCGATTGTATGGTTTCGTCTGGATGTTTCTAACCAAATATAATTTCCTTTTTAATAACTGTATAATAAAAACGAAAAATAGAAAAGAATATAATTATTGGTCCTGTAGAAAAAGAGTGAACGAACGAAACGTGAAAAGAAAGGCCAGACTAAGTGAAAACAGTCGGTGCATAGTCAGTCACCGATATAACTGAAACTATTAAGTTGATACGCATAGGTTGTCACGAATAAATTGTTGTACGCTAATTTTATCAGTTATCTATTACTCGAATAAATATTCAGTCGTCCCTGTCCCGAGACACGCTACATAATTAACAATCATTTCGAGCCTCGATGAGTGGAAAACAAATTCATATTAATATCGTTAAATACTTTTGGCGACGTAATTAATGAAGTGCCCTATATTCAAAAAAAGATCCCGTGCTAATAAATAATTAATTCCACGTCGTTTATTCATTACGATTATGAATATTTATCATATCGGTTCATTAAAGTCACTCTGTTTATCCGGACGAAACGCACAAGCGGAGAGAGGCTCCAAAAATTTCATTTCACGTGTCGATATTCTACTGTACCACTACCAGCCATATGGACTACAATAATGTTCTAGTTTCTGACGTTAAATAAATAAAATAGACGTATTATCAGAACCATTGTTTCAACAGAAAAGTATTCCAAAACCCAGAGAATAGACAAATTTAAACGAGTCCCAAATCACGACATTTATAAATTATCGAATGGTAAATTGTGCTTTCAAGATATTCTTATTTTAATTAACGTTAAAGTTTCGTTAACCCGGACTCTCGATTTGCTTTATTAAAAGATTCAGAGAATAATACGAAGATTAATACACGAATTAACCACAAAGATAGTTTCACCGATGAGGAGTGACGTTTCTCTGCAACTATCTTTTTTATAAACCATCAGAAGTACCTAAAAAATGGCGACCAACGCTAGACTACATCCTATGTATGGCCGGTAGTGTGTTTATGTATTTACATGACTACGTACGTGTATAGGGATGTCAACTATACAGCGAAGAACCTAGAGGGAGAGAGAGAACTACGGACACAGCGATATTTATGTACGTACAGAAACAGGCACAGATAGTGACACTGCAGACATCGAGCTCGTACGCGAACATATCTTTGGTAACACAAAAACAATACATTATTCGACGACAGTCGTGTTGTGTGGTAAATGTATATATATGTATATATATTCATATATATATATTAAGAGAAATATAGAGGCATATATATATATATATGTATATATGTATATATGTATATAGATACATGTAGATAGATAGATAGGTAGATATAGATAGATAGATATAGTCGTCAATAAGGATAGACATGTATATTTCACTACGTTTAGCAATAAACCAAGCAAACAATCAACGCGACGGGTAGCGACAATCGGTTGTTTACAAGAAGGGGTATAGGTAGAAACACCGCAGCTTGAAGTATAATCGTATATGATTGTGAACATGAAGAAACAGATCTCGCAAAACGGCACTGCAGCTACGCAAAAAAAAAAATACGATTACGGGGTACCAAAAAAAAAAAAGATAGTAAACGTCCATCGAGCGTCACGGACAACACCGTGAATAAATATCTATATATATATGTATGTATATATATAAATACTTAAGACCGATCAATCCGTCCCATAATTTATATTTCTTTTTAAAAATGAAAAATCCCGAAGCGATCGTTCGATTCGACGAACGTGTTTCATCGTTCACCGTTCCGGAGGAAACATTAATCGGTACTTAAGTATAAGTGACAATCAGTGAAACACTTTGTAAACGCACTTTAAATAGCGATGCTTGTACGTTCGAAGACTCGCTAATATATAGATGTCTGCACAAGTAGAACAACCTGTACATCGATGCAAATGTGTAAGCACGTTACGTATATATATAACAATCGTCGGTGTCTTCTTGGAACTTCTCGGACTGAAAACGCGTCCGACCGATCGATTCGTCGGGAAAAAGGTACTCTAACTGCGCCACAGAATCGGTAACAAATCGAAGAGATATTTTCATTTATGTTACAGTGTCAATGGTCGCGTTTCTCTTGGTAAATGTACGTACGTGGATATACGTATAGGGACATATGGTTGTATGGGAGATTGAGTGGATGCCAAAAACGAGTGTTGCGAATAATCGACGAAATCGGTTTCTGTACCTTTGGATGAACGAAATTGTTAGAAAAAACTCGTTCTTAAGCTCTGCAAATATTTAATGATACGAAAAAGATTGCCTTAGATTGTGACCACGCACTCGGTGACCTGATATTCTCGAAACTTCAGTGGTGCAACTGAAAGTTTTAGTTCGAGGAAACATCCCTTACGATAGGATGATAAAAAACGTAGACTCTTTATTTTGATAAATTACTAACTTATGGAAATAGAGAATATCGAGACTCGTAGGAAATGTCAAAAATTTCTTCTGTCAACACTGTGACACGGATTACAGTAAGAAATGTTTCCAATAACGATTTGCCCTTTTCAGTTGCATCTTATGGAGAAACTTTCTTGGATATTGAAAATCACATTCGAGACGTTTCAATTGAAAGAAACAAGGAATACTTGGGGTGTAGAAACAGAACTCTTTCGTCGATTAAACGAGTACGAAACGAAAAAGAACAACGAAAAGATATCGTTTGGTCAATTAAAATTAAAAATAAAATTAATCCTAGCAGCGGGCCAGCAACGATTCGTCGAATCGGCGCTGGCTTGTTTCTATTATGTAGCTTCGAAGGAAATACGCCCGCATTCCTACCTCGTTTTCCGCTCTCTTCTTCTCGAGCTCCTTCTGCTTGGCATGTTCTTTGGCAATGCGAGCCTCGATCGCTGCCAGGGACTCCCGCGTGAACGGACGGAACAAACTTCTTTCTTCCTCTTCTGCAGGGGCTAAATTTTCGGACATTGTCTAAGCTGCACACAGCTGAGCCACCTTCCTAAACATCCAAAGTACCATTCTTCAATATCACACGATTATTCACATCTAAAATCTACTAACTTCAAACTTTTTGCAACCAAACCCTTCACTCTTCTTAGCAAATTTGCATTATGATTACTATCCAAAATTCACATCTTCAAATGGGGATGAATAGTTATAATTTTTTTCCAAAATTGCATATTCTAGACATGAAAAGTGCCATTCTTCAAATTAACAGAATCGTAAAGACTGTTTTAAATTTACTATGACTTGTATTTAATAAAATACCAATAATCTGTCTTTGTCGCTCGTAACATCGCCCGAGGATTAGAATCAACCACGCTCCAAAGTGCGCACAATAAACCCATCTAGAACTTGAAAAGTATTACATGCCACGTAAGAGTACTTTAAGTCGGTAAAACCATAAAACTTTGTCCCAGGTAGTCGGGTCTCGAAGAAAGAAATTGTATCGTCGGTTAGTTTTGAAAAAGAGCAATTGAGAGTGAATGGAACGACACAGGAAACTTCAGAAAATTGGTCGGCGAGTTGCGATTGGACGTATTGTGCGGAAAAAGAGACTTCGAACGATATTATTGTTCGTTTTCCGTGCCTCGATATCTCACAATACTTCGTTCCTCGAAGCGTCGAATTCTGGAAATCAATTTAAGCGGGGCTAAATTTTTTGTTCCCAAAGAATTCGGAATACTTTAATTGTTCCGTTCTTAGGGAAGTCTTGCATTAATTCGTACGACATCCAAGGTTCGTTTCGAGCGGGGAAAATTCTCCGTAAATAGACATAATAATGTCTAGTTCCTGAGGGCACTCGAAAGCGAAACTAGAAACTGCATTAAGTATGCATGAGGTTTATCGAACAATCAACTTTCAGGCTGATTCAATGTCCCCTCCTGTAAATCGTGTTTTACGAATCCGTTCGCTGCAAATCCATTGAATAGAAATGGTCTCCCCTCTAAAAACAAAAAAAAATATGTTGAAAATTATGAATTTACAAAAATTGTAAACTTCAACGTCCTATACTTCTCGAACAAATTGCAACTCAAGGAAATGATGACTTAAACATCCTTTAGTATTATGTCGACCACGTGATCTGTAAATTTGAGCAAAATCGCTCGCATGGATCACGAGATACGATCGATTTATCGTGGGACAACACATTAAAGAATACTCGAAGGACACTAATTGCGATTGAGGATCCTATATATCTCGAATGAATTGAAATCCAAAGAAACGATGACTTAAGCTCCTCTTAATATTTCATGGACCACATAATCTGTAAATTTGAGCAAAATCTATCGTATGGATCTCAAGATATGATCGATTTATTGCGGAAAGACACAGTGCAGAATACTCGAAGGACACTAATTGCGGTTGAGGATCTTGTATATCTCGAATGAATTGAAGGAAATGATGACTTAGGCTCCCCTTAGTATTTCATGGACCACATAATTTGCAAATTTGAACAAAATCCCTCGCATGGATCACGAGATATAATCGATTTATCGCGAAACGATACATCGCAGAATATTCGAAGGACGCTAATTGCGATCCTATATATCTCGAACAGATTGAGACTCAAGAAAACAATGACTTAAGGCTTCCTTAGTATTTCATGGACCACATAATCTGTAAATTTGAACAAGATCCCTCGCATGGATCGCGAGATACAATCGATTTGTCGCGGAACGATATATCGGAGAGTACTCGAGGGTCGCTAATTACGACGGGGGAGGGTTGTACTCACTTTTGATCGGTGCTAACAGTTTCTGAAGTGTAATGTGCGCGAGTCCCACGATTGGGGGTGGTAATAGAGTGGCTGCTGCGGTGGCTGCGGCTGCGGCTGACGAGGACGAGACCGGTGCTGGGAACCGCGCGACTTGCCGGCTAGGGGCCAGTGCCTGGGCGTCGATTCGGGACGCGTCGTGCCGTCGATGCGATTTGACGACGCCGTTACGTACGATCGGACGGATAAATGCGCCTCGTGCAGCACGTCGACTGCCGATCTGCCGTAGCTATACCTTTCCCTCTTCTTGTAGATCGCCGTGACGCGCTCGTTCACGCAATGGCCTCCGCCGATACTCTCGATATCGATGCTGCCACTACCGCTACTTCTAACGTTGCTCCTTCTGTTTTTGATGCTAATGCTGCGGCTGCTGCTGCTACCTGAATCTCGTTCCGACGAAATGGCGACGAGAAATGACGAACGCGCTGCGGCAGTGCGTGCTATGTCGGGGACCGTCCAACGCGAACCAAGATTTTTCATGTCCGACCTGCGGTAACGAGAGAACAACCGTTAATTTGATGAAAACTATCCTGGAACTTGACAGAGAATTTGTTAAATTTTTTTTGTAAACACGAGCCTTCGTAATTAATCCTAACGTAAATCGAAGCGAGGCGCACGTTTTCTAAATACGTAGAACACTTTGACTCTTTTTCCAATTGCACCGACAAAACGAATAAAAGAAAGGCTTGTCCGAATAAGTATGTGGCACAACGCTGGATTAAAGGTTTCAAAGCTTCACCGAGAGAGGTACTTTTTTCGTGCGCTATATAATATGTTTCTTTTGTTCTTTCGAGAGTTCGCGAGACCCGGGTTTGAAAAACAGTGCTATATATTATTTTCTGTCGTTTAGTTCCCATTTTCCATTACGTATTTTATATCATAATTCCACTGCAAACGTTATTTAGCTAAGAATGCCTCCAGTAAAATAATGTTGCGCAAGTTCGACCCACCCTTAGCCCCGCTAATAACGATTAAAGAGACAGGAAGTAATAAATGATGATTTTTTTGTATCAGGACGATCAGTGTGGGCTCCAAAAAAGTTTGTAGTCCCTGTTTCGGAGCGTCCTGTTTAACGAGGTCGTAAAACCAGTGGAGGGTGAAGATTGTAGCGCGCTCGAGTGTCGAGAGTCAAGAACCCAGGAACGATTCTGTATGCTTTTTGGATACTAAAGTGGGCGCCAAATATTTTCACTCCTCAAGGCCACTTCTGCAACTATGAGCGACGATGCAAACCACCCTCCTCTTCGGTTTCTTCTGCACTGTCGCGTTTCAACTTGGGAAAAGGGTCGCTGTGTCACTGTGTATTCTTCATTGGCTTTAGAACAAACAGTGGCAAACACTGGGATAGACCATCGTAATGGGATTTACCCAATGGCCTCGAGCGGCCAAAATATTTGGCGCACACTTTGGCGCATTAAGGGGGCCTGTGCACGCCGAGGAGCCATACGTTCCAAGCGTATGCGGCCATTTGTGCTGAGAAACACATTTGGCGGCTTCCACGCTCGAGGGTATGGCTTTATACGTCGCTTATGTGCGTTTTGAGTACGTCACTCTATCCCTTCCACTCATTATATATGCATACACCCTTTGCAAACGCGTGGGGCCCCTCGAGAGCGCCGGGATCTCTTAAGAAGGCGGATCATCTTGCGAATATGAGACCTCGTTCGATGGATTACTTTAGAAGGGTCGTAGAAGCGTATTTATATTTCCATGGGATACTCCGAGTAACCGTAAATCTTTTTATTTACTATTTAAAATAGCTGTCAGGTTGAGGAATGTTCCATTGATATTATTAGGGTAGCATTGAAAAATATTATTAACGGAATATGTGACTGACAAAGTGTTATAGGATGCTGTAATACTCCACTCGGGTATTCAATGAAACGAACATTTATAAGTACTCTATTGTTCGATGTTGATTAAAAGGTGGAGATTCATATCTTCCACGGACACACGAGCACAAAAGAAGAAAGAATCGGTCGATCGGATTTGCTAAATCGTGATTTAAACCAGGGGCCTCTCGTTTGCTAGCAATTGTTCTAGAAATCGAGCTATCTAGGTCGACAACAGATTCTTCCTTCCGAAGTCTATCGTTCAAAAAATGGCCACCGCGTACAAGTACTCTCTATATATCCATTAATTCTTCCAGAGGAATGCTTTGGCAAAATACATGGAACATTATCAATTCGTCGATTGTAATAAAACGAGTCGCACATTTGTAGTGGTCCTCGGGAAAATAGATTTGAAGATTCTTTAAAATTGAATCAATCATTTTGGAATTGTATTTCTGTTTTGTATGTCGGATAAACCGTGTCACACAACGATTTAATAATACTTTGAGTATACTTACGTGTGAATGAAGCGACGGGTGCGATCAATCCGTTATCCGAAATAACATAGTCTGATTTTCGAGTCGATCGATACTTATCTGCAACAAAAACAGAACAATCTACATGAAGGAAATATTCACGATTTACGATAGAAAAATGCTTCTCAAACTGTTTTAAACATACTGAAATATTACTGTCTCAAACGTACGATCTATAGAAGAATTGAAGTATACATTTTAATAAGATTTGGCAATAAAGATACTCCTCATTGATTTCAAACGCAAGATGGTTACGAAGATTTAATGATCTATAGTAACAAGCATGGACAGAATATTTAGTTTAAATATAAATTTTAAATAATACAATATACAAATTCTTCAGAAAAAATAGCGTTTAAAAAATATATATTTTTCTGATACAACGAGTTATGAAATTGTTCGTGAAGGCTTTAAACGTGAAACATCGAAGCAGATTATTAAATCTTTCTGCCTGTTTCGCTCTCGAGACCAATAAGGCGTGTCTTTGATCTATTTTCAACTTAACCCAGTAAAACAACGCGACCAGGCTAAGTATAATAAATGAAATATTTTTCTGTAAATACTCGCATAATAACCATAAAACGGGGTTAGGTTCAGAAGCAGAACGTCGACCGTGCCTCGCCTCTTTGCACTCTTCGTTTTCATCGTGCTAATGTTTACTTTGCATGTACGACGCCGTTGGTTTATCCAAGGGGGGGGGACGTTTCACTTATTTATTTTATTTAAAGGCGCGAATTTCCGTGCAAACCGTTTTCCTTTCGATCCCTTTCGGTCTCGTTAACGTTCTTTGTGGAAAAGGGGGAGTCGAATTTCCGCTACCCCTCGAGTGTCGCGCAGAACAAACGATTTTTTTTCGTATAGAATCGTGTGTCTTTTGGCAGCGAGAACGGACCCTCGAGTTTCGTCGTTCGCGAGAGAGTGGCGGCGTGTTCACGCATATTCACGACAACAAAAATTCACACGGAGCACGCGATATATAGAAGGCAGCACGAAGAAGGGTGTCGGTGGTCTTTGACCGAGTTTCGCGCGGTCGATCATATTCCGCCGGAACTCGGTCACGCGCTTATGCATCGGTGTCGTCGTCGCGGCGCCAACGCCGAACGCGAGCCCATACGCAAAGTAGGAAAAGTAAGAGTGAAAGGTACCGATGCCACCAATTCAATGACACACTCATTAAACTAAAGACACCGACGGTTGGCCATGTGCCACTAATTGACACCCTAGAAAGAAAACAGTTCTATAGAAATTCTCTGGAAACAATATCAGTTACCAATAGTTTCGCACCATTCGTCGCAAACTCAACTTTCCATGGTGCTAACCAGGGCAAAATCTATTTCAGATAGCATTGTTTCCAGATACCAATACGTATCCCTTTTTGCTTAGCAATTAATTACGCGTTCTTAATACGTACAGAATTCTCGCCTGTGTATAACTGTGCATGACAAAAAAGATTGGCTGAAATATTTGTTACACGATTCGTCGCGAACTCAACTTTCTATGGTGCTAACCAGGGCAAAATCTATTTCAGATAGCATTGTTTCCAGAGACCAATACGTATCCCTTTTTGCTTAGCAATTAATTTCTCGTTCTTAATACGTATAGAAATCTCGCCTGTGTATAACTATGCATGACAAAAAGGATTGGTAGAAATATTTTTTACGCAATTTAGTGTGAACTACCTAATAATGAAAATATTTGTATCAAGTTATGGGTTTAAAATATCTAGGCACCTCCAAAAAATTCTACAGTTGGCACGTGGTTCTAGAATGCGATTATTCCAGTAAGAATTATAGAACAATATATAAATATTCTTACGAAATGAGTGGCCTATAATGTTTGACAAAAGTATTGAAACTACGATTATGATTATTTATAAGGAACTCATACGTATCGATACGACTATCAGGTGTCTTAATAAGTGTCGATTGTTTTATTTATGAGATCAGTGTAGCTAAATACTAACCCTTGACGAAGAACCAAAGCATTTAGGGCGTTCCAAAAATTGAAATGGTAAAATTAAAATTGAAGTCGATCGTGGAATATTGTCTGGAACATCGGAAGTCGAAGAAGCGTCGTTTTATTGCTAAACGGAAACATCGAGACTCGAAAATGAGAAAAATACCGTGGTTGCAAAAAGCAGTTAACACTACACGATAAATTATTACGCTGCAAAGCTACGATAATACCGGGCCGGATATATGGGTTGCAACTCTGGGTCGGTGCCAACGAATCGAACATTCAAATAATACAACCCTCCCAAAACAAAGCGTTAAGAACAATGTCGGTTGCTTTGTGGCGCGGGTGTAGCAAAACGCTACGCAACGATTTTCAAGCAAAATATATTCCTGGACAAATAAAACAATTTGTGGAAATTTCGGAAGCTCGACTTGGTTATTACATGCTATACAAAAATAGGAAAAGTCTGATTATTTATGGTACAATTTGTACGTTTATACGAAGGAGATTGTACCATAACTAATCAGACACGATGGCCATTTTTCAACACGAGTGCTAACTTTTTGACCCCTAGGTCTTCGTCAACTTTCAACAGGTTATCGATTATCAGTAAAATACTTTCAGGTTAAAAATTAATCTAAAAATATGATTTTAATTATAAGTTTCGTTCTCCCCTATTTTAAAAAATCCTGCAAAGGGGTATAGTGCTTTAAAGATTCGACTGTTTTTCGTACTTTGAAATCTTGGAAATAATACGCGATCGTCCCCCATATTGAAATCCGTATTATTAAACAAGTTATAGCCCATTAGCATCAGCGTTACACACGGTTCAATATTACATTAAGAAACTTTAAAACACGACTCTAATTGCGTGTTATAGAGTTCCTCGTTACCCAACGTGAAATTTTTAATGAAAATGCCCGATTTTACGAACGCTAGATATTATACAAAGCTTCTCATTTTAAAATGTAAATTGATACATTTCGAAACATAACTTTAATAATATTACGGGGGAAATTCGAATTTAATTTAAATTCTATAGAAAAGGTTATGTAATATGTGTAACTATGTTGAAATCCACGTGGTGAATCCTCAGAATAATTGATTTTCTCTATACTACTCTAAGTGCAACGATTAGAATTAAACTCAACGTACATTTTCAGTAATTCTTTTTCACGAAAACCTAAAACCTTTATCGATAGATGATTTTCAAGCCCCGCGACCCAATACAGAAGGTACCGCGACCCACTTTTGGGTCGTGACCAATAGGTTGAGACCAGAGATGGGAAAAAATTTTATTCGGAACAATAAACAACGAAGAAAATCATCTCACAACAATTTATTTACGTTTACTCGATCAGGCAGGTATAATTTACCTAGAAAATAAAAAAAATTACAAAAAGATGACCATCTGGAGTTATTATTCCAATTTCGTTATTAGAAATGCTATAACTTTCGAAGGAGTTTAACATCTGGGCAATTTTCCATATTAAATTCCAAATTACAGTAGTAAATTATGTAACTAATATTTTACGAAAGTAATTTCATCCAGAAATAGTAGCACCAAGAAATCAGAAACCCACAGATTTGTAATTTTAGTCTGATAAATCACTGTTGACGTTCGACTTTGTAAAAAGGGGTTGTTTGAGCTCGGTTCGAGCACCGGGTACCTGAAATCGAGCGTCCCCGGGTAACCGGAAGTCCTCCGACGCACCGAATGCGCAACGGAATGTTGTAGAAACGCATAATTCAACGATACCGGGACGCAATGATGCTCAATTTAATTGCCTATTGCAGCTTTTATCCTGCGGATATACGGCTACAATAAAAACGGCACTCTGCCAACACGCAGGCTAGGGAGAAACGGGGTCAGGTATGTCTATGGTAAATTAGCCTTCATCGGGAAATCAACAAAAGCATTCGACGTTACAAGAGGCCTCTCGCTAAAAGGACTAAGGACTCGTTTTTTCGTGAACGATGTGGAATTTACAAGGGCGCTTTGAGATCGCTATTCGTCGAAACACAATCCGACTATGGTATCGTAATTAAATTTAAATTGTATTTAAATGAACTCGAACGTACGGACGCGTACGAACAACATCGATCCTCCGTTGCAGTGATTCTGACCTCTGTTAGGTTGAAAAACAGCCTGCTCAATACTTTATTAAAGTATCAATAAAATATATTTTTTTTTCGAGAAACAAATCGTCGCCCAGAAATTCAAAACAAGCATTCGTGATTCGTTAGTGTTTAACCTGTAAATACGTGTCGTTGGAATTTAAAAAATACTGAAAGGATTTAATTGTAGAGGACACCGCGAGTGGTAGCCTCCAAAAAAAAAAAAAAAGATAGACGAGTCGGGCTTTGATGAAAACGATGTCAAGATCACCCCCAGCGACGAAAAGAAAAGATACTTAATCCGTACGAATGTGGCTATCGTCGGTGCTAGAATTATTTAAAACATAAAAAATGTAAGGGAACCGACGGTCCTGGATGAACGGTTCGAATTTCTTCTAAAAATATGACGGCAAGTTTGCTCGATAAAACGGAAAACAGCGATAATTCTAGAGACAACTACGGACGGACATTTTCCGAACAAGCACGTAAACTTCCGAGCCAATCGCTTAATTATTTCTCGGAGTTTTTTTATCGGCGCCAGGTCGAGTAAAGTGGTTCCAAGAAAAAGTCGACTTTAAAAGTTTTAAGTTGTATTCGTTGACCCGTATAGTGTACTCGAAAGGCTTTAACTGTTCGGGAAGTCTTTAAACGTTTAAAATTTTTACGAATACAATTTTACGAGGAGATTTTTAAAAAAATGCAATTATCAACGGGGTTGATTTCTCGATTCGAACAAAGCAGAACTGTACCTTAATGACGACGGTGATTCGATAGCAGGGATGAATGTATACGAACGTGCGCCTGGTTGTTCATCGCAAAGCTATGTTATCGGACTTGTGCTACTTATTACGGGCCGTGCAAGGCACAGTTCCGTCGACTGTCGAGTTACGGAAATATCGCGAGAAGACGGTCCAAAGGTCTTTTTGAAAGCCCGAATCGCGGATCAATAAATAGTCCCGATGCATATAGTGGTCCCGCGGTACGTA